ATATTAAGTCAAATTAAATATACATTATTAAATGCCTCATCCAGAAGAAATACGGCTTCCCGGCACTGTGTCGACAAACACGTCGTCAGCCGTCACGATATGCCGAACGCACGAAGTCGACCTTCACAAGGGCCACGGCTAAGAAATTTAAGAAAATTTAAGAAAGCTGGGACGGTTTAGCAAAACGTCAAAGGACTTTGTGGCGTTTCGATATCGTGTTCGAGTTCGACTTTGTGACGGTTGACGAAATGGCGTGGTCACCCATTCTCCAAATTTGTTTTTATACGCACCGGGATACTGTAATGTCTCGTATTTATAACAGGCAGTGTAATTTGACCAATGTTTTTCGGTCAACGGGTGTAGCCACCAGGTTCCGTTGACGGTGCAGTCTTTGAATGCGTTCACTATCAGGGAAGTAATTATTGTACAATGAGTCGAGACGGTATGTATTTTTCAAATATGATTCGCAACAGTACTGTTTCATTGCGACCTTACACTTGGCATCGAAACCTTCATGCACCCACTCCGGACACGCAATGTAAGCTCGCGTCCCAGTCAGTGTATAATTCCAGCATCCCCAAGTGTCGAATAATGCGGGACAGTAGGGCCTACCTGTTTAACAGGCTCATTAGTCATCCCCGTTCGCTAATCATAAATTCACCAATGTACAGTCTACAGAAGGCGAAATACAACCGGTACTTCACTGGTATTACGGTCTTATCAACCACCTATTTCAAAACCAAATTGTCCGTACATATTTGACCCCTGTGAGGTTAGTTCTTAAATTATTTAATTATTTACATGCTTCAGGTTTGATTTCTACAAAACTCTCTTAAATGGTCTTAAGTTCTTTAAAATTATAACTCATCTCCTTTTCCTTCTTTTTATCGATTAATTGTTATGGAAATGTGAATAGGCTTGAGGATTTTTTTCCAGAACTAAGGATAACTGTTGAACAAATAACCTGACCTGTAATACTACGAAGCTGAAGAGGAGAAGTACTTCCCACATGTCTCGAGATGTGGTACTTTGTCTTATAAAAACAACTACAGTAACAGCATTATGATGTAACAATATGATTTTTGATTTAGCAATTTATATATAACACAGTCCATAATTGGCTATAATACATGTAGTTTCTCTATTTATAAGTACATTTTACTGGTCAGCAGACTCAGCACAACACAAATTATACTTACCGTCATTCGGGTAGGGTTGATTTAATGTCGTTTTATTACATTCTGCGAAAGCTATTTTTTGCCTCAGAAAAAATTTGAGCTGCTGCTCTGTCAACCCGTGATCCTCTGAAGCAACCGGCAGCTGTTCCGCTAACTCGGATTCCTCTGGAAGAACAGTTAGGTGAATTAACGAGTCATTCGTTTTGCAGAAACATATCTGTGTCAGCAAATTGCAGACATTTATTTTTCTTTGGTTAAAAAACGCAGCTGTATAACCATTTTCGTTGTGCTTTCCGAAGTTCAACATCTAATTCTGGATTAATTCGAATATCCAAGACTTTTGCAAAGGTCACATGCATATATCGAAGACCAAGTAGTGGCAAAAATGGTTTTGTAGGAACCGCACAAATACGTTGGGGATGAACATGATACTTATGTACCGGCCAGTGTTCCAGATCGAGTACATACTCAGTATAGAGTATGTACGTAACTTAAAATACAGGACGGCACATAAGCACCGTGTTCAGCCACAACGTGAAGCACCAGCAGGGTGACGGCAGCAAATACAGAGATTATTTAGGTAAGCCTCTGCCACCCTCCCGCACGGGAAGATTTGCGTTTTAGCAGATACACCCACCTGAACCTGTACAGCTGACACGCAACAGCAGCAGAGAACTGCCCAGCAGTATTGCTACAGTCGGTACTAAAAGCACGCCCATAGAATCCTTGACGCAGTACATGATGCAAAATTGTTGGATATAAGCAGCAGTTTACACAGTTTTGCAAAAAATGTCAAAATTTTTTCGGATATGATTTTTTGGCGGGGTGATATACTGTAAATATGTGAGACTAATTTTCTAAGCAAAGCTCGCAACTATTGGCATTACTCATTTATACGATTTCATTCCAAGATAGATACGGTATATGGATAGCGATCTGTATCTAAGGTACACTATCAATATCAAGAAAATACAAGTAGATCAGTAATATGATCATTGATCCGCATTCCCGTGGAAGTTGTACAGAAAACCCACATAACAAATCTAGAAAACCGACATGGTGTAGGTAGACACGGCCATCTAAAAAACCGGCATTTGAGGTAGTTGAAAGGGATTTCCCACGCAATTCTGCTTCCCATGCATCTGCTCCAAGATCGTCCCACAGATGCCGATACCGGTAGAGTTAGGCGCTCAAAGTAACCTTGAAAACTTATATACTATACCACGGTTCCGTGGAGGACGATTTACAAGGGAAAAGTTTATACTACAATCAAAAACTGAGATTTAGTAATTTCAGACCTACCATGCAAGCCGAAAGTGAGTTACCGCTATACAAACTGAAACCCCGCGCACACAGGCACTTTTCCCAGTTCTCTGTTCAAATCGCAAACTAGGCAGCCGTACTCGTACAGATCCCAAGGAATCCAGTTACATATAGATTCCAGGGAATCCCCTTCTACAGTATCTCGGAAGCTTATTATGTGCCACAATGGCGCTACTTATTGTAACTGTAATTCTGTAAAAAGGTAAGTAATTTAACTACTGTAGGTCTGCCATTGATGTAACTTACGGAAGTATAAAAACCTTGTATGCTAATGCTGGATTTCTGTAATAACGCAGTGTGGTGACTTTTTTCAATTTTTTCAGTCTTCGAAATTTTCAGGCGATGCGAACACCACCGACAGAATAATTATTATCAGTGGCGCAGCAAATGGCATTTATGAGGCATTTATGAACCACCACGAACCGATGAGCCTCCAAAAGCTTACAGCTATAATGACATTATAATGGCGGGATCGGATTCACAACGATGATATGGGTACATAATTTTATATTAGTTGTGGAAGCAACTGAGTAAAGAAAAGATCGTAAAACAGACTTTAATATCACTTCGTTGAAATTTAATATTATATATGTAAGACGCTTGCGCAATCTCCTGTAAAACCGGAATATTATTACTGCATAATTTACGCACAGATATAAATTACAAATTTTTCGTACCATGTCGAAATTAAAAAAAATTAAAATTTAGAGAACTCTTAAAAGAATATGAAATAACGCCGATTATCTCACAAAATCACTAAACGGTGAAGAGTATTCACTATTCAGCATTCTGTAAGAGGTCATGTTTTACTTTAAAACGACATTATAATAATTGAAAGGGTGTGTTTGCTTTTTTCTTATTACAACTCGGTTGTGCAAGAATTATTTATGTTGTACAAGGAGAAAAATCAATCGTGTCCGTCAAAATTATATTAGTCATAGTGCACACAATAATGGGAGAAACTGCTAAGTACGACAACTGAGAACGCTCATTACCATAAACATTTCAGCAAAAAATATAATTACTGTACTGTATTTTACTTACTCAAATCACTTTATACGGTCGCAAGTAATTGCTGGTACTCATACAAATACTAATACATCAGTACATTGTGGGGGTACCGTTTATGGCCGAAACTCGGGTCAAGTAGAGGGTACATTAGACCGTACGGCTGGTATTGCTGTATGGAAGGCACTATGAAATGCATGCTGTATGAAAATGCTGGTATTAAGTGAAAACAATAAGTTTGTACAATACGCATATAAGCCACAGTTTTTAATAATAATATGTACTGCCAGATACGAAAATAATAATATAACGCTGCTACAGTACCACTTCATACAGCCAGAAAGTATTTCCACGAGATTTGTAATAACGTATGATCTTAAATTCACATACCGTTTTCCGCTTGGCAACATTACATATCGGTAAAAACCTTGACAACAAAAGTCAGTTTTCAGTCAGTCACCATCCGTTGTAGTTAGCAGCTTTTAATTTTAGGCTTAATAACTTTTTTTCGCTAATAATACCTGCAATATTCCCACTCGTCGGTTACGCACAATGGCCAACCTTGTAGTATTTTCCGCCCTCGTGGTCCTTCTCGCCAGCCTGAGCGTGCACAGCCAAGGATACGGATACGCATACGGAGGTCTCGCGCCCATCCCGGCCATGGCCATGGATCCGGTCGCCAGCGCCCACGCCCTCATGGAACGCCAGATGAGCGGGGTGTCGTCCGCCCGCAATAAACGCTGTCCCTGCTACCTGATGGTGTTCTGCTGTGGTACAGCCTGTATTCCCGATGGCAAGGGGAATTCCATGGGTATCTGCTTGTACAATTACGGCTATAACTACGGCTACTTTGGATAACGATAATTGTACGTGTTGGGTGTTTACCTGTGACTGCATTTGTTGCGTTGTGTATTGGGCTGAATTGGTCTCTGATGTTGTATGTTCCTTGAGGTGCCGTAAACGCCGTGGCGTGGCAGATGAATTCATTGTGAAATAAAAAAAATGAATCATCACATAAATAAAGCACAATGTGCTTTGTTGTGAGTGTGTGAAGCGTGTGGCTGCTGCTTAAGTAATTTGGTTTCCCAATCGAGCGGTAAATTTGCGAATAGTCAAACGATCACTGCATTTTCATAAAATATGCAAGCGCTCTGTGCATGCGATGACAGTTTAAAAATAGATATTCGTAAGGAACTGATTTATTAATAATTTTGCGTATTATTTAAAAAAAATTAATACTGGCAAGTGGCAACAAATTAGCGAACCCTTTTACGATGTAATTCGACTGTTATCTTATACGTCCGTAAGTAAACACCTCCAGCCGAGCGTACTGCTTAAGCAATATTTCAGTATGTACAATATACTCGTTCATACTAGCAGTGTGACTAGGATATAAATTTGTTTCTTTCTTAGTTTCGCGTTGTGAAATAGGTTGTAGAATTTTTTCAGAGATTTCATTCCGAGCGAGCCGTTATGGCCTGAAAACATGTGCTGTACTTTCCCGTATTAGAAAAGGCCGTTTACCCATGTACCACGTGGTAGTTGTAATTGTTCATGATTTCTGATGATCTCGGTAAGTACTAATTGTATTTCGGTTGGGCCGCTAGACTAACTAAACACAAACTCCACTCCAGAATCCAGTATGTGACAACGTATACCGTACAGTACTTTGGAGTGTGCAGAGTCTATACAATCCTTTCTTCAAACGTGCCATTTCAGTTGTACTGCGTAGCGCGTACTAAGCAAGGCGAAGCAGTAAACTTAATAGCCAGTGCAAGTAAATATGCTGACTCGGGGGTTTCTGGGTTCCGGCGGTAAAAAGCGGATTTATAACGGTCGTCGGTCGCCATACATAGCAACACGTTAACACAATAACCAGCAGCTTCCAAAATTAGGAGCTATATTGTTTCACTCATGCTCCTTTAATCGTAGATCATCTTGTGTTATCCCGTCCACCAAGGCGTGGTAGTGACAGTGGTTGGCAATGTGCCGGTACCCGCCCAGTAGTCGGCACAAGGTTGCAGGCCGCCAGTCAACAGCTATAAACATCTTACGCTGCACCGTACATTAAGAAGATTTAGGGACTGAGACGGTCATTTTACCTGTATCTGCCACGAATTCCAAAAAGCCGCCTGGTAGTAGGAATGATACACCGTAAGAGTTCCCGTATGCGACATTGCTGATGTAATGTTACATGAAGTGCCATTGGAAACATCAAAAATTAAGGAATTGTTAACAAGTTGCACCGCGCTGCACGAATTAAACCCGGATAGCTCATATCGTGGATTGAGGTCCGGGTAATACTGGCAACCCTAGTGGAAAGAAATACTGGAACTGGTGTATTTGGGCTAGTTATAGCAACACAATCGGAAAGGAAACATTTTGGCTTTAGTTACGGCATGGGCGCTTTAGTAAATTTGGTCTAATATTTATTATATGTGTTAATGTGTATGGCATTGTTTCGGTCATATAGTGCTGGCCTGAAACGGTGCATTTACCTATTTAGTACACTTCTATTCATACGACTACTTGCTGTGTATTTGACACCTTACTACGTTAATAACATTAACTGCAATTTACAAATTACATACTTAAGTTTCAGATGGTACGTTTGTATAGATACAAAAATAACGATACAACTTGCACGTACCTCGCCGAATACGATATTTGTTAAAACACTGTAATCGCAACTTGTCGGACGAAAAATGGGGCCAGGCATGGGTGAAAGGCTAGCTGCAATTTGCAGAGTTATGTATATTATCAATTAGTACTGGATGACTCTAGGAAATCCCATAAGTAAACACACGACCTACACGTGCTTGATTCCGGAGCGAGACACGACTGCACCTGCAGTGTGCAAACATTACCGACATGCAGCTTAGGCTGTCAATCAAGCGGAGGTACTGTATTTATTCAGTATCACGGAAATAATGTAGTACTAAGAGACCCCGTATAAGTTGAGTACAAATAAGACTCGGAATGGAAAGTTAATACAGTCTATGAGCAAATTAAAACAAATTAATTCTATCTTGGTATGTTTTAACTGACTCGGAGTACGTTAACGTATAACGGTACGGAGCAACAGTGGCGTTTTCTGGTCACTACAGTCATGTCTCGAACAGGGACCGTGCAACAGATATTTCTACCTTTGCTGTTTGCCCTCGCGAAGCCGTAGAGTGTTCTACTGGTTTTATACATACCCCAGCAATTTGCGTTTACTGGATACGCCCCGCTGGCGACGCAGTGTTCCATCCCTGAAGTGTCAACCTGAAATTATAGGACTGGTTACGTCTACGGAGATACATACGCCTTGCAGTTGCAACTAAGTAATCCACGCTTTGGCTTTTCAGGCTTTGTATACCGGCGTCCCGTGCACGCAGTTTAATCTTAATGGAGCAGTAACGTTAAAACAAATATTTTGGTGTCCAAATGCACCACGGACGGCGAGTCTTGTGATGATCAACATGGCACAAGCCTGCATCTCGAAATACGGTCACAGTTGTGCGTGAGATATCACCGTAGTCGGCGCTATGGCTCAAAGCCTATCTCTGTTACATTTCCCAAATATAACTGTGGCCGTGTTTTGAGATGGGCTTATGCCTCGTACCCTCATAAACACCTATCCTATGTAATGGGCGTAATGGCTGTGCCGGAAGACAGCGAATTGGCGCTTCTTTTGTCTGTTCAGCTCAGAAAGCGTCGGATAACCGGGATCTGGTAATGCCAGTTTTTCGCGTTTTCTTCGTCAGTTTTAAAGCTGGCAGTCCCGGGCGGCCGTAACTGGTTATCTACTGTCATCTATCCACGTTAAAAAAACATAGCACGATGATCGGTTTGAATGTACCCGATTCTACCGTCTGCGGAACTGATCGGATTTTCTCTTGGAAATTCTCCTCGTTATATTATTGTTCTTAATGAGTCTTGCACAGTTGTTCTAATTTCCTTTTAACCTACAGACTGCAGTTAAAACTTTTTCTCTGAGAACGCGAACAACCCAAGGGTTTATGTCAGGGCTCGAAATGAAGCTGACACGACAACCGTTGTTTTTCGACTATTGGCTTAACTAAATAAACGCAAAAGAAGTTGGAAGGTTTTCCACTTTGAACTGGATTTTGAATCTCGAGACATACCGTTATGCTCCACGTAGCCAGATTGACACCAGGGTTATACACGTCGTAAGCCGTTATATTTCCCGAATAACTGACCCCTTGGCCGACATCACAATAGAATTGATTGTACGGTTGAATGGGGGTAAAAACAAGGATCCAGGGAAGCCCAGAACTGGTACTAAACGCGAAACAATTTGACGGCAAACCGGGAGTTTTCCAATTAATGCGATAAAAATCACTGTCTGTGCAACCCTGCAACGAAATACAGAATGCATTAGAATTTTGCTTAATCCGTTTTATCGCTGATTACATTTGCACTTAAACAGACTTATTAAACAGACTTTTATAAACAGACTTATTTAAATAATAGTTATTTAGTTATACGGCGTTATGATCGCATTACTGTGTTTTATCAGTTATTGGTCTCTCCCGATCTACAAGTCCACCCCGGAATTAAGATCCGGCTGGGGATCGTTTTTGCATTACTTCTCCCTTTAAAACTTTATTCTCATAAATAAAGATGACACCCACAACCCTTACGAAAAATAGTTGACGATGGGCCACCAACTGATAAAATACGGTATTCGCCAAAGATTTTAGCATTATCTGGTGCTTTAGAGGATGTCTCTCCATAACAGCAGTAAAATACAAAGGTCTTACACTTGTTCTCGCCATAAGAATTACTTCGCTGCAGCTTGTGGGTGCAAATGACAAGGAAGCGGGTGTGACTGACACTACGAGAAAATTAATCCTCGCAAATCTATCGAAGGATATCGGCACATGACTGTAAGATGCAATTTAGTACATAATACTTACTGGTGCAAGGCAGTCCCGTGGTAGTGGTCGAAGATGTGGTGAAACAGTTTTGTAAATTCGTGGTGTCCACCTGGCAAACACAAGATTCCCTTATTATGTAATATGTATAGCCAAGCGGTGATTAAGCATCTAGATAATAAACGGATAATTGACCTAAATATGCCAAATACGCAACTTCACGCTACCGGAATGTGGAAACGTAATGAGCGTAATCAAACGAACAGGTCACAATAATGCTTCCAGGTCTTACAACACGTACATATGTTATAACTATATCACCCTTCAATTTATTTCAACGGAAATCATTATTGGACGTGTGATTACACTGACATTAAACACGCAGCAGTGTTGCATACAGTATTTTAAAAGCCAAGAAGCCACAGGAGTGCATGTTAGGCATTGTTAGCATTTTTCAGTTGCATACGTTTGGTTAGCATTGGTCATGACTTAGCTCTCCATTTTTCAAAGAAACGTTTTACTTTTGTTGTAGTACAGTACTGCCTTAAGAAGTTATATTACCGTACCGTAATTTGTACACTGCTGTACTGCATGCCTGTAAAAATGTCCACTGCCGTTACAGTGCCGTAGTATACGGTCCCTTGTCCCACGCTGCAACCCTGACTGAGTGGGTCAAAAGTCACGGTTCCATCGTTTTGCACGGATGCGCACGGTAATCCGGTGAGTTGAAAGGTCACTCGCGAACAGCACGTGCATCCCTGTTACAATGATAAGTTTTTCTGCGTAATGATCCTAATCATAATTTGTGACGCCTTTCTGAACAACAATTGAGCAGTAAACATGATCAAATAGCAACTAGCGTGCCTCTAGCGTACGTATTGCTGATGGTGGTTCTGGTTACTATTTATGTAATTAACGATGCCGCAGGTAAAGATGCAGACGTTCGTTGGAGTCAGAACAATAATTTTAACATTACCACAAAATTTTGGTTCAGAACTCGATATGCATAGTACTAATTGTTCTTAACTAATAATCGATGAGCGTTAGAAGGGTAACACAGCAAATTAAAATCCATGTTGAAAACGATATATGTTTTAATATCAATAACTGTGTCACAGGACCTGTAAGCTGCAGTCAACAGCGTACCATGGAGAGAGACAAGGGAGTAAAGATGTTTGCAGTGCACTGATATGGAGAAAAGTATCCACTGTTTGGATAAGAAACTGAAAAATGCCAGAAGCAATGTGAATTACTTGCCGCTGTGTAGGGGCTGACAATAGGTTACGGTAAGCACCCCATGAGCGTGACCCTTGTACGCCCCGGCTGGAGATTTACGTTGTGGATAAACATGGTGCCTTTGTACCGCGTTGTATACAGCCCGGTGACGAAATGACAGGGATTGCTTACCTCAGACATTGCAGTCCTTATATGTACAAACACGCACTGTGTCATTAAGTCAAAAGCTTACATATGCACACCAAGGAACCCGTGGTGGGTGTATCTGTGCTCGGGGTTGACGTTGGTGTGGTGGTTATGCAATACTGTATGCTGGAAGTGTCCACCTAATTCAGCACAAAGCGTTAGAATTTAGATTAATATTGGCAGTTAAAGGTCACAAGTGTTTTAAGGTTTTGTGCTTTTTGCTACACACGTATGACCTTTACCGTTCTTCAAAATCACGTTTTAATGTGCTAATCTTATAAAATCTAATCAGAATTTATGTATCATTTGTCACAGTGCTCGGAGAGCCTAGTGACAGGAAGAATGGTAATTTTCCATTTTTTTACCAGGTACGATGTACTCACCACGACCATATCTGCTCCTAATGTCATTTGACTGAAGCTGTCCCAAGCCCGTAAATTCCCATAGTAAGAAACACCGACGCCTACGGCGCATCCAAGGCTAGCATCGAACACAATCTCACCATTACTCTGTACTCTGCCACAAGGAAGCCCTGTCAGCTCGAAAGACACTTGATAAGGCAGGCACGATCCCTGCAATTATACACTAAGTTTTTTTTACGGCTCCGATGAACACAAGAACACTGCACTTACAATGAGCATCACGGCAGAAAAAAAATTTTCCTGGCAAGTGCCAGGAAAAAAGGGACCACTGTTGATAGATGCTGCAAAACGGTGATTATTGTCATATTGCTTTGCTATAATAATTAACGTCAGTGCAACTAGCCAAACCAGCAGCAAAAAGAACAACAATTGTACCTTGACACGGCGGTGACGGAGAAGAAGGCAGAGTGGTTGGTACGGAAGTAATTCCGGAATGGTCCACGGTTGTACTTCCCGAATGGTCCCCGGGCGATGGATTATTATTGTTCTGGTTAATATTTATGATGGTGCCGCCGCCGCTGCATCCACCCGATCCGCAACCACAAGTGTTGCATCCTTTTTTCCCAAACAGCGACGCCATCCACGCCCACATGCTCCAGACATCTCCAGGTCCAGGCCCTGGCGGACCAGGACTGTTGTCGGGACCAGAGCCGGGTGGCGGATACTGACATTCGGCTACAACATAGACCAACCCGATGATAAAGGTCACTAATATTATTCTGCTGCGAAGTAACATGGTTGTGTGTCAATTTTGTGAAAGCAGCAAGCAAATGTACGGAAACGATTATAATCTACACGAGAGAGCAAAATTATCGCAGTTTATATGCAGTTCTTTTGCGGCTAACCGACGCTCTTTACGGCGTCATTTGCAGTGAAATGTGGTTGATGGGCACTATGTCGCGAAAGTACGTATTTCTGATTCGAGGAACCTATATATATGGATAATGGAATTATTTTACAGGATGAAATAATATTTCTTGATCGACCGCAAATCATTATCTTGATCACTTTATGGAGTTGTTATTTGTGAGGAAACGTAAACATACCATTTCGGGCTCCCGCACGTGTTTATTTGCTCGTGGGCGGCATGTGGTCGTTACACTTTTTATGACTGGCGGCAAAGAAGCAATTTACGCAATGAAATTATCTAAACATCCATTTCTGACGCCTGCGGTATGACCGTATAAGTAAAGAATTTCACAACAAAAGTATGTTGGAATGCGTCTGTCCGAGTATCGGTGAAAATCAATAATTATAGTTTGCAATAAGTACGTAGTAGGTAATTGGCTAAAGGGTCAATGTTGGGAACTTCGGTTTACCTCATAAATCATCATGAAAGAAAACTGAAGTTACAAAATAGTTACGAAAAGACAAAATACATACATAATGGATACTCTAAATCAGCTCTATACTAGCGAAAGCTGTGACGACCACATTGAAAATTAAGTTTTTAGGGTCCGCTTGTGCAGGAGGTTATTACTACGTGCAGGCAGGAGCCTAATTAGCCAAAGGTTGTTTACTTCATAGGCATCCTCAAGCATGAATTCTTACATCTTCAACCGCTGCAAAATCAACGGCAGTCAGACTTGGAACTTGTGCCCCGACGTGAGTTGACGACGCACGCTCAGGACGCTCGGATTGGTCGATTGCTGAATGCTGAATGGTGGGTGTGTTTAGGTGTTCGACCAGATCACCCTAAGGCCGAGGTTGCAAATGTGGTTCGATGTGAACTACAGCAAGGCAATCCCTTCTACAACTGCACCAAGAGCCGCCCCTTCCAAGGCTGGAATGTACCGCTCTCAGGTGACGTTATTGTCGCTAGCGACCTATTGTCGCTAGCGACCTATTGTCGTCCATTCCGCGTAGATCTTCGCTCCTGCTCCAGAGAAAGCCATGTTCCCTGAAGGCAATACTGGTGTTCTGTAGAGTTTGTAAAAATATTCGTTACAGCTCTCGTTTCGAGTTCGAACATCTGCGATATAAATAAAACTACACACGTAGATTTTATTAAATTGGCGATTGCGTAATGGGCGTAACGGTCTGTATGGGCGGAGGATGTTTTTTAAGTGTGAAAGTACCGTATCGGTATCTCCTGCATCGCGAAAATATTTTTTACACCAAGAGCCTACAGGGATTTATTTTACTAATTGAATACTATTTCCGCTACTGATCGACCGCAAACCACATATTATGTACTCAATTTGGAAATTTTTATTTGTGTGAAAACGTGAATATACCAATTTGAGCTAGCGCACGTGTGTGTTTGCTCGTGGGCGACATGTGATTAAAATTATTTTAATCTTCTTCAGCTGGGTGCAGCTACTGCGTCCCGCTGAAATAAGGCTACGGGCGGCTGCTCAGAGGCTTTGGTAAGATAGTCGCAACAGTGGAAGATCATGCAGTAATTTGTATTGTATGTACTGGTCAGTTTTTTTGTTGTTTTCATTTTATTGGGTAAAGATTGTTTTGTTACCGTTAAAATCGTCGATTCACAGGCTCAAAAATGCAGGAAAACAGGATTGTCAATCGAAAAAAAAATAATCATGCATTCACGAATAGTTTTCGATTATATTTGATTGTCGGATTGTCGCACGAAATACGAAATTTTCAGATACGGAGTGCATCATTAGATAATTTTCTAGCAATTCGATTAAATTTTAATTAACAAATTTTTGTTCGACGCCCCTGCAGCTCTAAATTTCATCAGCAGTAGTGGATGTCGTAATGGGACAGTGTTGCAAATTCGTAGTGTCCATCTGGCAAAGCACAAAAACCGTTTGTCAGTACACTAAAATTTTACGGAAGTCGTACAAACATACAATGGCGTGAGTGCTTGGACGTTAATACCACAACTTACGTATAGCACGTTTTTTTACAAACGGCTTAACCATACACACCTTGACAGATATGATTTTAATAATCGTATCACATTTTTTTATTGCTGCGCGCGTTGTTCGTATTCTATGTGTACGGACGGATATCTTAATTTTAGTCATCAACCGCGCACTCTGGCCGATTACTAATGTACATAATTAGCATAATTCCTGTAAGACTAATCATATCTAAGCACCTGCACATCCCATGTTCCGGTTGTGAATATCCACGGAGCTCCCACCGTCAATGTGCCGTTGTACGTAATTCCGCTTCCCACAACGCACCCGTCTCCGTTGACATTAACGGATATAGATCCGTCGGGGTGTGCTTGAGCGCATGGCAATCCGGTAAGCTCGTACAAAGCTGCACACTCGACCTGGGGAATGTGAAGGATTCTTTGTCAATACGAGTACAATGGTTTGTGAGAAGCAGTACCCAGTATCCACTAATGCTGTACCCAGTTACAGTCGTTACCCTTAAACGCATACTAAGTACATGTATTTGTACATATGATATGAGAGGAGTAGACATGGAGCGGGAAAACTTACAGCAACGTAATTGGGGGTAAAAAATGTTTCGTCGCAAAACATCGGAGCGAACGGTCCATTGTGATCAGGATACGTAACTGAAAATAATACGCGCCAACACTGAAATGCACCGGAAATTATTACTTTTCAGTAGCTACCCCTAATTTACGTTATGCGTACCGTTGCAAGGAGTGCCGGGGGAAAATGGCGTTGAACTTACACAATGTCCCAGATTTTCGGTGTCCATCTTCATTAAAAATCACAGATTTACAACATAACCTTGTGAAAATTTTCAACTAGCGGTTTGTCCAGAAATTAGGGAATTTTCTTGGACAGTATCAATCATTGTCAACAATTACTTAGCTATCCGATCGTAATTATCATCATGAAACACTATTTCAGGCGAATGCCAAAATTACGACACCATAAAATTTTGGTCTTGCATTGAAAAAGGTAAGTTGGTATTGTGCAACGTGATAATTTACTACGATTGCACTCATTGCAGTATCATCGTTGGAGAATAAACGCCTTACCGTAATTTGCGCAGTATGGTACGGTATTCCTGTATACATGTCGATCGCAGTTACCGTACCGCTGTAAATAATCCCGGGTCCTACGCTGCACCTTTGACTAGAAGGATCGAAAACCACAGTGCCGTCAACTGCACCGAAGCGCACGGCAATCCGTTCAGCTGAAAGGTCACGCGCCCGCCGCATTCCTGAAGACGTCAGTCATTACGCATCTTAAGTTGTGCATTTTGCTTTTTTTCGCCTCTACAGGTAACAATTCGACAGACAAAGTCCCCCGCGAAACCGGGGCATGTCATTTAAAATACTCATAGCTTTTAAATAAACGGGTCTTTGATGCGCTCTTCAATAATTGGCCATTTTTCACCGGCGGCTGCGGTATAAAAACGGTCTTCGAAGCTTCGGGTCTTTTCACGCCTTGTGGCGTACAGCAACTGGTGAGATACCTAATCCTGTTGCACTTGTACTCTTCAATATGTTTCGATAATATGGATTACAATATTGAAGCTCTGCTTATTATCTGTACAAACGCTTTTTTTTTGTTACATACTCGTAATTCTATGATATAAGAAATCTCCGCCATACATTAGCATGCAAGATTACTGTAAACTATGCAGAACATAACGTATACTCCACCTGGAAACGACTTTAGGGTCAGAAGGAGGAAACCTGAACCTGCCTCTAATTACCAGATAGACCTGAACTCGTTTAAAACCTTAACTCATTTTTCAGCTTCGCTTTCAGTTTTCAAATTAAATAAAGCCACGCCCGTTCCGGAAGCAGGACAAACTTACCTGTGACACATGCGGGTCCTATAGCGGAGTCACATATACCGCGGTACACTGATCTGGATAGAGAAGTCCGCCGTTCGGAAAAGAAACTGCAACCAACGGAAAACCGTCGGAATTTGCTATACAATTGGCTATTATTTACAAGAGCAGGTACAACAGCAGCAACTGACACGAGCAGGACAGCGGTGCACTTGTCGTTGGTGGATAGTTGCAGTGTTGCATGTTGATGGTGTCCACCTAGGGCGATAATTGTCAATTGCATCTTTATTATGTATTTGCATGCAATGTGCATTAACACCTTTCCAAAATACAGTGCGTCAACAGGTGGTCTTACCACGACAACGGCACTCTGTAATATGGATCCGCTCATCGTGTCTCTAGCCAGCAGGTTTCCAGAGTAGACGAACCCTTGTCCAACGCCACACCCCTGGCTAGTATCGAACATAAGGTCACCGTTATGCGGCGTTAGTCTGCCACACGGTAGTCCAGTTAGCTCGAACGGCACTTGATAAGGAAGACAACCCTGGAATCGGTCCAGCAGTGCTTAATGCAGCATTATAAGAAATCGTCGTTTTCAAAACCTTACGCGTATAATTGAGACCGTCGACATAACCTCCTGGCGGTCCGGATAGAACGGCCCGCCGTTCAGCACAACTACGGGACAAAACCTTTATACTTGGGAACTTGGTCCGATAGAACCCCCGCTCGCATTAGTTACTTTGCGATGACTAGGTAAGGATCGTAGCTTGACACGACGGAGACGGTGAAAAGTTGCGCGTGCTGCTTGGTCCGCTAGTGCTTTCGAAATTGTATCCGGATGATGCATATGGATAACCGTTATTGTTGTTGTTATTGATAACTATATTAGTACTACCGCCGCCACATCCACCCGAACTGCATCCCTTCTTCCCAACCAGCGACGCCATCCACGCCATCATGCCCCATATGTCTCCAGGTCCACGGCCTGGTGGACCAGGAATGTTGTCAGGACCAGTTTCTGGATCAAATTGACATTCAGCTACAGTATAGACCAACCCAATAATAAAGGTCACAATTAGGATTCTGCTGTACAGTACCATGGTGGATGAATTCTATCGACCTCACAAACTTGAACAAGAAAGTTAAGGAAAATCACGCTGCCGAGGCACGAACTCGGTAGTTCAATCTTTATATGCAGTTTTTGGTGGCCCATCCCTACAGTGATTTGAAGTGGAATGTTGTAAATGACTGGTGACACTACGTCGTGAAATAAGCATTAATCATTCCTAAAATCCTTGTCTTTTTAGTTATCGCGAGCAGAGTAACTCTATGTCACTATGCATTACTTTTTTATGAAGTTGTTTATTTGCGCGAGTACAGGTAAGGAGAGCAGTACACCTTTATTTGCTCATAGGCGATTGGTGATCGTTACGAATTTCATGGCTGGCGGCAGAGGAGAAATTTACGCAGTGACATCATCCAGTTTCACAGCAGAAGAATTTACGCAATGACATAAAATGTCTGACACCTACTCTACTGTAGTATAGTGTGAGTATGTCCGTAAAATGATTTCACAATGAAATCATTCTGGTGTCAGACAGGTTGTGTAAATAACCGGTTTCTTAAAACTAAACAACTAAACACTATTTCCCCGTCAGTTACTTAAGTTATGGAGGATTCGTTATAATCGTGCGTAACTCTTTTTTTGCAGGATTCGGAAATACTGATCCAGAGAACAGATTTGTGTTATGTTATTTACCACTCTGCAGACGCACCTTACCACGACATATCAGTACTACGGTCTATCAAGTCGGGATGAAAATGATTGACCTTAAAAATATCAGTAAACGGTGAAAACGGGAATGATGCTAGATGGCATTACCTCATTACATCATAAACGTGCATCCATATTTAGGCATGGTAAGGTCGTTTAAGCGGAGTTACTACTCGTTTGCACCCCTCATTGTTCTACCTGGTCATTTATGACACAGTACGCGTATTCTGCTTCTTATACAAACACGGTTGTCGCTTGTTAGATTCTTGTGGCTTGTAGTCACTAGTCAGCAAACTTGCCGCCATCCGGAACAGAGATATTCTCCTCTACTGCGCAGTATTAAAACCTTGTTAAAGATTTCTACCCTATGACAGTTTTTAAAATAACTGCTTGAGTACAATTTTCTCACAAATTCACATCAGTAGGTAGAAAAATAAATTCTCTATCGATTCCTGTATAGTTTAATATGACCTAATTTGAGTAGAAATTCACCTTAAGAAAGATAGCCCGATAAATGGTACTTACCGTATACCATGCAGTTTCGGATACAATGCATTACAGGAAACTGTGGGATATTTAATTCCGAATACGGCAAATTTGAGCCTTACCATTAGAATATGTTGTAGATATCATAATATAATGTGCACATGCTTCGAGAACATTTTCAGTGCATGCACGGTACCTGCCAGCGCCGGTACCATTACCGGCCTAAGTAAACCATGCATTCAGTGTATTTTCATGTTTTGTTCTTACAGCTAGGCTAGCTTTAGCATTACGATGACGTTGAGTTTGCATTTCCCACACGACAGTTTTCACAATATCTGAAAATGGTAGAGCATCTTCACAATATATCCGCTTGCAAGTTTAAATCCGAAGCATTTTTCCAAAACGGATACGGTTTCCCCGTATCGCTGACAAGTGACGGCGTTGGGCGAACCTAGTAGTCTTGTGCCGGCGAAATTACCGGATCCGGAACTGGGAAACTGTCCGTTGTAGCCTCCTGGGGAACTCCACCACACCCGTTCTGCAGGTTGGTGGTATCAACCTGCAAAGAGGAAATACGGCATCAGGATGGAGAACCGGTGCGTACTGTGTTAATGTGTGCGGACGTGCAGTGTAGCATTGCATGTCAACGGCTCAGCACCAGTACGGAAATACTTTCAGATGATGATATCACGAGCCAGGTGCGGTAACTGAGATACTGAGACTGAGGTTACCCACAGGGAGACCATAAACCTCCGTGCCTGTTTGTAACCTTTATATTAATTTGCATAACATGCTACAGAAATACGAGTACTGTACTGGTACTACTGCGTATTAGCATGGCTGTAGCCTGTTATGCCAATTTTTACACGATATCCTGCGAACCCTGGTAAGAAATAATAAAATAGCGATTAAAATAAGGAATGCAGTTTGTGTGGCTGCATGCGTACTTCTTGGTTGTATCACATCAGCGCAAAATTGGGACCTTTGAATAAGATCCGTACTTTATTAATATTTTTTAAGTAATGTGTATCTCGTGGTTGCTTAAAATATTCTATAAAAAATTATTTTGTCATATGCGGTAGTATTATGCTATTGTTGTTAATAACGCATTCCATGTGCAAATCAGTGTTTTAATCAGCCGTAAGTGCGCTACAATCGCTGTATTATTTAGAACTTTAACCACGCTTTATGTCAAAGTATACTAACCGTGATTTGGTAATCAGCGAAGGTGGATTTGGTTTCGGTGTCCATTCCAAATACTCTGCCGTTGTAGACGATACCCGGTCCCACAATGCACTGGCCATACTTTTCCGGACTGAAGGCAACGGATCCGTCACCCAGCATCTGGGCACATGGAAGTCCCGACATCTGGTAGAATGCCCGATACGATGGACAACCCTGCAAAAAATGCAATAATTTGACAAGTGTCTGAACAGAACTAACGAGTGGTTGCCCATGGGCCCATACGGTGCACATTAGAAAAGAACATGGACAGTATGCTTACAACCAAAATAACTGACGAGAATATTGAGATTACCTACAGTACAAAGAGATCACAAAACTCTGCAACCTTTTCTGACCTTTGTAATTGTACTATATTCGCAAATTTCGCACCACGTGAATCCGAACCGCAATACGAATAATTAGGTTATCGTCACGCATTTTTTCTACTATATACATGTAGCGTGGCTTTGTTTTTACGATGTGGTATCTCCGTTATGTTTTATTCAACGTTGTTACCAATTTCCTGCAAAATTTATTTTTGTTTGATTATAACTACAGTAATACGGCTCTAGTATGTACATCTGACTTACTGTGGTGACAACGGTGAAAACGATTTCGGTACAGGTTTTTGGGTAGAACGGTCCCGCGTTGGGAATCAACGTAGCTGCAAACAAAAAACGTATTATAAAAACAGTGCGTACAGTACAAATTATCAGCTTCATCAACAGTAATTAATTTTGTCTGAAAAATAATGCTGTGTGCATATACGGTATTTTTTTAAGTTCCGAAACCGCTTACCTTGACAGAAATCACCGGGGCTGCTTGGATTCGGCTGATCTCCTGGACTCGGTTTGGGAATAACGTTAAAGGTCATGGAGGTTCCGTTGTTGGCGAACAAAGCCGAGAACAGAGCCGAGAAGGTGCTAAACCGTCCGAATATATCCAGCGAAGAGGGGTCGTTCTGCCCTGAAGAACCGGCATTTCCGTTGCCATTTACCGAGGGATCATCGCAATGTACTAGTCCGTACCCTGACAAGCAGAAAACCAATACAGTGAGCGCCACGCTGTGATGCATTCTACCAGTTTCTTAAAATGTAAACAATGTGTTTCGTGCGGAAAGAGGAAGTGAACCAGATAAATCTTCAGAATGCCGACATGGAAGAAACAAGTAAATCTTTTACACGGTTTTAATAGTACCAACATTAATGGGTCAGCGTTATCAGGCCAGATTTTATGTCGACGATTTGGAGGTTTATCTTCCACATGCACTGCATGGAATCAGTAGTCTCACCGCCACTTTCTTTAAGCTGTACTCGGTAATTTCCTGCTTCTTAACTATTTTACAGTCCATAAACAGGTAAACAGCTACAGGATTTTAAGGCACCACCGGAAAGTTGGCAAAGGAATCAGATGCGTTGTAATCGGTATACGGGAATCGCGTGAGCTGTTCCCCATATTAAAACAATAAAACTTCGCACAGTTATGCGAATCACTAACATTTCAAAATGCAGCTTGATATTCGGAATGCATATCAATACAGCGTTGTAATATGCACTTAAATCCTTATGGTTAGTGAAGGATTCTTTAAAGTATAGCTTTTACTTTCGTACAGTAATATGATCGTGTAACTATCATCGTGAGAGAATTACGCTATCATAGCGAACGACAAAATATTTTATTTATCAGATTCGTAATAAAATGTCTGACAGTTTCGAATGCTGTAGATAAGCACACACCTGAAAACTCGTTCCGTGGTTGTGTCACTTGTATGTACAATCGTTTACTGAATCTATCACTAAACTTATAAATTAATCAAACACGATGCTTTACATAATATCATAATTTCAATTAAAGAAGCTTGTGAGTACATTTATATGAATTTATTCCAAATTGAGTCGGAACTGATAACAATATTGCCATTAATATTTTATTTTCCGATATACAAGCTTGTCCGGTAATTTCTGTCGTAAAGGTACAGATAGCACATATTTAGTGCGAAGTTTGCGCTATGGCGATTGCCACCACACTACGTTTGGCGTTATACGTAAATTTGTGTATTTCGCTGTATTGAACCGGCAGAAATTACCGGACAAGCTTGTACATCCTGCATACGTGTACAATACGCGGTCTTTGGTATACAATAGCTTGAGATTAGAAAGTGAACTGCATCGTATAACATCCACGCAGTACCTGCAATCGGCAGTAAACAAAAACATTATTTACATAATATTATGTTCTTTCTCAGTATATACTGAAGTATTCATATTATATTATGTAGCGAAATCATTTTATTTAGATACTAAGAAACAAGAAGCCACTCCTTGCGCTCGCCCGCACCAGATATGTCCACTCGATGGTGGAAAATAAAAATAATATATTGTTAACTTGCTATTCGTTTTAAATGATGGTTCATGTACATTACCTGCTCTACACTTTATGCATTAACGTTAACCATGTAAATTTTTGCATCTGAATCCTATGCATACAGTGCAATACACTTACTCGTATGATAGTTGCGGAAGTTGGTAGATTTCAGCAAAAGATAACGTTGCTCAGCTGCTTTACATAAGATTGCTCTGAAAAGTTTGATTTAGCCGAGTTAAAGCCCAAAGGCAGTCGCAACGGCAATAAATTTAATCGTATTAAATGAATTTCAATTTGGCGCGTCTGTTAAACCCTTAATTTAGCGAACCTGCTCGATGCTAATGCCCTTAAAACGGTTAAGCCAAGACTTATTATGCAACGTAACGAATGAAATTTAATTAATTAGAATCCATTATACACCACACGCTTCCGCATCGGCAATTTACACGGTATCATTACCGACTAAAAATGCTGCTTTACAGAGAAAACGTTGACTAGATTTCACTGTGCAATGTTTCAATCACAATTCGGCCGATTTTGAACAGCAAACCGCAAATCAATATGCACTAAATGACAACAGGTAATATCGCGCGACTTTTCATTGCCCACGAAGCGGAAGTGAACGCCCGTGCCAACGCCCAAACGGTAAAACATTCAACAGCGATCATTTTAGTCAAAGAATATATAAAGCGTTGTTATTTCCTTCAGACAGCATCATTCGCCTCTCACAGTCTACTTCTAACCCAGCCACCGAAGACTCTCCTAAAACCAGCGCCGGCATCATGAAATCCCTTTTCGTTATCCTCGTCGTCGTGGCCACGACTTCGGCTGCCAGCATCAAGGTACAATTAAGGCGTTATGTTGTACGGAACATCATATAAGGGATGACGTTTGACCTTCTAGTTTATGTTTTATCCAGGCTAAGCGCGCTGTCAAGACCCAGAATCCGTTGGCTTTCGGGGCGTTGGATCAGCTGCGTGGACGCACCAAACTGAGCGTGCCCGATCAGTACAACTTGATCGCCACCGCGCGCGCCGGTCAGGATTATCCTAATAATGTCGCTATTCCGCAGACGACCTTCGACTGCGGCAGCACCCATCAACCAGGGTTCTACGCTGATCCATCCCCGGCTTCCCGCTGCCAAGGTATACACGCATTGGACACTATTTTTCGTATATACAAAGGTCAAGATTTATTTTCTTGCAGTCTTCCACCGCTGCGACATTAACGGCAACCAGACCTCGTACTTGTGCCCCAACATGAGTGTACGACGACACGCGCTCTGACTGGTCGATAACTTGATGCTTATTGGTGGGGGTGTTTGCAGGTGTTCAACCAGATCACCCTGGTCTGCAACTGGTGGTTCGACGTGGACTGCAGCAAGGCCGCCTCTTTCTATGACTACTCCAATAGCCGTCTCTACCAGGGCGCCGATATTCCGCTGCTGGATGACGTTGTCCGAAAGATGACCGGCGCTGCTGCGTCCGGCCGTGTGCAGGTGGCCGCCGCTAGGGCTCCGGAGGAAGCCGCCCCAGCTGAAGCTGCTCCCGCCGAAGGCGAAGCTGCTGCTCAGTAGATGTCACTAGAACTTGTGAAGGTGCGCATTGCTCATTGCAGTTTGCAGTTCCTGTGTCCTACTTGCCGTCGATCTGCTCACCAAATACAGCATAGATTTTGTAAAATTGCAGTTGTGAAATTGCCGATGGCTATCATTGTATGCGTGTAAACTCTAAACTGGACTGGAGATCGGATCACTGATCGAAAGAAGTAATTACACAATTATCAGTACCGGTTTCACTAAAAGTCGAAGTAATGTGTATTAGGAAAAGCCTTTCGATCTCATGAAGAGGTCACGAAAGTGTCGCAGACGAGATCATTATATCAATGCCTTAGTGATACAAAACAGTACGCTATCAGTACAACAGCCTAGCGTCTGTACTAGAGTAGCATACGAGTACTGCATTGTTCTTAATTAGTACCCCAGTTTATGTTTTAGTAAAATTTTCAATCAATAGGGCTCTGTCAACGTTCGCGCTGTGCCGGCACGTAAATTTTGAGTTTGTTTAACCAATTTTACCTCGTGGCAGATCTAAGGTCCCCTTATAGGGAAGATTCAGAAAATGTTAATTGCAGCCGTTTGGAAACACGGAATGCTCCCTAAGATCATGAATAGCTCTAGCGATTTCGATTTGTTTTACAATTTTTCAATGTCAAATATTTTAGTATTTATTAACAGATACATTGGTGTCATTTATGTCACAGTTCGAACAAGTTAGATTTCTATGGTATTTTGTTTCACTTCTATCCGCAATATTACCCCACCGCATTTTGACGTATATGCAGTACAGAGTACAGACTACAGAGCTTAAGATTTATTCAGGCAATAGCCAATTAAACGTAACAAAAAGCCTGCGCCGAAAGACTAATTAAAAAGTTCGAATTACAGACTACAGTTCGACTACAGAGTAAGTATTACAGTGCAGAGTGTTACATGTGCGGCTGTGCCTATGCGTGTAGTCTGTAAATATCCTTACAATATTTCGTTAATTCATGTACTCTAACAAATTTACCGCCTGCCTTTTATATCACTATTACTGCAGGATGAAAGATATACGTAGATAATGTACATGTACGTGTACTGTATCTATAGTAATCCGATATATAGATATAGTATTAGTACAGTACTCCCAGAGTACGGTGCATGGGATGCTGCATGGATGTAGTCATATAGATATGCTTGACTCAAAAAAATGCGCAGAACAGGTTAATATTTCTATAATTTAACGTGGGTCTAATTTAGCTAGTCCATAATCCATATCACTTCTGCCCCAGTTCCAGTTTATATTGTTATGCGAATTGGCTTTTCCGAGAATTACTAATTTTATGCATGCGAGTACAATACATTATTCTACATACTACACACATTGTACATGCACTTGGGAGTTGTGACTACATCAATATTTAAAAATTTCGAACAGTTTTTTATCGGATATTTTATGAAAAACATACAGTAGTTGCAATAAAAAAATTTAAAACAAGCAGTTAAAGAATGTATCTCTCAAACTGCGAAGATGCAACCGCCACAGGGTACCGTAAATATGGCTAACCGTAGTTGTCAGCCCGTGTTGCAGACTTGCAGTGCATCACCGTCAGTATCACGTAACCACGGAACTGACGGAAGTGGCTGAGCCAAAAAGTACTGGCTGAGCCACTGCACTGACTGCAGTGCCAAGTCAACCATTTGATAGATTTGAAAGCAAGTACTCTTTTAGATTGGAACAGATTGTTGACACCTTCTTATTCTTCACTGGCTCTCCGTCACCTGGTTATTCTGATTACTTATTTTTGTTTTGTCCATTCAGTATTTCGCCAAAGTTCGGGCTCATTTGGGGTGCACTGTGGCAGCAGTAGCAAATCGACGCGCTGTTCACAACCAACCTCATCTTCAGTGATTCTTCACGCATCTGTTTGAGATCTTCTGATAAAAGATCAGGAATCACATTAATTATTATCATAACCTTCATGACAGCGAATGCGATCATGATGTGACGTGGATTGTTCAATCATCTTTCGTGAATCACACACGGATCCATAGCCCTACATGGATCCATCTACTTATCCCCCTTACGGGCGCTAATCTCCTCTTCGCTTCTGATTGTGCTCCCTTAATCCTCTCATGGATACGCGCGCCTCCAAATCGGGTGTCGGCGATATGGACATGCGGCGCAGTCTCTTCGGCATCCCGCCCTCCAGCCAGTCCAAGGGCTACACCACCCTGCCCCATGACGACGAAGAACACGAGGCCTTCCTCAGCGATACCCTCCGCCAGCAGCAGCAGGTGATCCGCCTGCAGGACGACACCCTGGACAAGATCGGCAGCAGTGTGGGAGTGCTGAAGGATATGAGCGAGAAGATCGGGATGGAGGTCAGTGATCATATGGTGATTATGGATGATCTGGGGGATAAGATGGAGCGGACGGACGGGACGATGACGGTGGTGATGCGCAAGCTGCAGAAGGTATCACGATTGAGTGATGATCGCTCGCAGTGGTGGGCCATCGGGGTGCTGCTGGTGATCCTCTTGATTATTCTCATTCTCTTCGCGGTATTATGATGGGAATCCGACACGGATCACGGGGAATTTTATCGGGCCATGTTTATGTGGGTTGTGTGTCTGTAGCAGCTTTTTTGTCCTGATTTTGCCAGTTTTGCACTCTTCTCGGGTAATGCCGCGTTATGATGAAATTCTATGTAAGAAATTCTGTTCTTTACGTGTAAAGGATAAATCTGTTCAAAGAAAAATCCGAGCCACTGCTAATGAAGTGTGTAAAGGCTTTTTCTGTCGTTTTGCAACTGTATTTGCATTTGAGCTCCCTAATTTATTTTGATTAAATTCTTGTTTTACTCTGTTTTCTTGATCAAGTTGTACGATGCAGACCGTTTAAAATTTTCATGTACCGTACGGAATATTAAAATTTGCGCAACGAGTGCTAGTAGTTGGTAGTTATGTGTTGTCACCGGTGGATTATAATTAATTTATGGATTAAAATTTAAAATCATGATTATTTTTGCTTTTGGAAGAATCAAGCAGAGACACATCACTGCGAGACAAGAACAAGCGACATAACTCAAAAACGAAGAGTTAGCACGAGGCCCTTATAAGTTATAAAGACTTTGCACATTAATTTTTATTTTTACTTTGTGCCTTTGTTATGTGTTGTTAATTTTAAACAGAAAAAGTCGGAAATTACTTCTAACGTTTCAAAAAAATATGTGCATTTACGTCTTGTAAATCACCAAAAACAGTCCTGCTATGAGTGCTATCTGCCAGCTTCCGGCTCCATTTCCACCGACGCAAATGGCATTGGGTAGTGGATACCGGTGTAGAAAAGCAAGCAGTGGTATTTCTTGCACTGGAAATGGAAACTACGTAGTGGACGCAACTATTTCCTGTTTTCTCGGCTCGTGCAAAATGTGTTTTCGTCAGGATCGTTTTGCATCAGTCGCAAATAACTTGGAGTTTGAAATTTCCCATTGACAATAACTTCGAGTTTGAAATTTCTAACGATCAAGAGCATGTAGTAAAGTTTTCTGTTTCAATTATCACACTGAAATCACTGCAATCTCATCTCCAGCGCTTCCGCCACCACCATGAAGCTCAACGGGTTCCTCCCCCGCAGTCTGTCTTTCGTGCGTCTGATGCAAACCTCAGCCAGCGCACCCGCCACCAAATCCCCCCTGGCCACGCTGCGCCGCCGCACGGGCTACACCTTCGCCAACTGCAAAAAAGCCCTGGAACAGTTCGGGGATGATCTGCCCAAAGCCGAGGCCTGGCTGCGCGATCAGGCGCAGAAGGAAGGCTGGGCTAAAGCCACGAAACTGCAGGATCGCGTCGCGGCGCAGGGTTTGGTGGGGATCCGTGTAAAGCCCGAGGACGGACTGGGCGTCCTGGTGGAAGTCAACTGTGAGACGGATTTCGTGGCGCGCAATGGGAAGTTTCAGGAGCTGGTGTGTACAATTGCGGAGGCCTGCACGAAGGAGCTGGATATGAAAGCCATCGACGGCGCGTCGTATCATAAGGTACGTGGAAAAATACGGCGGTAGAGGTGTGTCTCTGTGGTTGATGTGTACTGCGCGTAGTAGTCTACAGGGATTGATAGTGTTCGGCCGGGTTGAGTTTATATTGTTTTGGAATTTTTTAGTGGTCGTTAACGCCAGATCGGATTTCCAGTTTTAAATGGGCGCAAGGAAAGACGTTGGGTGATCTTACGGCGTTAACGATAGGCCAGATGGGAGAAAATATGGTGCTGCGGAGAGCGGTGCTTGTCAAAGCGGATCCTCGGGAATGCAAGGTACGCGCCGCGAATTTCCCTGAATTAGTTTATTGGAGTGATTCCCATTTATAATGATTTATTTCTTATATTTTTGTCACACAGTTTTCCATACACGGATTATCTTGTTATCTGCGTGGACAAACAAAATTCAGATTATTATTTGATTGTATATGCATTCGTTTTATTCCGTAAATAATTAAGCCGAGATTTTTTAGCGAGTTGTAAAATTAAACAGCGTTTTTTAAATTGATTAAATCCAGAAATTCGTTGTTTCAATTTATTGGGCCCTTAGTTTTTGTGCTTATATAATTCCAAAGATCTAGTTAGTTATTTTTTTGTTGAAAAGAATGATGATTTTTACAGTTATTAACTCTGTAGCTGGAAGTTCTCGGTATGGTGACAATGAATAAAAAAGCGGAATAAATTATCCGTACGAGTATTTTAAAGAAAAACCAAACCGTTTATTCTACCGCAGATCAGCGGCTACGCACATTCAGCCGACAACGCCCACCACCCCCACAACTGTCTCCTGGGCCGGTTCGGCGCCCTGGTCGTCTACCGGCAGACCCCCAACCCCGAGGCCCTCGATCCGCAACTCACGCCGACCTCCCTCACCGATTTCGGTCGGCAGTTGTGCCAGCACGTGGTGGGCATGAACCCGCAGAGTATCGGCAGTCTGGAGGATGAACCCATCCAGCGACCACCACCCCCACCGCCCCAATCATCACCGGCACCACCGGCTGCGGCCCCGGAGACTGCCGCGACGGCGCCCGAGGGTGGTGCGCTGCAGATTCCGGTGGTGGGTGCGTCCGCCACTGCGACCGAGGGCCAGGTGCCCGAAGGCGAACAGGACGACCAGCCCGTGACCTATGATCGCATTCAGGAGGACGAGACGCGGCTGGTGCATCAGGAGTTCCTGGGGGATACGTCCATGACGGTAGGCGAGGCGCTGCTGCAGAACGGGGTGGAGGTGCTGGATTTTGTGCGGTTTGAATGCGGCGGCGGTCGGACGGAGGAAGCTTGAAGGGAAGCAAGCAAATTTTCTTTTTTTTGTTGTTTTGCGGTTTTTCACGTTGACGAGGCGCGATTTCCTTTTTGGGCAGTGTTTTACGAAAGTATGCTGCATGTTTTTATTGATTAGTCTGTGTTTTACGGAAAAACAAGAGATGATGGATAATTGGGCTTCTGCATGAAATCGCGTGGAATTCAGATGAAAAAACAACCGACAAATTCACTGATTGGTGTGAGAGACGCGGCCCCGATCTTTGTTGTTTCCTTACTTTTAAAAAAATTGAACAGGTCCGTTTCCTGTTCAGATACGAAATAGCATAACATTATCAATTATGAAAACACCGAAATTATGAAAACAATTATCAAAACAGCCGAGAAAATTCCAGATAAAATTATACGTACTCGTATAATTACGTAATACGTTATCGTGTTCGTACTGTTGGAATTTTTAAAAAAATCAATGATTTTTATTTATTTTTTGATTGGGCTTGTTGATATTCTTGAAGCGTTGATTATTTTTTAAATTTGCATTTTTTAACGAATAAAAAATGGTATCTGATTTCCTATTCAAAACTGCAGGTAAACTGCATAGAATTTATATTATTTTATAGGAAAACTTACAGGAGGCTGTTGACAGAAGTAAAAGACGAATTTTTTTATTCCCTTGTAAATTCTCGTTCCTTGAACGAATGCGTTCATGCTTACATAAATTAAAAGTAACATGAGGATCATTAAATGCGGATGCTAATCATCCAAGAAAATACAGCCAAAAATTCCACATTTTGCCGCATTACACAGGTTCGGCCAGTTGGAATTTCTTAAACTTATCGATATCGTAGAATCCCGCTTTGACGGCCCGTCCCCCGAAGAAGCGCCCGTTCATGGTGACGACGGCCTTGACGGCCTGCTCCACTTTGGCAAACTCCACGAAGATACGGACGGCCTCGTCGTCCGGTTTGCCGGGCAGCTCGTAGATGAGGCAGGTGACCACTTCGCCGAAATTACTGCATTCCTCCTTGACTTCCGGCTCCAGGTCGTTGTCCACGTCGCCCGGGCCCACCATGTTGCGCAGCAGGAGCACCTTGGTCTGACTGCGGAACAGATCCGGGGTGTTGAATTTGGGCGGTGGCATGGCGAAGAGGGACGAGGGCGGCTCGGGCGGGGCTTCACGGAGGATTTTACCAGCGCGCAGACCGGTTTTCTCCACCTACATACAACAAGTATCGAACGTTTCGAAATTACGGTTTCGAAATTATTATCATTTTTAAACCTAAAAAATATCCAAAAATACTTCCAAATAAAACCACAGTTTTAACAAACTGCATCGACGAAAAACAATCAACAAAACATGCAGCAAGAATAAAGTTAAATATTTACTAAAACAGGATAGACAGCAAAACTGCGAAGGAAAACATGTAATTTCTGCAAAATCACAATCTAATTTTAAAGTCTTACGAGTATTACTGATAGTCTGATAGAGTACTAGTGTATAATTACTGAGTATAATTATTCTGGGGATTTCAAAATAAGTTCTAACTGCCACATGGTTAGCTTCACGCTCGATACACTAAGCGAGTCTGTATTAAAATCATACACTAATAATATACAACAAACAGAAAATACACTGTAAAATCACTCAAATGTAAGTTATAAAATTGCGCCAACAGGTAAGTGGCCGTGAGCCTGAATGAAACCGTACCGATAAAAGAAATAAAGTGGCAAACTACGACAGAAAAATCAATTATCTTTTACGATCCGAGCATCACATCGACATAAAAATTCTTAAGGCAAAAAAACAAACTTTTTCAGCTGGAACGTTGTAAAAGCCTACAGTTACAAATCTACAACACATCCGATTCTGACACACATCAAATGCAAAAAAAGCGGCACCTATATGACTACTTCGTATTTCTTATACAGAAAACAAACAAGTCGAAAGTAAAACGTGAACAATTCTAAGTAAAGTAACTGTCAAAACATATTGTACCTGCAGCGCCGAGGCAATTCCCTGTTCCTGCCGTCCCAACCCCGAACCCTCCTTGTACCCGAACTTGGCCATAATCTTGGCCGCCACCGCCGACCCCGACTCCATTACCCCACTCTCCGGAGGCGGCGGGATGGCGGCGCCCCTTTTCGTCGGGGGCATCCCCAAAATCTTCCCTCCCGCCGTCGGCGCTTCCTCCTCCTCGGGGGCGCTCAGCGCACTGCGCAGCCCGATGGTATTGGAAAACGTGGCCTGGAAGGGGTTCTTGGTACTGGCTGTCAGGGCGGCGGCCTCCGCCGTTTGGATGGCCTTCACCTTGTCGTACTCATTGGGATACAGGGGGTCGTACTCGTTGGCCACCCGCTGGATGGTGGCGGACAGGAGGGGGATGTCGAGTTTGGCCGGTTCGAGTTTGACGGCCGGGGTGAATTTGGCGGGGCGGAGGAGAGTGTTGGGGGTGGTGGTGGGGGGTAGGTGGGGTTTGAGGTTCTGTTTGGTCTGTTGGAGCGCGGCTTTCTTTAGCTGGAGTTGCGATTGGAGGAATTTGATGCTGGTGGCTTGTGCGGAGTTGGAGGGGGTCTTGGTGGAGTCGTCCGTGCTGGATTCCTCCAGGCCATCGTAGAGGGATGACATAATGAGGAAAACAACAATCAAGTGATAATCTATCCCGTTGATCACAATTTCCACCAATTCAAGAAAGTTTTCCAATTCAGTGTTAACAAAGGCACTTTAAGACAGCTTAAGACAGAAGTTACGACATTCAGAAAATAGAAAAACTGCAAACTGTCAATCTGAAAAAGCACGGTTCACTAGATGCGGATTATGCGCATCTGTTCACTCCATAGTCCATACTTCATTACATGTACTTTTGTTCTGCTTGCGAACACCCAGTCCCTGCAGCTACTTGTACTTTCACTGTACTGTTTGTTTGTACATCGACAGTGATTGAGCATTCATACCTTCATAATAAGTTCATATTCACACTAATACTTTGTTATATCCTATATAAGTTGCTGTCAAATATGCTACGTATTGGGACTCTGATGCGAATTGTATCTAGGTCAAAACTCTCGAGTGCGCAACAACTCACGCACTGATTTGTGAGTCAGACAGATTCACTGATAACGCCGCGCGCATTGGTCAGATGGAGAATCAGTTGCTGAATTAGAAAACCGAGCTGTTGAGCTCGGTTTTATAATTCGCGCTCACATTCATGACCGCTTGTCAACTCTTTAAAATTATCTTGCGCTGCTAATAAACGTTCGTAGTGATCCAGGCTGCATTAAACTGCATGTAATTACGCTGTACTTACTGTAGTTCGTCATTAAGTTTTAAGATAATAAGGTTTAATTAATTAACCTTATAATTAGTAACTGAGCGAAAATTTGATGAACTAACTAAAGTCGTTCACGCCTAATTAGCACAATTAGCAGCTAATTAATTAGCGAATCTGCCCCGAATTAGTAATTTCGCACCTGGGTTTTTTTAGCACCTAATTAGCAAATTTATTACACATGAAAAAAAATTAATTACATGTCATTAAGCTATGTGGGATTATTTTTCTTAACAAGTTTGCGCTTGTTGTGTTGCGTTATCCATGGTAGGGAATGGCATTGAAGGCAGATTTATTGCAGAATTCACGGTGCTGTCAGATTTGGTGTTTATTTCTACGAGTGTATCCGTTATCAGTGGTGGGAACATGTTTCACTTTTTTTCTCTTAGTCATAGCGGAAAAATGAGTAACCGATACGTGCGCAGCAGTCGTGCCGCTGATACACGCGGGCTGCTGATATTTGACAGTCCTAATATTAATAAAATAAGCCTTAGCGAATTCCATTTCTGTCACCCTTTTTTGAGCGATCCACTGAACCAAACTTTGATGTCTATATGTCATTCAATAGCCGCGAGTTTGCAGATTTGCAGAAACCAGTTAGTTTTTGAAAGTATGTGAAGTTTTAGAGAAAATCTTAAAAGAACTTAACATACAAAGTCTACGGGAAAAGTACAGAACCCACCACTGCAAAACCCACCCAAGCCACCACTGTCACGAACAGCACAGGAAAAGACATCTACACTTGATGGAACTTTGGTGTCCGTTAGTTATCGGACTGCCTTTAGTTCATAAGATTTTTATTAAGAGTTAGTTTTAAAATATGTAGGCTCGGAAAGTGATGTTTCTTAAAGACTGAACATGCAGAATCTCCTGGAAAGTGGGAGCGACCCAAATTCCAAAGATAAAGTAGTTGCCTTTCGCAACGGGTTGATTAGATGTATTATTAAAATTTAAAACTGCTTCCAAAGGGCGGTTGGCTTTTGCTGCCGTGCCAATAAAGTGGAATATTTTATCCCTTTTTCAAATCTCAAATAAACATCATTTTGTGAGAGACTGAAAGTCGATTTTGAGAATTTTGGTGTTCGACTGGAAATGATGTGGACTACTCGAGCAAAACAGCGAGTCCCAGTCCCACCGGGTCGTACGCACTAGGATTCGAGTCTAACCACCGCCCGGGGGGAGAAAGCGGCCCAAGGCAAATCTTTCACGGCGACCTAAATGAGGAGCGCGAGCCTCAGCAGGGGAAGGTAGAGAAGGTAAAAATATTTTTCAGAAGGGATATTTTTCCGCTAAGGAACGTAGACAAAACGGTTTTATGAAAACAAAAACCGCATTTTTAGCATTCAAAATTTAAAATAAACAGAAAATTTAAAAGCGAAGCTTATCCATTCTAATCTATGTTTCCGCCAGCTATAAAGCATTCCGTCAGATCAGCTCCCATCAAAGGTCAAAACAAAAAAATTAGGGAATACCCTCTCCGCCTGGGTGCGACAAGCTACATTAATGAACCATCTGTGAGGACGTAAGCGTGAAGCGACAATGCGTTTAATGGGTTGGGGATGTTGTTGGCGTTAAATGGGTTGGGTTTGGGATGGGTTGGTTGGGATTGGGAGGCGACAATGCGTTGGGGATGTACTATACAAATATAGATTTGGCATAGATTTTTGCCAAACTTGAAACAAATTTTATAAGCACGTAACAGAAAGCGGAATCATAGGCGGCGCCTATCTGCAGCGGGGTCAAGCAAGACACTGTGCTTAAGTTGTCGACGTTAATCAATAAAAGTTCACCAAAGAACACAACGAAATTTTGAAGTCTTCATCAGGTTTAAATTGTTTGTGTGTAAACAGTTGGAGGAAACTGGAAAGTATTTTTATTCTAAGTGGTCTAAAGGTTGACATCGGTGGTCGTACGGTCGCATCACTGGATTGTTTTGTCGGGACGCACTAACTAAAATTTAACGAAGCTCCGAATGGTATCTGAACCAGTACAGAGGGTTATTCAGCCAAGTGTGGTCACTTTTTGGAAAATTTCTGTATGCAGGCTCATTTTACTTTTTTTAAAAAATTTTATCAAATAGCCACAACAGTTCAATCACATTTTGAATTCAACCGAGCCAAGATTTCGTTATCCTGTAGCCCAGGAAAAAATTCAGTTTATCCCACCATGTTGGCAACAGTTGACCAGTTCAGCTATAGAAATGGATTCCCTTTACTCAAAATTAATTTAAAATTTGGGTTTTCGCCATAATCGACTGGAAACCTGTCATGGGTTTCGAACAAACCTTTTCAGAAGGAATTACCAGTTTTTTCGATCAGGAAGCAACATCCTTGTTTTCTCAGCAGTGCTCCCGGGAGCACATCTCAGTTCTGGATGACTTCTTCCTCTCTGCCAGGCTTAATCCGTGGAGCGTCTTTTTCGACCAATGAACATTGTAAATTGTGAAGGAAGACCTGCGTTACAACTTTAGTTTGTGGAGGAACGAAAAGGATAGCCATAGCTCCGTGAGTAACAATTCGCACATTGAGCATGGCTCTTGCAGTGTCTTCCTGTTTCGCGTTTTTCCAGCCGTCCTACCGCAAGAACGCGCAAGAATATGGAATCGTTTTTGCTATAAAAATATTCGGATCGTCGTTTTCACAATTAAAACCATCCAGATTTGAAAAGCAGACGATCCTTTTAAGGCCAGATCATCGAAAGCCAAATTTTGCCTGGTCAAAGGTTTAGAGTCGGAGTCTTTAGGTCAGTAGCCAATATTGCGGGCTGTTTAAACCCGATTGTCACAAAAACTTGCAAAAGCATCAAAACTAATTTGCCATAATAAAACAATTATTAGAATCTGACTCTGCGCAACGGCTGAATTATAGGAATTTTTTTAATGCGCTGACCACACTTGGCTGAATAACCCTCTGTAGAAGTACTGAAATACGGCTACAAAAATTTCAGTAATTATGGAGCTTTTTTTTATTTGTAGTTCTTGACAACTGACCGGCATATGCTGCTGATTGATTTGCGAGAAGCAAAACTTTGTTTTTTATAATTGCAAAAAACAAAAGGACATATTCCTGGAAATTTTCTAATTTTTCGGGTCTAATTTCGGGTTAAGTCAGCGGAACGCGACAATGTTTTCTCAAAACGGCCTTAAACATTTAATTATTAAACTGTGATAGATTCTAACTGCTACCAATCTGTCAGTCAACTATGGTCAAAGGCCCAAAATAAAGAATAATTTACGACATTAGTTATGATAAGCATAACCAAACAGGTATTGAGCAAATACCGTTTGTCTCGCCAATGAAACTAATCAAACTATATTATTATTAATATTCTTATACGCTCCGCTCAATAAAACTAAATTTGCAGTCATGGGTTTGTACTTTGTAGCTTTCCATAAATAACAATTTATCGCCGATTTATTCCGCGCAGTTTGCGCGGGGTATACTAGTGAATACTAAGTATAAGAATTCAAAACACAAATTTATCGTCATGTCGAACGGTTCGACATGTGTGAGTTATCTGCATGTGTCATTGCGAGATAAGGCTGCACTCATGGATTGGATGCACGGAACCGTCAACACATGCCCACTTTAAGGCAACGTTGCATAAGTCTGCCGTATCGTAAACCTACTCTCGACTAGATTTACGATTCGGCATCGTTGACTTATCCATGCAGTCTGCAGCTGTTTTAGGTCGCGTACACAGTTTCATCTATGGAAATTAATGGAATATCTGAATTATTTAAAATAACCTCTGCCATTATTATGAATCTTCATTAATTAATTCACCAGCAGAGCGACTTCTTTATTTGGGCAACAATTAAGTCTTAAGTCTGAAATCAATCTAATTAGACAAATTGATTAATTTCAGTGCTAATTTGCATGAATATGTCATGTGGATATTCTGGCTACTGTGATATCGCATAGTAAAGTGCAAAACGTTGTTCACCTGCCATACAAATTAATTAAGTACTGTAGAAAAATTTTCTAATTTTCGTTTCGCGTTCCTTATACAGTGCTCCCCATACCGTATGATACGTATAATTTACCGTAAGTTGGGGGCGCTCAAATATCGCAGCTGCAACGGTTGTTTCGTTATCGCGTTATTGGATGTTTTTTCTATGCATCATTCGTAATTACTCATGGGTTGTTGCCGTATCGTACGGTAAACGTTCGATAAGTCGCCATAGTTGAACTCTTAAAGTACTAAGTAACAAGGGTCCTCGACACTTTGCCGTTGTCTCGAATGTTCTCCCGTTCCACACATCCAATCTGCACGCTCTAAAGTGCTACAGGATCCTCTCAGTGTCGAGAGTGTTCCTGCATCATTAATTTTCTGGAATGCCCACTACCCACAATCCAGTGGTCACTCAAAAGCTTGTTACCATGGTGGCCGGCCATTAGCTTGACACGGGCTGTTTGTGAATCCCCAGATTGTTACTATGTGTTATTATATCGAATTGTCATTGAAATTAGCGAACTGCGCATTAGCAAAAATAACAGGTTCTGCTCACGCCTGTTTATTTTGTTCGTGCCTCCTTAATATAATAAACATCGTGCCATTATTTAATACATATGCACTTAACCCTTTTACATGCTCGAAATCCTAAGACATTATTCATCCGTTCTGGGCTTGTAGTTAATTATTTTTATGAAGATTTCGTTTCTGTGAAGCGGAGGCTGCGGAGTTAAGTTCTAATACAGTACTCTGTCATTGAGAAAGAGTGAAGCTAAAGTGCTGATCCCTAGTTCGTCAGTATGTGCACCGTCTATCCCGATAACGTCAACGCCTGGAACGCGGTGGACGTGCGCGACAGCCATGGTATGGTGCAGCACGGCCGCGTGACCAACGTCGTCAGCAACGGCTTCCTCGTCGACCGGGACTGCCCCGGACGACACACCGACCTGGTGGAGCACCGCGAAGCCTTACGCTGTCGCCATTATCTCTACTATTTCCACGATAACATCCGCGAATATAGTCGCGAACTCGCCAACTACACACGCTCTGCGCTAGCCATCACTGGCTTTCCGACGGTGGAAGTGCTAGCCCGTGTACATGCCAACCGCCCGTGGACGTGGTACCCCGCTGCACTGGTCTACCCGCGGCTGTTCTGGTAGCGCTACCTCTTTGTGGAGATACGTTTGGGTGGGGACCACCTGGTGCGGCAGCTGATGCGAGCGCATCCCTTGCGCTTGCGACTGGCAGCCTGCCAGGGGGAGTTTTGCACTGTCAGTCGATGCAAATTCATCACGTACGGCCAACAGCTGCCCGCTGGCTACTGGGGCAGCGAGCCCGTTTCCGCTCCGCTGTGGGATGCCTGGAAGGAGGCCGTCAAGGCGTCCCAGCACGATGTCTGGCCAGTGTGCGTCCTGGGGGGAATTGTGGTCTTTCTGCAGATCAGAGCCGATCCTCCGCTTCAGATGAAGGACCTGGTACGTCACTGGAAATGCCAACAGTTTTGGGCCGTTTTTGAAATGAAATTCATTTGAAATGAAAGAATGTTTTCAAATTAAAAATAGAAACTCTTGGAGAAAATTTTTTCAAAAAGGTAGTAACATGGTTAACGTCAGTCTACGGTAAGTACTTCTAGTGCTATAGTAGACTAAAAGATTCTATTTTTTTGTAATGCATCGAAGTACTTACCGTAATGATCATGTTGTAAATAAAATATCCCAGTTCGCGGTAATGAGTGTTATTGAAACTGAATGTTCAGGAGGAACTACTGTTCGAAGCCAAGAGTCGACTGGCGCAACAATCTGTCGCCGAACCAACTCCGCCCCCATCACTATGCACCCCGGCGCATCATGAAGCCATCCCAACGCCCGCTCCTCGTAGAGGCCCTCGATCAGTCGCAGGCAGTCCTCCAAGGATTCGTTGTAGGGCGCCTGCTGCGATGCCTGACTGATGATGATCCGTTTGGCGCTGGCACCAAAGCACCGCCACAAACTTTGTGCCACCATGTCCGCGGAGTGCGTCCACTCGGCCTCGTTGGGGGTGGTCGGCATGCCACGGTGATCCACGGAACGCTGGTGGGAAAAGGACACGAAGATTTCCTGGTCAGGCTTCTCCAGAAGAGCGTTCCACAGTGAGCAGACCCGTCGACATTGGGCCCGCTGTGCGCTGTTTAACACGTGCAGGATCTGGACCAGGATTATCACGGGCAGCCACGGGTACGACCGGGAAGACCCTGACACTCATCGTGCACAAGTTCCACCTGGATGTCGATAGAGTAGAAGATTTGTGTCACCGTCGTCTGGAGTGCCAGATACCGGGGAGAATCATCTGGACGGACTGCACAACGAGAACTTCCACCGGGAGCCCATTGTGTACGGAGTCACTCGAACGCCTGCCATTGGAATGAAGACGGAGGGGGCCGATGACCTGTACGAAGTGGTGGAAGCTAATCTGCCCGATATTGGAGACGACCTGGCGGTGTTGTCCGAATGGATTGCGGGTGTGGCGGCCAGTGGAGGCGACAAGTCTGTGAATCGTGTGCGGATCAGAAGGATGGGCATTCGCTTATATGACCGTTGGTCGCCATTACTCTCGCGACTCGGTTATAAACAAATCAAAACAGCATATAGTTTTCAAAGTGACTACCGCGAAAGTGAAAGTACAGGCTACCAAATTCGTGTACATGCATGATGCAGGAAAACTTTCACTTTCGCGCTCTCCTATACACCTTTTCGTATTGTTTCATGATGTGACCAATTGTAACCAAATGATGTTCACATATTGGCATGAATATTGTTTGTGAGCGCAACATCCCGTTGGGGAGTTGTCGCTGCAAAAAAGATCAAATAAATTCAGTACTACTAAGTCTCATTAATGTCACCCCATGATATTATGGACGTTCTTTCTCGAATTCCGCACGAAAACACGTGGGTATGAAAGATTGCTCTTACACGGAATCCGAGTTTTAACTTGCTTTCAATTTTAAAAATGAGTTTTAAAACTTGAAATGCATTTTAAAATTTAAAAAAAACATGCTACATTAGTGGATGGGTATTCTTGTTTATGTGGGTAACAGTGCGTGTTCATGCGAAGTTTGAGAAAAATCGGTACAGTAGTTTTGAGTTGCGCGAATTATGCGGACGTTTTGTGTTTGAGCACGGAGGGCGTACTTTTTAGCATACACCGGGTCATACTTCCCTTAAAATTAATGTTCTGATTGTTGTGTCATTCACAGGTTCTGGACGACTGTGAAAAATGGTTTGATTATCTAGACTCTTGTCCTGGTAAAAACGAGCCGTTTACGCTGGAAATCGTGCAACAGAACGGGCTGGCCGGTTTGAGCAAGCTGACGTTGTGCGCCCTGCAGCGCGAGATGGCTAGCCAGCGCGGCAAACTGGCGTTAGCTGACGGATAAAGTTCGCCGTCTTCTTTTTTCGATCCCGGCTTTCCCACTCTCCACCCGATAGACCTGAAAAACTGCCAAGGATCTAGTGCAGTATTCAAAAGAGCGTGATTGCGCCATGACAGAGCGCTGTAATCGAATGTCCGCATAACTGCTGTAATAAGGTTTTTGTTTGCCATATTTCAGAGTCTTGAGATGTCTATTAATGGGCGTATTGGTTAGACATGAATGATTTAAGGAATCTGACTTGGTTTACTAAGCAATGCATATTATTTCGCGCGTGTTTCATTATTTAAAATTTAGGTACTACACAAGTATACTCAACTGCACACCATTTCGCCACATGCAGACATTCCGTTCAATCTGAAGAGTGCAGTACTTTTGTAACGAAATGTCTGGGATATCACAACCATTACTCGGGTAGCACTGCGTGATGTTTCGGGAGCGTCAATTATTACGCTGTGTTGATTCATCCAGTTCTGCAAATACAGTTAGATCGAATGATTTGCAGTGATTTGATTTGGATCCGATGCTGACGTTAACGCAGACTTCGTGGTACTAGCGTCGAAATTGTGACCGCGGTTATGAGGAAAACACTGCGCAATAGCAGCGATATTCGCTCGACATCGAAATCTATTTCACCGTGACCTCGTGTAATCGGTTACAGCCCAATTCAAACAATAATGTGCTAACGAGCAGTTTTCTCAAAGCCACAGTAATGGTTTTTATACAGTAACGAAGAATTATGAAAATGATACAACTATTCAGTATATGCATGCATAAATCGCAAACAACTGGGAAGGCTGTGACTGTGTATTGTACCTACATGGCTTGCATATCCTACCCTATGCTTTCGCGCCATTGAATCAATCCTGTTATTGTTATATCTTTTTTAGCGAAAAAACGGCAGATGGCATTTCCTCTTTCATGTCTTTTTGAGACAATTTGTCATACAGTTCGTTAACTGCTAAGCCAGAAACGTATGCCGTACAACGATGCAAGTGAGGAACTGGAATTAAAGGAAGTAGTGGCAGTACGTGGAAAATTGTCCAAACGCTTTCACTGCATGTCAGTGTAGTGTACTATTAAACCGTAAATGTATACAGAGATTCACACAATACAGATTTTACTTATTACCGTATGATGTTAGTACTGTACGAGGTACATTACAATGCAAATCACCGAACAACAGTTTACTTTACACTGTTAATCCGGTCAGTCATACGGAGCGCATACAAGATCCCACAAAAAAGCGGCAACAAGGAAACTGCTGCGTTGGCACGCAGGAGTCATTTCGCATGTAAAGAAACAGTTAGTACATACCGTATTTGTTGACAGCTGCTGACTTTACAAACATCCATTCATTTTTATACATTCAAGTACGTATTTAAAAGACACAACTCACCTGACAGATGCATCGTGTAAAAATTTTATATTCCAGATCAATAGACGAAAATGATGGTGACAATATTATCCGTTGCATCGGTTATCGTGGTCATAACGCTATCGCTGCAAATACAACCGACACATAGTGCGATCCACGGCAATCCGGACGGTTGGGCCGATCAGTTGCGCAGACCCATGTCCGGTCGGTTAACCGCAAATGGCCCGATGCGCTCCGAACGCCTCGCCTCCAATGTTTCATCGGCCAGCGCGCCTAGCAGCAGCGCTCCGGATATGTACTACTACATAACGGACAAATACGTCCTCATGCGTATCGAGACCGGGAAACCGCCGGTGCGCATTGCTGAGAATGTCGTCTGGTCAGCCAGCGGTTACGACGACAGCCTGTGGTACACCGACGCGGCGGGGGCTGTGTGGCGGTTGCACTATCATCGGGCTGCTCAAAAGGTAAATATGATTGTATTTTGATATGGGTTTACGTTTAACGCATAAAGATACAACGGTTTTACCTGTGCATATGAACTTATCTGAAGGCGAAATAATCTTATTAACGTAAAGGTGAATTTATCTTAATACCAAAAGAAAGATTCATGTTTATCTGTGCTTGAAAAGTTTTTTCTCATTCAAGCGATCTTTTCGTCAAAAGCACTTTTAGCGTGGAATTCTACCGACGCGTATCCTTGTTTCTCTTACATCTCATTCAGAATTAGGTGTCTTGGATAGCTTTAAATTAAAAAATTTATTGCTCAGATTAGGCTTTCTTCAAAATTTAATTTCAGCATTAGAAGTTTTTATCCAATTTAGGTTAAAATGCAAATACAATAATTATGTAAACTGTTATGTTTGTATTTTGCAGTAACGTTAAACGTGAATAACGGTAAATTAACGAACGAAGACTACAATAACAGGTGTTGAGATAATGTACGTATTTAATGATCGCGAATTTATGTCCAGGTTCTTAATGCACCGCAAAACGTCGCGTTCGTCCGCCTCGCACCGCGCTCATACCAGGAAGCCTTCCTGGTCACTTCCACAGGCGACCTGTACCATTTTGTGGAGTACGATTGGATCAAGGACCCATCCGCCAAGAATGTTCGGGATGTCGGTGTAGGAGCCGGCGGATCATGGATGTACGTCGACCGTAGCAATGTCCTCTGGTACTGGGAGTATGTAACGCAGACCTGGAGAAACTACGAACGTAATGGAACTGGATTTGATTTGTTCGATTCGCGGCACGTGGTCGTACTGGATGAGAAAAGCCGCGCGTTCAAGAAGAACGGGAATGATTGGGTGGATGCCGGGGAGACGTGTCGGGAGGTGTTTATTATGGAGGAGTCGTTTTTTTGTGTGACCTTTGGCAAAGAACTCAAGCTTGTTCCGTACTGAACAATTTTCGTGTGCAAACGCTTCCAACCAAAAGTTATAGGCAGCTACTGCCGCTCTTCTAATTAAAAATTTAAGTTTGTACTGCTTTCGTGATAGATGCTGCTTCATTTTACTGCAGATTTAATCAGATTTTATAGCTTTCTTACAATAACCGGTTTTTTATGGACGTCACAAAAGGAAGTAACAGGAAATCTGAAAGGCCTAAATAAATATTATATCATGCATTGATTCTCCATACTGTGGTCAGTTTCTGCTCAAAAACGTTTAGGCCAGCCAGTGCACCACGTCAAACATGTATTGACCTTTTAGAAATTTCCCGTTAGGCGAAACTGATTGACTACATACAAATTCCATAATTATACCCGAGCATTAATTGGCGCGACAGTTCATTTGGCACAAGTGCCATAAACGCATAAATGTGTTGGTATATACTGCAGACAAGTAAATGTTTTAGGTCCCTTGTCGATCGCCTGTACTCATGGTTAAGACCATGATCTATGCGCAACATGTAGGAATTACTCCGCATCGTTGCTTTCCATGCACTGGAGGGTCAATGAAGCTTTATTGCCGGCATGTATAACCCGACCAGTATGGATTAAGGTGCGGAACGTTGGGATTCTGGTGTGCGGCCTGTCCATAGAACTGTAACAATAACTGGGGCATTAAGAAGGCGATGCTGTGCTTTACAGCCACATCCCCAAGGAGATCTGCGCCAGCCGCATCCGTCGCTTGTGAATGTTCTGTAACGGCCTGTCCACGGCATCCCATGGGTGCAACCAGGTAAATAAGAAGTTAATTATATGATTTATATCCGCCATATGAAATATTGTAGAGCGGTTCAGGCAAAATTAACGATATACATATGAACGCCGCTTAATTAATAAGAGAGTCTTACTGGCGGCATTGAGCGACTATACAGCATTCTGCCTACCGAGCCGAAGAAAGACACGGTAGCGTGCAAATGTTACAATTATTATGTTTCTTACGTGTGTATCTATTTGTGTTTAATTAGAAGTAAAGCGTACGTCAATGTAGAAAATGCTCAAGAAATTCTTTGGCATAACGTTAATTTTGTTTGTTAAATATTCAACTTTATCTGGACATTAATTTTCAATTATCTAATCGGCCTTCCGGCCAATTAATTTCTCCGGTTAAATGTATAACGTGCATGGCATGGCCTTTAAGTCAACGGCGCCGACATCTTCCCACAACGAAACTTAAGTCCCTTCTTCCAAATAGCTACTGGCCCGATGCTCTTATTTACTGATACTGTCAAATTTAGAAGGATTTCTGTGATTCAGGGCAGTGGGAGGACACCGCTCGATCCTTCAGGATGCGGGTTTCGCAGTTCAGTTAATCATCTGCAACCTGATCATCGCCACAGGAAATTCTATTCGTCAGATGTATTTTCATATAACCTTGCATTATTACACACCGTTGCGATCTACTAGCTCACAGGATACATTTCTGGAACAAGACAGCATTCAGCCACTAAAGAAAATTTCCCGACTGCGGCGACCTTCCCAGGAACTTTCCGATATAATATCAGCGATGTACGAAAAATAATTTAATGAGTATCTGAAGATGTGTGCTGCGCCCATAAATTACAGGCACCATCACGCTCTCATGTGAAGTCGCTTAGTTTGCATTGATAATTTACTTTTTCACGTCTAGATTCGCTTAGTTTTGCATTGGTGTATTTTTTTAATGCAGTAATGAACGACACAAACACCTCCCTGTCGGCAGTCCCCCAATCTCTCTTCCCCCTTTACCGCGTGGACTACGAGATCTTTCTCGGTTTAACACTGGCCATCTGCGCCATCGGCATCGCCATCTTCGTCCTCTTCCTTACCGGTATCCTGCAGCAGCCCAAACTCTTCCGCGCCTCACGCTGGCTGATCATCAACCAAACCATCACCGAATCCATGCTGCTGGGCTTCCATCTGCCGGCGGCATGCATCGGGGTGTATGTTGCCGAGACCGGGAATGGACATTCTTACTTCTTTGGGGAAACCTTCTGTTTGCATCACAATTTTGTCTTCATGTCCACGCTGACCGCCAGCACGTGGGGTCTGTGTATGCTGGCGCTAAACCGCTTTTTGGCCATCTTCGCCACGAATCCCCAACAGTATCAAAGATGGTCTTCCAGGCGGGTGCAAGTGAAACAGGTAAAGCATATAGGGGGCAAAGGTAAACGTGTTCCACCGTTCCCCTGTACTGCTGCCGTCACCCGACTGGAGTCTGACGTTGTGGCTGAACATGGCGTTTACGTACCGCGCCAGATTTAACCATATGTATTGCCGTAACGTCATACTCCAGGCGGGTGACGGCAGCAGTACAGGGGAACGGTGTAACGCGTTTACTTTCGCCCCTTATATACAGAGTAGTAGTATATTAGTACACAGGGCATCTTTTGCCTCGTGGCCCTTTGATGTACTGCATAAGTGATATACTTAACAGATTGCTCTGGTCTGGTTCATCGGATTCTCGTGTCATGTGTACTTTTACGCGGGCAAGAACACCACCGCAGCACCGTACCCACTGAAGCAGTGCCGGGCGCTGAATAATATCGGTTTCCTGCTGGAGCAGATCTTTGGGGTGTACGCTCCGCTGTCCATTACGGCGTTGGCCTACATGTTGATGTTTCTGAAAATGTGGCGCAACAGGATGCGCACCCGCGCTCTTCCGCTGACCACCGCGTTGAACCAGGGAACGCTGCGGACAGGCCTGCAGCGGAACACGCACCAGCGGCGTATCCGTCTGGTGCAAATCCTCTTCGGAGTGGCCGTGGTGCATTGCGTCGCCTTCCTAACCTACCCCATGGCGCTGTGGTTTTATGGGCAGGCCGCTCACAAGAATCCCATCCTACCGCTGTATTTTCGCACCTTAATCCATACCGGCCAATTATCCACACCGGTAACATAGTTTGTTTTCTCATTAACCATCGATTGTATGGAAAGCAATGACTCGGAGTAATTCCGGTATGTTTCGTTAGATCATGTTCTTAACGATGAGCAAAGACTGCCGAAAGGACTCTGCTGGGTAGGACGGAACTGGATGGAGGCAGCCGAACGGTGCGCGGAATGACGTAATGGAACATTCGCCTGCATATACGGACATGACAGTACGTTTGTAAAAACATAATTTAATAAAATAAGTAGGGAGTTTTCAAACTTTTCATACATAAGTGATTAAGGTTTAGGTAATTAAGTATTTTAGGCTTTTTAAATTTTCTAATCTGAATAATTTATTTAGTATCGATTAGCACTGGCAAAATATGAAATATAAACCGGCACATCGCATAAACATTCAAGTAATCTGAGCGCAGTTTCGCATCAGGTTGCCGTGTCCAGCTGGGATGCGTCATCTGTCACCGACCTCAGCGGATAGAGTTCCTCCCCCATAGGATCTACAATTCTACATACAAACTTTGTCCAGAGCCAAAAAGATCAGGTAGTTATCTTAATTAGCCACTGTACGATAGGTTTTTATTGGAAAGAACAGCGGCTGTGCATGCCTGACATATTAATATTTTTATGTCGCAAGATTTGCGGGGTCGTGGTACTGAATTCTCATGTTACATAGGAATACGTGCAACGCGGGACAGAAAAGCATGCGATCTTTTTGTAGGGTACACTGATGCAAGGCCCGACATAGGTGGATTCTGAGCGACGCTCGTAATTCGCAACACTCCACACAAGGTCTTACCCTTGCTATGGCTACTGCTAATTCAGCACATTTACCAACTGTTGAGAGCCCCTTGTTCCCAGCGCAAGTGCGCAAAGCATGATGCTAACCTGGCACTCGGCCATTTGAAAATGGTACCAGCGCTGAATTTTCAAACAATGGAATTCCAGTGCCTAAATCATGATTCTAAATGATTACGACTTCGCAGCTAAATGTTAACAAAGCCCTGGGTGTCCAACGATTGTCGTTTGAACTGTGTATGTTCTGCTTTACTACCAATTAGCTGTAACAGTAGCGCAGAGCGCACGCAGTCAATAAGAGAATAGGTGAACTCAACTGTACCCAAACAAAGGTTAATTTAAGCATTACCCGCTGCACTCTGTATTTCCAGATTACCAGTTATCAACCATGCTGCCGATGACTATGGTTGCTAAAATTTTGCTTATCCGCACACGGGGCGGAAAGCACGCGAACAACCGGTCCATGTGCACCATCAACGACAAATACCCGCCAGCCAGCGGTGACCTTTACCTTTCATAAATCGCATGTACACCCGAAGATGTGGATTGCGTGCTTTTTGACGGTTACAAGCTATACCGACGTGAGCAGGTTTTTGTTAGCTATGTTAAGGAACTGCTAGGCGGGCGCATCCCATACCGAATTTTTTCCATCTTCTAGGCTGTAGTTACGTTTTTCAGAGCTTTGCAAACCCATAAACGGGTATGTTCGAATGACTATTCGATGGCAGTTATCAATGTGCTCAAAAACTAAACCAAAACAGTTCTTGAATAACAGATCGTCGAAAGAATGCATTCGCAAAGATCGCATCTCTGGTCTTTCATTTTGGATGCTCTTTTGCATTTATACAATATGTATCTGTAATTAAACTCAGAGCTACTCGCTTTGGTGTATGCTTTTGTGCGTGTACCGATATCGCCGAAATAAAAATTGCACATTTCCCATTACGATGTATTCTTATATTCGTACGATCAGTGCTTTACAGTGTAATTAATGGCTCATTTAAAGTGTCACCTTTATTGATTTTACAGTGTCTCGATTAATGTCTCTTGAATGCCTTTTAATCAACGTGGTGCTTCCAGCTGGTTCCCGTAAAACCTCTCTCGCGTATAAATCTAAAGTAAGGATTTAAACTGTACTTGAAAGTCTAAAGCACAGATTAATGTTGCTCGTCAAACTGGATTGTTACCGATATTAATTCCTGTTCTGGTTCTTGAAACTAATATCTTAATTCGTGACTGTATCGTCGGGATAAGAAGCGGTTGCCGGCTAGGAGCGGAATAAGTCGCTCTGGTAATCCAGGATCTTGGAGTAATTTAATAAGATTAGTCTATAGCTATGCTTCGTAACGATTAACCAGAAACCTGATTCCTTAGGATTTCTTGAAACCCCGAACGATCCTCCACAAAACAAGAGTCTCACAGTTTAAGCATTCAGCAAAACTTCTCTATAATTTATAAGGAACAGGATTTAAGCTTAACGTTCATCATACAACACGTAAACGGTTTCATAACAAGGAAACAACATAATAAAAAATTCCACCGCATTAAACATTCAGCTCATTCTCAAACACCAAAAATGTACTTTCTTCACAATTTGCCAGACCGCCACGCGCAAATCCCCCAACACCATCATAAACAGAATCGGATCCATGACCGTCTGTACCAGAAACAAAAACGACGAGATAAGAAAGTACACCGGCATATAACTGACATCCATGAAACAGCTCATCCCATAATACACACTCCCGGGCGTCCACGTCAGCGTCACACTCAGCGTACTAACCGTCAGCACGCCGAACGCTTTCTTGTTATCCCGCTGCCGGCCGCCGTTCTTGGTCATCGGCCCCGTCGTGATCTCCTGCAGCGTCGGACCGTCCATGGCCGAGCGTACCAGACGCTGCTGGCGACGCTGACACAGCAGATGCGGATACGCCACCGTAATCAGACACTGCGGGAGGACAAACACCACAAACTCCACAAAAACGTTCCACGCAAAGAGGTGTTCATAATTCAATTGGCAACCACTGCTGTCCAGTGGTAGACGAACTCTAGTGTTAAGAATCAAACCCGGGAGGCAGGCGGCGTGCACGTACACCCAGACCATGGCGCAGCCAACCAGCGCGGTGCGTTTCGTATGCATGTGCGTATAGGAGTGCGGAAAGGTCAGCGCCCAGATGCGGTTGACGGTGATGAGCATGTGCGTGTTGACAATCGTCCCGCTGAAGACGTAGTTGAGATACTGATAAAGGTCGCACACCGCTGGCCCCATCCACCACACGGAATACAGGCCGTTGACGATGTCCAGCGGGATTTCGATGAGAGTGTACACGAAATTCGTCAGCACCAGATTGGCGAGGTAGAAGTTGAAGGGAATGTGGAGCTGCGGATTGAGGAGAAACGCCAGAAGAACCAGCCCATTGAAGAGCAGGGAGAAAGGCATCAAGACCAGCTCGCTGATGGGGGTGAAACCCCAGGTTACGCTGATTGTAACCGATGTGTTGCTGATGTTCGACATTATTCAGAATTTCAAGGCAGCACTTCAAAGTCTGTGTTCGTGCCTAATATACAACACAAACATTAAGTGCGGCGAAAATGCGCAAGTATCATTATTGTTGTGGAACAGAGTGCAGTGTCATGGCGCAAACGCCGGCATTATAAACATCCTGCATGCGCGCGCGCGTAGTGTCCTAGTTTAATGGTCGGCGGATGGCGCAATTATCGTGTTTCAAGCATCGACTAACAGGCTACCTCCCGGACGTGCATCACATGGAAGAAAAACAGCTACAGCTCGGCATTCATGATGAGAGATCTTGCACACCTGGGTCCTTATTACCTTAAACGCCGTTTAACCACACTCCACAACGCCGTACAAAAACAACATTAGGGAAGAAAAATGCCGGTACACAGGCAGCGTATATAACACATTTATTAACGAAATGGCAACACAACCTATGCATTATTAACAGGGTTAATTTTACATCCCACAGAACAGACAAATACGAGGAGATCATGTTACAGCCAATAATTTAAACATTCAGTTTTTATACGGTAGCGGTTTCCCGGGTAAACAAGGTCGTATAAATTAATTGCCGGAATGAAGTATGTATCAGTCCATTAACGCTGAAGGCGTAAGCTGGAACGGTGTATAGGAGCAAAGATACACTCGGTTCTCGCCGCCAAATCGTCGTGATTTTATTGCGCTTGACTGCGACAGGATGACGGATCGCACTTAATTATCTTGATGGGTTGTACTGTATATGAAGGTCGCGCTTTTCTTCCACGACAACAACAATAAGCATGCACGATCGCAACCGGAACGGTGCGTGACTGCAGGTGAACAGAGTGTTCCGTAAATCATCGCCAAAATAACCGCAGTGGTATTGATTTTTGCCGGAACAATAACACTGTTTTGCACTCGTATATCCCACAAACCGGACACGTGAGTTTACTTTGTGGAATTATAGTCACAATGAACGATTGAATGACGGTGTAGATACGAAAACGGGATGCCTTTTATGTGCGGCTCAACACCGAGCGGCTCAGCGGCGGGCATGACAATAGAATTTAGGATCCTATCGTGACTTTATCAGCCGTCGTATTGCACTAAACAGACATGTTTGTTAAAGCTTTACCATTGTAAGCCACTCGCCAGTCGCAAACAGTTTAACATGATTAAAAAAGGCAAACAAACAAACAGCTTAATATGATTATTTACTTACTGTATCTATATTTCAGGAAAGGCTTTATCTTTTCGCCACCGCTTTCATAATGTACGCGTAACAGTAACTAACTGCAAGCTATAGACAACACAATCGCTGGAATTCTGATGCCGATCTACGGTCCACCGGTATCCATTGATGTATAGTACGTACAAGTATGTCCCTGCGCGAGTGCAAGAATTGTTGTCCACTTTATGATAAAAATGTTTATTTGCATTGTTAATATTAAATACTGCCCTTATTTATTTGGATTTTTGTGTCTCACCATGTTTATTTAAGTAAGTATTCTATATTTTTATCATGGTCTCTATTAATTTTTACGTGTACGTTGTGCTCATGTGCAATACGTCATACAGTTTTGTTACGAGTTACACAGCCTCCATGTTTGTACAATTGTAATTAATATAAACCAATATGTAATATGCGCACAGACAGATCCCGCGAGGTTTCACGTGCACGTGACGGCAAGCGGCATTTGAAAGTTTTCCCGCAAAACTGTTGCGTTGATCAAAAAATACATTGTTTTTTAATGCAAAAAATGTGGCTTCCGGTCAAATGTAAAAAGTATTTATTAATTAAACACGTTGCGTAATAAAATTGTGCATCTACTCTTCAGTGAATTTTTACGCAAAGTACTCGGAATGAAAGCGCATTTCAAATCACAATTTCCGTTCAAGTAGCATACGTATTCTTTATGTAGCACAAGTATTCTTTATAATGGCAGATACAATGATGGTGGAAAAAAAGTTTAGAATCCTTTTATCGGTATAGCTGCCGCCAGTTTAGCCGGCAGGGCGGGTCCGGTGCCCAAGGCCATATTACAAGCCGGATTCAGTCCCACGGGCAAACTCATATCCCAACGGCTGGGTATTAGATCGGAGAATTTCTTGCAGATCTGCGCCAGGTACCAGTCGGATGCCTTCTCGATGTAGGACTTCTGTGTGGTGGTGAGTTGTGGCGGCGGAACCTTCGTGTGCACCCAAGCCATGACGTCGTCGCAGTTCTTCCCGTCGGCGTTGGGGGTGTTGCAGCGGTAGAGCACTTGGAAAAGTTTGTAGTCGGTGAAGAGGTTGGTATAAGTGTAGCTCACTGTAAAGCAAAAAAATGCCAGCCTGAAAATTTTGAAATTTTATCACAAATTAAAACTTTCCTTTCAGTATACGTATATCTAAATAATATCTTTCATTAATTACCGAAGATAGTCTTCGAGATAAACTCTGATTACAAAAAACGCTACGGTCCAAAAAGGGTCAAAGTTTTATGGTTAACCTTTTATTTATTTTTGTAGTACTTATAGTAAACCTTTTACTTAATTTTATAGTACTTTTTTACTTCAACCAGAACCAAGTTTTAAGCAATGATTAGCATTTCCGGAAATGTTAAAAATGAACAAGTAAATCGGTTGTTATTCTGCGTTGATTGAAGAAGTAAATTCAGTAAGAAACTGTTAGGTAACCTTACACAGCTCATTGGGATCTTGTCCAAAGTTAGCGATGACCTTGCGCTTGCCGTCAGACGTCAGGTTGCCGTACTGGCTGATGATGCTGCACTTGAGATTGGTGGTGGCCGGAAAATCTTGCGGCCAGTAGCCGTTGTAATTCCACGATGTAAAGTAGGATTTCGTGGGGCCGGGCTGCGGATACGCACCCAAAACGGTGGAATTCATTACCAGATTGTATGCGGAAGCATCCGCGGCAGTCCCGCCATCCAGATGATAGTACTCATGCCATAATCCCACGGCCTATGAAATTGATATTATTCGTTCTGTACTCTGATGGTATGAATAAGTATACAGGGGGAAAAACCATGTCAGTCGAACCAATTCACGGCACTGCTGCCGTCACCCGGCTGGAGTGTGACGTTACGGCAGTACATATGCGGCTAAATCAGGCGCGGTACATAAGCAGTTAAGCACCAAGTTTAGCCACAACGTAAAACTCCAGCCGGCTGACGGCAGCAGTACAGGGGAATGGTTCGGCTAGACTGATTTTTCTCCCTATATTACCTACTCTATACTTCTATGCTACAATTAACTCAAGTAACAGTGTCGTCTATGCATGTACAGATACCAGCTTTGCGGTTGTTTTTAATTCGGTGGCCATTGTCAATATGTAAAGCATTCAGTTAACTGAAAATAAGTAAATCAGCTTTGGTAATGTTGGCATAGAAATTTAAAGCTTCGAAATTTTAGAGCGTTGCATCTTAACGGTCTTTGGAAGGCCGAACAAGCAGCAGCGGGATTACTTTATAACGTTTTTAATCTATGAGAAATTTCTCGCGGACTTACTAAAAAGCCTAAAAGCAGTGCAAAAATGCTATCAGCAGCACCACGTTTACAAAGTTGCAACATAAAAAAGCACTTGTAAGTTGTAATTGCAGGAGTATAGTCAATTATACTAAGTTACCAACCACTAAAACAGCAAATCAATACTAGTGAGAATAACCAAAATCGTTGTACGTACACAATATTACGGTATGTGCGCATTTTGTTAGAACTGAAGAAATTATTTACTAAAAGCCAGTAAAATAAACGGGTGTTTTTTGAAACTAGGTAGTTATCTATACAGAAATGACATACCCGTTCCAAGTCTACTAATGGCTGTCCAGCAACGACAATCGGTACTTTAGTACCAGCGGGACATTGTCCTACAACCGTCTGAATTCCCAAAAACAGCACAGCGGAAGTCCACAAAACAGCCATGTTTGCCGACAGAATGAGCTCACTCTATCCGCGTTGTCCACAACGGAATTCTTTAGTAGTTATATAGAAAAATAAGCAGGCCGTTTGCCGGTGCTTTGAATAAAATTTGCGTGCCTGTCTTTGCTGCAGACACCGCCACTTGAGAACACTCCCCATTTTTGCGTACAAACCGCTGTCCAAAGCACAAGTTTCCGGTGACACAAACATAAAACACAAGATTTCACGTGGACCGAGAATTCTGCATTGACGTCAAGCTGAACCAAAATTTCTTTGCAGATAGCAGTTTTTGTAGTGTTACTGCATGCCTGGTATTTGAATTACGTGAGCAAAGTGTTATCGTACATTATCCTATGAAATTTGAAAGAAAAACACACTGACGCGCTATTAAGGTATTAAAAAACCGTGTAAAAATTGTAACCGTAAACATAATTGATAAAATAATTGTTTACTCTTTATTAAAGTAAATGTGGTTCATTTTTCTTGAATTAATTTTTTTTTAATAATGAACCCCACACAAATTATCAATTTCATACGTTTAGAAGAGCCGCAAATTTGTGGAATTAATCACTGCAAAAAAAGACCAGAAACATAGAATGTACCGTAGTATCACAAAGCGATACTGTGGCCTGATGTTTTATTTTAGCCAATTTTGGTTTCCAGTTATGTTTCTCATCATCTGTGCATGTCAGTTAACAAAGCCGAACAGATTGGCTGTTATCCCATTTTTCTCTAGCTGCTGGGGAAAAACGTCTGCCCCTTAGGGAACAGCGCCTTGAACGCTGCGGACATGGGCGGTTGGTCCAGTGCGGCGTTGCAGGGCGTGGTCTTGGTGAGGTCCCATTTGCTCGGCATCATGTCGGCGAATTTGTACTGCCCGCAGGCGATGGGTGTGATGTAATAGTTGGCGACGGCTTCAATGTACTGCTTTTGAAAAGTAGTCAGCAACGGGGGTTTAACGCGGGTGTGTACCCAAGTGTAGGGCTCGTCGCACTTCTTCCCGTCGGCGTTGGGCTTATTGCACCGGTACAGAACCTGGACGAGGTTGTAGTCGGTGAAGAGGTTCACGTAGGTGACATTGGCTGCAAGGACACAATCGTGAACAGAACGGTGCTTAATAATTAAGTATTATTATATCTTTCTATACGCGGTTGTGGGACTTAACTGCTGCACATTTAAATCCGAGCGAAGCGAGTAATCCTCATGAAAACCCAGTTCCAGTATTAAATGACTTTGTCATATTTATGATGCTGCAATTTCCGCTGCTTTGACATTCTGTTAGCTACAACTGCAGTGTCGTAATACGAGAAAAAACTTCAAAAAGTGAGAAAAAATAAGAAAAATAAATATCTTAAACATATGAGAATCAAATAAAATAACTGGAACCAACAAAATAATACAGGTAATTAAATTTTGCTTTTTTACCGTAACATTTTTTAAAATTCTCCTGTTGCGGTTGGCCGACCGACAACCGATTATCGCCTGAAACGATGCGCGTAAATCAGACAGATGAACTTACTGATTGCATCCATGCCAGGAGTGGTGGCGAACTGGAACATAACCTGTCGTCGGCCGTCGGATGTGAAATTCCCCTGTTGCCACATGCCGTTGCATGCCGATGTCGTGGCATCCAGGCTGCTATACAGCCAGGTGGAATAGTAGGAAATTGGGCCCCCGGATGGCGACGGAAACGCTCCAATAATGGTGGCATTCAGGCTCAGATTGTAATCGGTGGGATCGTTGGCCGCATTGTAAGGTGTATACGGGTAATTGTCTTGATGATGGTATTCATACCACAGTCCAACTGCCTAAAACACCCAAGCCTCAATTGAAATTTAATTCACCCTGGTGAAGTTTCTTTGTAATAACTGTAACTTTTCGCTCTGTTCCACCTAAAGCAAGCCTTTCACATTTTTTAAAAATTATTTCGGTCACTCAAAGTTTCAGTGTTCGCGCTCTTATACAGTGATACACTAATCACCCGGGTAATGACATTTCTAAGCAAACGATGAATTCAGAAAATATTGGATTCAGAAAACACAGGATTAAAAAATGGATTAAAAAAGGCTAATGTAAAGTGAACGAATTAATCAGCGTAAAACATATTATGCAACATCAAAGATTTTTATAAAAATAACAACACATTACACAGGGAGCCGGTGAAGGGTAATGAAGCTATCTTTACACTCCCATGTAGAAAATGATAAAACTTAAAGTATTGTCATAATTATGAAATATTCATAAAAAAAATTTAAAGCAATCTGAATAAATTCTAATGTACCCGTTGGGTATCCAGGGGCTTCGCCGGGAAGTTAATCGGCACAGTAGGACACTGTCCAGCCACCGTGCCAATCAGAACGGCACCCAACAGCATGCATCCAATACGGGCCATGGTAGCGGTAGTCTGTCGCGTGTATTAGCAGCGTATGGCCAAACATGCTTGCTACAGTCTCGGAATGCGTTATATACCACCGGAAGCACTTGACGCGGGAATGACAGGACATCTCCCAGACCCTGATGCCGCATGCCATCTACGAAATAACAAACCCGTAAAACCGCCCACGCAGCGCATTTTCCCCATAAGTTTGGTCATTTTTACGCAGTCCAGACTACGATATGTTGGCGCCATGTATTGTGGCAGTGACTCGTAGAATTTATACCGGTTTAGTGTCTGTGGAATGTGAACACTCGTACCTGGGCGAGAGCGCATTATGATTGTAATTAAACGAGTATAACGTACGGCCAGCATGGCGTTCTGTTTGTAGATAAGATACCGGTTGCTCCTTTATTTAACTATTGACGCAGCCTCCATAATAAAATTAATAATAATATTAGAAAAAGAAAAAAAACGATAGACAGGAAAATACCTACCCGAATATCCTTTTAACGGCTAAGAAAACATTAATGCATACTTTCCGAACAGCTGCAGATAGTATTCTTCCTTTGATTCACTTCCAAGATCTTCGGTTAATACTCTATAATTTATTTTCTTCCTGTACAAGCTGTACATGCAAGCCCGGTGAATAAGCGGAGCGAAAAACAGGATTCGTTGGTAACCTTAAGCTCCATACCACGGCCCGCAGCGCCACACTGTAGATGCGTTACGTTATCCTGTTAAATTTTCTGTCGGCTAAATTAGCTGTCGGCTAATTATTTCTGTCGGTTAAATTTTCTGTCGGCTGTCGGATATGTGGTTTTTGTGCCGATTATGGCAAGCGTTTAAACGCGATCTGCAGACGCTTACGTTAAACGAGAATGCAATCGCATAGTACTACATAGTACATACATGTGTAAATGTCCAGAATCAACAGTCATCAAAAATATCTCACAAATTTGGTGATATACAGTACAAATGTATAATTATGTTAATACTTTAGTACAGCGTTTCCAACACGAAGTTAGCTGTTATGAAATAACCACCAAAGACGAGACAGACACTTATATAAACGGTAAACCGGTGTGTCTTATTACTGTATTGTAAAGTCTGCTTGACTGATACATCGAAACAAAAAACAACGGAATAACCATATCCTTTACCGGCAATACTTTTCACCATAACACTTTATTCCTCATAGATGACCGCTTTCTCCAGATGCCAACGAGAGCGCACAACGTTCGATTGCATAGTACTAACTGTCCGGTATCTACAGCCATCATAATATCACGCCAGTTCCATGATCCAAAAGGATTCCCATAACCTTGCCATTTGTTCAGTACCTGCAATTTACGAAGGACATCCTGAATGACCGTAAAATACACTTCAAAGTTCTAATACAACCTACGAAGCAAGTACAGGTCAAAAATTCTCCAGTACAGTACGTACATGAACAATATCACCTTGGCTGTTTCTATCCAAACCAGGAGACCGTATCCATTGCATCAAATCCTGCAGAACACCGGCATGATGTGGGTCGCTGAATTTTACAGCGGATGTCTCAAATACATTCAGTGGAAAATTAGTGTCTCCAGCGATCTCAACAGCATCGTACTCAATCACTAAGTCCTGATATGGCTGAAACGGATCAACACGTTTCTCCTCGGATCTGGGTCGGTTGCAGTACAAGCTCAGGAAGAGGTACTGATAGCTGACTTTCCTAAAAATTATTCGGCCGCGATTTTGCGGAGCAATATGATTCAGTAGGTTTTTTAATGACACCAGTTCCGACCAATATTCATCATCGTAGCCCTGCATGAACTTCATTCCGGACAAAATAAAGGTGTCAATGTTGAGCGGCTTAACGCTGCTGATACGCCACAGTACGTCTAGATCGGTACCAAAACTGCGTAACTTGTTACCAGCGGTAAAAATCAGGTATTTCGTCTTGGGCGTAATGCAATGAAAGAACCAGGACGCTAGAATGTAGAACCGGCCGCTGTAGGTCAGGTCGATAATGACGGAGCGTGTGCACTCTTTTGACAGGATAATAGAGTCCCATGTAACGCAGACAAGTCTGATAGCGAATTGCTGGAGTCCGTTTAAAGAAAAAAATATCGTGGTAAGGATTTCCACCGGAAGTCTGTAAAGCGTAAGATCGGTTGCTGAAACAGCGTTATTCCTGTCAATGTTTGATCCAGGAACCATGCCAGGGAGAAATGGAAACCTTTCTGCTGATAAATCGCTCTCCTTTAACGAACGCCCAAATGGTTGATCCCCGTATAATGCACGCACACGATGCTCGTGCACAATGTGGGCGCTTCGCTCGCCGTCGACGAGCACTTCGGCAATACCGTAGTGACGCTGCATACATTTATCCCCTAACATTATGCATTTGTACCATGTCCATGGTGTATTCAGGGATAATTTCAATAGCACGTACATTTTATCCGCCAGATCGTATTCTTCATGCCAGCATTGGGTGGCGCAGCGGATGGTATGCGGCTTAGCATCGTCGTCGAGAAATATGTTCTGGCCGGAATACGGAAACAGCTCTGGGTCTTTCTTGTAAACGTCGAAATCGATCAGCCATCCCTGATCGGTTTTATCCACAATCAAGCCACGCTGGACTGTGCCATCACGCTCGACGTTCACAGAGTTCCGATGGTAGACTTTTCTGGCAAACATGGCAAAAAATTAGTAGATTCCGGTTTTGCGAAATGCGATATACTGCGCACTGTTATACGAATTGTAAGAATACAGTCTACGCTGCGTCGCTGCTAACTATGGTTTAAGTCTAGATAAGCTATCAAAAGACGAAAACAATCTGGTTGTTGCAAGGCCTTCAGATTACCTTTAGAATGATAACACCTTTCCTCTGCGAAAACTGGTTAATAGGCAATACATAGCTACTTAATGCAGATAGACAAAGCATCTTTCGCGGGTCGAAAGCATGGAAAATCAAAAGAAGTGGGGTTTTCACGAGAGCTGTAGGCAATGAATACTACTAGTAAGTACTTCAGAAAGCGCACTTATGTATGTAGTACTTATATCAGTCCAAAATCCTCCGTGCGTACAATAGTCTGTTAAGTTATTTACAAGGGCAGTTCGTGTCGGCATTTTCAACAAATCTACAGAACACGAAATTTTATCTCGGCAGAAACCGGGGTTTGTGGTGACAACGGAAGTATTTCCAGAAATTTTATCTTCAGAACTTTATGCTTTACACTATTTTTTTAATTCTCGAAGCGCCCACGAACATACGGTGCGCCCCGAACATACGAAGCGCCCACGAACATTTATATTGTAAATTTAATTTTTAATCATTTTAATTAAGGTTAAAGTCGTGGGCATATGATGTGGATTTGGTTGCACGAGATTTCAGAGTCAGAATGTCGTGACTAACAGATGCCGTAATCGCCACCAGGGATGCCCCGATATTCTTGACCGATATAGTTGCTTTCGGCTAGTAAACGATTTCAGAAATATACCAGCAGTGTAACTTTTCTGTTTTTCACCTGGATGCATACGGATAACAAATACTGTACTTACTGAAATCTGTGTCTGCAATCGCGAAAGCATAAGCGCTTTCTTTTGATGGCAGGTTTGATAACTCGGTGGCTGGTATTAAAGTGTTCGTTCAAATTATGCATATAAACCTACCCGATAGTCGTTTAAGTCAGTTTAATAAAGTTTACTTTGGGTTAGCCGTGGAGGGAATACTGACCTACTGTATTTTAAATCGAGCTGCAAACTGCTATCATGCGCTTTTCCGCCTATACACTGATGCTAATTGTGCTAGCAACAGCACTGCATTTCGCTGGTAAGCAGTACCCTGACATGAATTATGCTGGGCCGTTACAGTATTTCTCTGCATATAAGTAAAATTATTGAACATTAAAAAAACTGGTTCTTTTCCCGAATTTTCGGCAAACCGGAGTAAAACTTCTGTATTTTCCCGCAGTTCTTTATTTTCCTGGCCCAAAGCCAGCAGAATACAAAGATTACGAGAAAAAAAGTTTAGTTTACATAAGATGCTTCTAGGCTACCGTATTATGCTGGTGGGCGGTAACGGCGCAGTCGGCTAAGACTGCTGAATCTTCATAATTGTGTTACGGTTTTCAGCTGATGTGAACGCCAAACGCGCAAGTACCGACGGCGTCGTATGCCAGCACGGATCCCAGCGATGCGGCCACAGGGACTGCTACCGTCCACAGGATGGTGAAGCCTGTGAAAATGGCAGGATTCTGCCGCCACCCAAATGCGGATTCAGTGAGGAACGCTGTGGCAGTAAATGCTACCATAAGTTTCGTGAAACGTGCACCAACGGTACAGTATGCGGAATGGGCGAAGCGGCATGTGAAACGCGGTGTTATCATCGCCTTCGTGAGACCTGTACCAATGGTACGGTTTGTGCTATGGGCGAAGCCGCTTGCGGGACACAATGTTACAACGTCATTCGCGAAACCTGCACTAATGGGAGAATATGTGAGATGGGCGGATCGTGTGAGAATTATAGGGCTCGGCAATCTCTGGCCCCTGTGAAGTGTGGATTCAGTGAGGAACCTTGTGGCAGTAGATGCTACCATAAGTTTCGTGAAACCTGTACCAACGGAACAGTGTGTGGAATGGGCGAAGCGGCCTGTGGAGATCGTTGCTATCATAGAATTCGCGAGACCTGCACTAACGGGGTCGTGTGTGGAATGGGCGAGGCTGCCTGTGGAACGAATTGTTACAACGTAATTCGTGAAACATGCACCAACAGTATCGTGTGTGGGATGGGCGAGGCTGCTTGCGGAACCCGGTGTTACAACATTATGCGGGAGAGCTGCTAGCCTATTCCCATTGGATCGACCACGAAAGTCGGCAGAAACCTTGTAAAAAATCGGGGCGTTGCTAATGGTCCTCGATTTGGTCAGAAGTGCAAGTGAGCAGAGGCGGTTCTGTTCGCGATGTGCTCGGTTATTAGCGGTACATAATCATACAGACGACCTGAGTTTTTGCAAGTATCAACTTTTAATTAGCGTGCAGATTAGTTTTAGAGTTTTGATTTGCTGTTCGATGTCAGATCACTGCAAGACGCAAGTCATCTACGTAGTTTTGTTTTCTCTACTGCGGCAATATTAAAGTACGTATAACTGCCATTTTCCGCTTGCGATGTTTAATCTCGACCAAGAAATGTGGGTAACTGACAAAGTATCTCTACCCTTTATAGATCTGAATATATCGTTTAATCCTGTGGCTCTGTACCGCAGCGTTCCAGTGTCACTGTCGTAATTATTTCTGCTGTATCGTTTACAGATTTCACATGAATTCCTTCAGAAAGCCTAAATTTTAAAAAAAATGGAAGGATAAATACAGCAAGGATCCGTATGAATACCAATGTTCTCCGTGATGAGCAAAGCTGTACAAAGTGATTGCATTTAGAATATTGTGCGATACGTTACTTAGAAGTTAGGAGTGCGAGAGTAAGACTACATTCGCGCAGGATACGTATTGCTTTCGCGCAGGATGCCCAGCGTGTTTGTTTCTTGGTTTTTGCCACGTCGGTGACGATGCTCGCCTTCCACGTTGTATGATACAAGCCATTCTGTTGGTGCAGGTGACATTCTAAACCACAAATCCCCTGACTGCGAGTTGTTGAGGTTATTCTATTATAGCATTTTGTGACTGTCGGAGATCCTTGCATAAGGGCATGGATCCAGAATGGAGTACCGCATGTTGGGTTCGTCATGCTTACCCTACTTGAAATTAAATTTTCGATTTTGGTGATACCATTGTCCTTATTACATTCGATTCGTATACATTTGGTTGGTTTCCTGGTAGTTTAATTGCCTGTTTAACTGAATCATCGGTGTTTATCAATCGACGCTCAACCGAGGCACTAGAATTCCATTTTATTATACTGATTTTGTATGCGTGGTATTACTGTAAACCAGTCCTGTGGAACGTAGTACATGTGCCATGAAGACAATATCGCAATCCGAAAAAAATCAGAGAACTGAAGGGTGAGGACACGAGGAGCCCTGTTTAACGACGCATTTATGGACGAGATTCTCTTCGGCGTAGCGCTGATCCTCCAGGTACTTCTTCGACCTTCCGGGGAAATCGCAATCCGGGAGGTCATAGAGCCAGGTATTGTAAATCATATCTTTGGATGATACACACATGAACTGAAACCGGTCATCGATGGCGTCACGGATTATGGCATCCTCCAACGGCGTGATATCCTTAGGCTTCTTGCGGGTCCACACCGACATACCCGGCTGCTTGCAGACGCTTCCGAGGAAGTTGTCCGGGTCAAAACACCCGGCGCGTAGATAGAATAATTCGGGCTCCAGATATAGTTTGTAGAACCAATGCTCTTGCACTATAAAATAAAGCATAAAACCCAAATTCTTTCTTTCAGATCGGTAGTGTGATTTAAGCTGCGTACCTGCATCTCCGGCGCCCAGGTTGGGACTCAGCCGTGTTGATCCGTAGCAGAATCCGCTGCTCGTCGTGTTCTGCATAACATAACCGCCCCAGCAGTTGTGAGGTGCCGCGTCAAAACGACAAACGGCCGTTGTAGCCTGCATGTAGGCGCCGTTTTTTGAACCTTTCACCCAGCCAATCCCGCGGTCTAGTTCCATACAGTTAACGAAGTCATGCAGTTCGGGACCGGCGGGACCGTACATGTACTGGTACCAAACGCCATTTTGCTGTAACAGACATTGATTGATTATTTATTACATTACTTAAGCGTCCACGATTTGGAACTCCTGAGTGCACAAGCTCAGAAACGGTCCGAGCGGTTAATGCTTACACTATAATTCATTAGCACAATTATTGCAACAGGACTCAGCACTTATTAGCCGCTGTAAAAGCTCACATACATTGCTGGAATGATTGATTAAATAATAGCAGAATAATATTAGTTATGTAACCCTGGAGCCTCAATTTCCGTCCATACAAAGTGTATCTCTTATATACGCAGTACATATTTGCTTTGGGCAAACCAGCCTATCTCTTTATCAAAGGTTAGAATTATACGCAATATTATTTTCCTTTCTTTCATCAAACATTGTACTATAGCCGTTAAAATACGAACACTGCGACTTTTATCACGTACTGGTTAATTAAAGCAATTGAAGACTTGTACATTAAGGGCTGGTTACCCAAAATCACTGGTAGATATTTGTCACTTACAGCTGGAGTATCAAAGGCATAACCTGTCGGGATACCGGGGACGCATTTGGGCAGTTGGACGTCGCTCGGTTCAGTGACCGCGTGCTGGATCGCCTTTACGGGTGGCTTACTGTGGCGCGTGCCGCCGGCAACAAATCCAACCGATGCAATAAACACGAAGGCAAGTACCAACATCATAGGTCAGTAACACGAAACTAGAACCGCACTCTATGGTGGCTAGTTTGAGCGCTGGTTGTGAAAATTACGTTGGGAGTATCTGTAGTTGCAAACTTATAAAGCAAAGTCTGGTCGGACAACATGTTTTATTCCAAAACTCGTCACCCTCAGGGTTGGCAAGACTCGGATAACCATCCAGGGGCCTTAATGGTTCGCCACCATCTATACCGGGAATCCTTAACAGAGCCGCACAGCTGTATACGCTAAACAAGCCATTCAAACACAGACAATTTTCAGCCGTAAGCTGTTTTGCTGTTTAGCCGCTGTTTGTTTTTCCGGAAACAGCTCAAGGTTGTAATAATAACTTTTATTATGACAACCGTGAGATGCGTCGAAAAAGAACGTCGCTGAATTGCACAACAGCATAACGGTAGAAAACCGTCTGTATGCGAATGGCTTGTTAAGCATACACAGCTGCAAGGCTCCGCTAAGGATTCCAGTTGGACCAGTACAGAATTGATAATAACTGTGATGCCCTCCCCCGACAGTCGAAAACAGGCTGCATCACTGTAAATTCTCTCGCCTGCTACAACAGCAGCAGGTCGAGTGTGGTGTACTTGCGCAATAATCAAGGAAACGCTTATACTAAAGAATCCAACACGTTCACTGGAATCTCATCTTTTACAGAAATCAACGAGCCCAAACCAATATTCTTCTGAATTAAATTAATTGCAATACTTCAGGTCAAGTCCAGCCTCGAAAAAACTGTTACGACTGTCAATGTCATGTACCCATCCAATACCGTGTACATTTATTGTGCCTCTTTTTCAGCCTCGTGTAAAGAAAACCATTCTTCCACTGTTCTTGTATGATTTATGTGATAAATGTATTCAGTCAAATTAGTTTTTCGCTTCCTTTATGTGTGAGTGTTGATCGCGACCGGCAAAAATGTTGTGACCGGAGTGTGTGTATCGTCACATTATAAAGATCAGTAACCTAGGGTGCCGGTAAGTTGTTCGACTTACACTAGTCACTCTTTCATTGTTCTTTAAAACTGAAACCGCACATTAACGATGTATCGTAGTTGGGCAAAGAGTTGTATGAGATGATGGTTTGACAGGTAACTTTGACCCCAAACTAATTCTGGGGTCGTTACTGAGTCGGATGTTAAAGCCACACACCGGTTGTACTAAACGTTAAGCCTCCTGCAAAAGCCCACTATACGGGATATTAATGCAGTCGTGTTCTATAGGTAAAATTATATGGAAAAAGTGCTTCGAACGCGAAAAACATCGAATTACAAAAGTAAAGAGTCCGTTTGAGCTGTCCGTACTGGTTCTGTCATTGCGGATCAGTGCGTGTTACGAAATTCTTTTTCCTTTGTTGACGCCACATTTCCAGTATTACGTATTCCAGGTGCTACACCTCCCGTTGGCCGAACCAACCAATGATAAAATTCATCGTTTCCATGATCATCAGTGGTAAAAAAATTCTTTTATGCGCACGCAAATAACTTCGGCCGTCCTCCAGCTCCGCCAGAAATCCAGAAAAAAGAAACATACTGGTGATAATCATGTTGAGAATCGGCACATATTTCCCCATGCGAACCTGGGCGTACAAACATCGACAAAGTTTTCCACCAATAAGCTGTTACTACGGTGAACAGTTGTACATTGGAAGGTGAAGCAGAACTTTGGTGATAGTTTCGCATGCTCACAAATATCCGCATTATTTCGATCTGAGCGGCAACAGGGTACCAAAAATAAAGCGGCTCCACCGACATCACTATGACATTTAGCATAACCCAGCATTCTTCTGAGACGTTTCCGGCTGAATAGTTTGAGCTCTGATTTCTTTAATACAGAATACAAAAAAGAAGTACTCTGTACTAAGGGATTTTGGCTAGGTACATAGCACTAAATTCGTGTACATTGACGGGAATCTTCGCTTTCGCGCAGTTGCACTTTTAAGAGTTGCTTTTTGACACCGTGTTTCAAAATGATTTGTATACATAGGCGTGAATTCCGTTTTCGCGCGTAACATCTGGATGCGGATTTAGGAGGGTAAAGAAATCCCAAAAAGTTTAAATGCATTCAGGTGTACCAAAAGTCTCATTATGGACCGATCCCTTTCAAATTTTGCACGTAAATTCACATAACCATGAAGATCGTTCTTACATGAATCCAGACTTCCATGAATTTTTTCGAATTTTAAAATGAATTTTAAAATTTTTGAAATTCATTTTAAAATTTAAAGAACATGCTAAAAAAACGGTTTTCGTGGTTATGTCACTTATGTGCATTTGCAAAATACAAAAGAGATCAGCTAATAATGAGACTTTTGGCACACCTGAATGAATTCCAACTTTTTGGAATTTTCTAACAACCATAAATCCCGAACCGGATGTTGCGCGCACAAACGGTTTTCATGCCCGTGTAAGAAATCACAAAATTAGTGTTTTCTCAGTTCTAACAACTATTTATTCAAGTTCTATGCGGCCATGTTTTTTGCTGTGCAACGCTTTGAATTTTAATCTGCGGTTATAGGCTTACACCCCACTACAGACACTTGTAGAAGTCCCTGTGCAACTTGATTGCTTATGAATAGGTGGGAAAACGGTTGTTTGCGTAATGGACTCAGTAAAATAAAGCAGGAGGACAAATTAAGCGCATTGATTGACTAGAAGCTCTCAGGCACAGCGTTGCTGATCGTTCAGATGCTTTTGCGACCTTCCCAGAAAATACCATGCCGGTCACAGACCCAGTTATTTAAATCGTAAGCACATAAACACTGGATGACACATAAACTGGAGCCGGTCACCTTAGAACGTGTTTCAGTGGTGTGAAATCCTTGAGAGGTCAACAGGGTCTTGAAGAGTCACCACTCAACAGGCTGCCTGCAGAAGCTCCCGTTCAGGAGAGTGTCCGAGTCTTGGAAGTCTTGCGGCGGTGAATACTGTGCCTTGTGAAACTGGACTCTTTAGAAAGTGATCATGCAGACTTGACGTAACGTTTGCAGCCTTCCATCTTATGCAGTCAGTGTCCACGGGTACAATAACAACTCTCATAAAAACAACCACCCTCTTAAAAACAGCACAAACTGTTAAAGATGCAAACGAGAAGAAATTAGCGTAAGACAGGGGACGTTCGTTGCAGTAATTCGCCTCGTTTGCCCATGCCACCGTTGAGATTCTTAATATAGGCCAACCCAGATGCCGGCCGCCCCGTACAGCAAATAGGATCGTTACAGGTCGGACTGCGGGAAGATCATTCGAAACAGTCGGTTTTTCACGAAATAATGAAAAATGTTTGAGAAAGGAAACAAAAGATTACCGCTGTTTCAATCTCCAGTCGCGTCACTTGCGACTCATTTTGAGACGCATTTTGATAATGGAAAAGTACGTTAAAACCACAAAAGAACATCAGTTCAAATGATCTGACGCGAATACACGACATTTCTTGCTGTAACAAGCTGCTAGATCTGGATCGGAAAAGGGAGATTTTATCGGCATTATGATTTTATCGGCATTACTGTACACTCAGGCTCTGTATGTGCAGGCGATGCTGAGTCACTCAGCGCCACTGACAACCACCAACGATTTATCTGATTTTCTGGCGGGTTACTCTTTCGGCTAAAACAGGCAGTTTTGCCCCTTATCAACGTCAAACAAAACCGCAAAAGTCCCGGTTTGCGCAAGAAATGGCAGCCAAAAGGTGCAGCTAAAACTCTCGTTGCAAGTACCATTTTGGGTATAAAACACCCAGTTGGACTTGCAGTTAAGACAGTTCGGCACGTACCTGCAATTCCAACATCTTCTATCTATAATTAACACGTCGCAGCACCGATTATCGCGCGTTTCTTACTAAACTTTGCTAATACCAGTCACAATTGTTTCGAGCGAACACAACATGCTGACCACAACCGCTAGCGCTGCGCTTGGATTTTCATACTATCGGATCGCTGGAAATTTTGCTATCCCACAACTGGCTATTTCTGTGATCAATCTTCTTCACATATTCGTGCTGATCGGTAGGCCAGTTATATTGTTGTCAGAATAATACTGTTTCACTAGAAAAAGCGTTGCGTCTTCTTCTCAACTTCTTTACCCACCTAATTAAGACAAATAATGTGTCCCCATATTAAGACTGAAGTATAACCAAGTGATTCTCGTATGGAGGGTCATGTGAAATAGTACAACACCTACGTAAAGCGCAAAAGACGGTTTTCTGGGCGAAAAGCCGGTTGGATCGTACAACGAAAATATTCACCGGCTTTATGATTAAAATTTGGGTCAGTTGATCTGTTGGTTTAGCGATCTACTGTAACGCGTAACCAAAATAGTGTCCCAAATTGCACGATGTGTTTCATAGTGTTCCTGAGTATATCAGATTTCATATACAGTAGATAAGATAATTGCTTTAATTTCGACAGCCGCCGGCCAGCCCGTCATACTGGCCCTGATCCTCCTCACATCCTGGTCGATCCTGACGGGGATTGTTGGGTTTGCCGCCTGCTGGTTGAGGGGCTTCACCGTTCCGCCGAAATTCCCTAACACCGAGCGCACGGCACCACCGGTGACTGGGGAACCCGGATTGAACTTTTTCTGCGTCTTTATCATACTGTTGGCCGCAGGTGCCGGGTTGGCTCTGGCCTCCGTTGTCACCAGCTGCTTGCCGCCCTTGGGCGACGACCGACTTTCATTTTGCAGTTTTCTGTTCTGTTTATTGTACGTTGCGGGGCAGTTTGGCTTAATTACCAAAGCGTTGGTGGTCTTGAAAACGAGTCGTGCAACACACGCCGTCGTACCGGTTTCGGCAAGCAGTCATAGCGATGATATGCCGCCGCCCTACACGATAGCCATCACGCAGTGTACCGCGGATAGCCCGCCAAGTTATACTGACGCAACAGCGTCAAGTGAAGGTGAACGAACCGATGATCCGATGCCAAGGCAGACGTTGTCACAATTTCGCGGCCCGTTTTATTGGCCATGAATGCGTGATAGGTTTTGACTTTTGTTGTTACAGATCTTTTTTAACGATTATTTATTCACAGTTCGAGGCAACTATGTTTTTAGTATTTCCCGCTTTTATTAACGGTTAAACGGATTATTCTTGTTTTTTTTTCAAATCGACCAATAGCGATCTATATGTACAATGCAGACAATTTGATTAGTTCCAGGGCAATGAGCAAGAAAAAAATGCTTGCGAAGAGAACAAACTCAATAAAACGAAGCGGGTGCACACGATGAACCGTGCTTGTTCGCACATTTACTAACAAGATGCTCTTCGGCATAGCGCTGATCTTCCAAGTACTTTTGCGGTCTTCCGGGGAAATCGCACGCCGGGAGGTCGTAGAGCCACTTATTGTAGATCATGTCTTTGGATGACACACACATAAACTGGAACCGGTCATCGATGGCATCACGGATAATGGCGTCCTCCAACGGTGTGATATCCTTAGGCATCTTGCGAGTCCATACCGACATCCCCGGCTGCTTGCAAATGCTCCCATCCAGGAAGTTGTCCGGATCAAAACATCCGGCGCGCAGATAGAAGAAATTAGGTTCCAAGTACAGCTTGAAAAACCAATGCTTGGACACTGCATAAAAATTATAAACTAACAACACCATCGGTGCCGAATGTGGAGAATATCAAATCGCTTACGTCCATCACCAGCGCCCAGGTTGGGACTGAGCCGGGTTAAACCGTAGCAGTACCCGTCACACGTGGTGTTCTGCATAACGTAACCGCCCCAGCAGTCGTGAGGGGCCGCGTCAAACCGGCAGACGGCGGCGGTGGCCTGCATGTATGCGCCGTTATTAGAGTTGTACACCCAGCCAATCCCGCGATCCAGTTCCATGCAATTGACGAGATCGTGCAGGTTGGGACCGGCGGGGCCGTACATGTACTGATACCAGATGCCGTTTTGCTGCAATTTGATCATTTGCTCATCACCCGATCATTAACGAACCGCATCGCATTAAAAATTGTTATGACGGCGGCATCTTGGCGCTAATCAATCATCAGATTTAGGACGCAATAACGAACTATTACCAATAGTTTGTTTTATCTAATTGACAGCACGTCATGCAGTAACAATTAAATAGCGCTTTCGTGCCATTATTTGTATCGGCGGTCAAAAGACTCAGAACATTTTGACGAAGGATAGCACCATTTATCTGCGGCGTTTAAACTTTGAGATTGTCTAAACACACTTGATAACAGGTGGTGACTTCTTAAGCCGAAGTTTAAAAACCAGAAAATCTCAAAAATAATTATAATTGTATTTTCATCCTGATCTATCGACTTTCACTTCCATCGCCACACTAATTTACCAATCACAAAAACTAACCCTTACAGTTACAAGTGACCATTGATTCTGGCTACTTACTGCTGGTGTGTCAAACGCGTATCCCGTGGGTAAACTGGGGACACAGGTTGACGATTGGTTGGTGGGCGGGGTGGTGGTCTGCAGATTGGATGATGTCGTCGTCTGTTGATTGGACGATGTACTGTACTGGGTCTGGCCGCTAACCATCCCAACCGATACAACAAAAACCACGACTAAAAATACCATCTTCACCGGTAAAGTAAACTCACCAAAGATCGAGGTAAACATTGGTCGCAGCCTAAATGCCATGCCATGACGGAACACTTTTATACTGCAATCCTTTCGGGTTATCACTGCGGGCGCTCGCTCTGCGAATTGACAACGTGATGTCAAGGAACGTTCGTTACTGCAGCGGCAAGGCGGAGCAAGCCTACAACCATAACGCCCTTGCAAATAAGAAAATCTCGCTTTTGAAAAATGCATGTCATATTTCTTGGTATTTTAGTGATTGGAGCCTAGATGTGTAATTCTGCACGTTCTACGGAAGTGGAGCAAATATATGGTCAACAAATAGGTCATTGTAAAGTAACTTCATTGTTTTTCTGGCTTCGAACAAAGTGGAATAATAATTAACCAGCAAGACTGTATCACTTCATAATCTTCATCACTGAAAGTTTAGAGAATAATCTAAACAAAATTCAGAAATTAAGCCCAATGATTTTATACACAGCACGAGTAAATTTAAGCATTTAAGTTATTTTACTATGCGTATTTCCGTGACAGTGACTGTGTGGTACTTTTACCCGAATCTCGCGCTTAGCATTTTCTTCCCTTATGAAATTAATAAAATTCATGCCAAAAAAAGAGAAAATAGTGTTCATTGGGCGAGTTGCCACAATGTTTCAAGCCAAGTGCTTGTAATAAAAAGTAAAAGAATGATTATTTACGTTATACCCTAATGCTGTACTAGAAAAATGCAAAACTAGAACAGTTGCAAAACAGTGCGTCGTTTCCATTTCAAGTATTAACTACCTATAGTACAGCTTCGCATGTTAAAAAATTATAATAATATTTACCATGTATTATATTTATTTTCACCAGAACAACTGTGCATGATACAACGATACAACGCAGCACTTATTGTATGCTACGGCACGCCCAATTCCGACTGTTTCTCTTAACAAAATTTTGCGCCATCGTTCATGGATCAAGCTGCCGCCAAGACAGTTGTTGTTGGTAAACCGCTGTGACACGAGTGTAACAATATGATACACTACTAATGCTATTCACCACCAAAAGCAACTTACGGTCGGAATGATTTGCTTGTGCTACAGTAACTGCTAACCGACTGACCGTCATTCGCCGTTACTGCGACGAACGATGGGTGCCTTGACAGATCGTGGTCCGTCCGCATGGCGTGCCGCTATTTAATTGTTGTTTAATCTGTTTGCAGACAAGTGTCCATAGATCGCCGTAACTAATGCGCGATTAATTATATGATTTATATCCCCCGACAAATAAGACAGCACTGTATATTAATCACAAGGCAGCATGATAAATCTCTTGTGTAGTACATATATTTTGAATTAGCTGTTTTCCAATTTCGTGCCAGTAGCGATCGCAAAGTATCGCGATTACCTTTTATCGAGGGAAACTGCATGCATTATATTAGTGTCGTTTTATTTAATGAACGTAATTGTAGTAAGCCAATTTCGCTTCTTACTAATTGAGTAAAACGTAGATAAACCGGGAAACCGACCGTAAATAGCAGGGAAAAGTAAATATAAGAAGATTACTGGTACTGTAAATAGTGGGTAATGCATAGTTACGCTCAAGGAAGGTAAATAAATTAATTAGTAAACCGTAGCCATTCACTATTGCGCGTAATAAAATTAAAAGGTCATTAAAGATTTGCATATATATACAGATTTCCCTCCGCAGAACTGTTTTCTGCAAATGTATTTGTCTGAACCGCCAAAGGCGAGAGCTACTTTTATCAATCTCAGTCACAAGGAGCCGTACCTGATTATTCAGATAGATATAGGGTGGGTCTCACATTCAAAGCGAATCTCGCTATGGTACGGTTGCTCAACCGCACGAGGTGGCTGTTTGCAGTGGCCACGCCTACAGATACGGTACGCGAAGCCACCTCGCGAGGTGGAGTTGCTGTATCGCAACTAGATTCGCTTCGAATTTGAGACCCACCCATAGACTCGGTCAGATGGTATCGCAGCGTCTTAGCGTACGCGTGAACGAATACTGCAGCATGTACCCACTTGCCTTGTACAGTACTTGCCTGTAGTACTTGCTCCGAATTATACCGGCATGTAATCAACATGAATGCTCTACAATTCAAATTCAGCCGAATCTAATTATTGGACTTTCCCAGTTTTTCGAGAAAACAGTCTTTTAAGAAAAACGGTACCCGAAATACAGCGAAAAATCTATGCACCGGCCCACTTGACTGGCAGCAGCGCCCGGAATTGGCTGGACATGGGCGGTTGGTTGTCGGCCACGTTACAGGGCGGTCCCGTCTTGGAGAGATCCCATTTGGTGGGCCACATGTCGGCAAACTTAAACTTGTTGCAGACCACCGGGGGAATGTAGTAGTTGGCGATGGCCTCGATGTATTGCTTCTGCGCGGTGGTCAGCAGCGGCGGCTTGATGCGGGTCAACACCCACGCGTACGGCTCGTCGCACGTGACACCATTGGCGTTGGGCGTATTGCAGCGAAACAGCACTTGCACCAGATTATAATCCGTGAAGAGATTTGTGTAGGTGAAATCCTCTAATGAATCACAATTTTCGGGTTATTTGAAGCAATATACTGATTGCAACAGTGTAGGAATTCGTAGTTAATAAAAGTTATGCTAAATTACTCGTATAATTACCATTACAGAAATCTCCATTTCAGTGTTGAATATATGGATATTATTAATCGAGTAGGATATCTAACGCAACGATCGCAATGTAGGGACACATGAGGAAGTTCTTTTATCAAGTTTTATGTATCCGTCGCCCATACATTGTACTTACCGATGGTGTTGTAAGGCGGATTCGTGTCGAACTGGACCTTAACGACACGACGTCCATCAGAGTTAAAGTTTCCAGACTGCCAAATAGCCACACATGTCAGAGGATCGGTTGCGGCAGCTCCGGGTTGCAGGCCGTTGTACATCCAGCTGACCGCGTAGCTAGTAGAACCAGCGTCTTTACCCGGCTCGGGGTTGATACCAAGAGCGGTCCCATTCATCAGTAAGTTGTAGCTACTAGGGTCTTTTGATGCGTCATACGGCACAATGGGGCCAAAATCCAGGTGGCGATATTCGTGCCATACACCCAACGCCTTATAAAAGAAATTAAAAACAGTATCAATGATCAATCATTTTCAAAATGTTATTTACAGTACATACAATATATCAATGTTTCATAATTTGAAAATAAATAAATAAAAAAACAAAATGCGTATAAAAGTTCTTAATCTAGGTTGTGGCCAAGGCAATTTTTATTGGTGTCGTCGGCTCAAGCAACAGCCACCCGGATACGCACTCGGCGCATACGTACGCACAAATCTGGTGTCGATTTAAGCCGACAGAAATCCCGGCTGTAAGCAAGTAGTAATTTCGAATCCTTACCTTGTTGACTTCGACAGGCTGCCCTTTCACTTTGATGCTGACGGTACACTGACCATAGACGACCCCAACGACGGCCGCAAAGCCAAGCAAAACGACAATTCCGTGCATGGCTGGACGGAAAAATACTAAGGCATCTAACATATTGCAGCAAGCCATTTATATCTGTATATCGCCATTAGCGGCGCCGGTGTGTCCAGGTGTTATACGAGTACACACACTTGTATATCCCACACAGTTGCACGTGTATTGCAAAAAACGGCAATCGCATTGACGTGCGTGCGCTGTGGAATTTGCAGAGCGCAGCACTGGAAACTTGTGGAAGCGCTTAGAACTGCAGAAAGTATCCCTTTGCGGTTTTGCTCGTTTACGGCATGAGACATTTAAACAACGTCGTACTTCAATTTTTTATTGTGCCACTAGAAGTATCACGGCAGTGTCACTGTGTCAGCAACGATATCCTTTAAGAACGTATTAAAAGCTGCTTTACAAGGCCCAGAAGTTAGGATCAGAGTTCAATTGCTGACGCGTTTTACATTACAGTTTATAAACTAAATTAAACTATATTTTATTAAACTGCATGACGTATTCTTCTGTGCATCCACATTATATATAAGCTGTAAGGGGCTTTTAGAGGCGCAGGCAAGCACTCCCTGTACTTGATGCATTCACCCGGCTGGAGTGTGACGTTACGGCAATACATATGGTTAAATCAGGCACGGTACATAAGCACCTAGTGATCTGACCTTTAATGGGTATCACATGTAAGTACAAAATGAGTACTAAAACAAACGAATTTCAAAGCAAAAACATATCTTCAATGCCATCCTGCTCGGGGATTGTGCCCATAACACATATCGCGTTTCCCCGTTGCATTTGATAACCGCTGTCTAAAAAACTCTTTCGCCCGTTTCTGGCCTGTAGCAGTGGCGATACCGTTTCCGACCTTCTGCACTAAAAGTTTAGTCCCGTCACTCCATGGGCCATAAATTTCGAACGCTGCAGTGGTGAAATTATATCTCGATTGCATCCAGGCATGTTTTGCCAGTTTCCTTCTTTCCGCTTGCTCGGCTGCGGCCCCAACGTTAGCGAAGATGCGCTCAATGTACGAAGCTGCGAGTGTTATCGACACACGTCACATCCACTGCTAGCGGTTTTCCCCGTTCCCACGGTACTAGTGTGATCACATCCGGCCTCTTGTTATCTTTCGCGGATAGACCTTTCGGTTCCATTCTTGCTGGGAAACCGGCCGTCTTTAATCCGCGAGTGAACTTCCCACTAATACCGTCGTGGCGCGGCAGTCTTCCGGCTGACCGCTTGCACCGGAGCCCGTGTCGTCCCAGGTCATCGACTAACCCCCCACAAACGCACACATGGGGTGTTACAATTGGTGCTCTCAAGCGCAGCCCCATACTTATACGGAAGACGTTGTTTTCCAGCAGATAAGCACCCTGTTTAGCCACAACATAAATCTCCAGCCGGGAGACGGCAGGAAGTACAGGGAGTGCTTGCCTGAGCCGTGCAGGTGTTATTCTTGCACAATGTTTGTTAACCGACATGGTGAGGTTCGAAATAATAAAACTGTTAACCATATATGTTTTGTAATTATAGAAAAATTGCCTTCTCTGAAGGTTAACCTTTTTGCGACACATGCAAAACCTCATAAAAAATAGGCAAGAACAGAAGCATATAATGCGACCACAAGAGTAGCGCATGGTGCATCGGAAACAGTTGCGCATTATCTCTGCTGGGATTTTAAGTTTAATTCTGTGTGGCAAATCCAAAATGCGGTTATAGGATGACCCAAGCCACTGGCCTGAAGCGGGCGCACAAGCGAATGTATTTTCGCATCCCGTCCAGTCATCTGCCGGTTCTCTTCACACCACAAATGTTGCAGTGTTGATCAGTTTGGTCCCAATTCTTTATGTGCACGTGCTCAAAGTGCCGCTGATACTGGGCTTTAAATTCATGGCGTACCAATCGATGAGAGACGGATCCATGTTCTGCGGGCCACCGCTTCTTCCGGGCGTGTTCACCTTTATCAAAGTGGACAGTTGCCTCAACAGATTCGCCCCTTTATTTTTTATTGTGGGTGCCTACATTTACCTGATTGTTAAACGGCTTCGACGGAAAAAAGGTTCTGGAACTGTGTGCTGCAGTGCTGATATTCAGCTGCGCAGGTCGATTGTGCGCTGTACTTTACTTCGTTTGAGATCGTTCTAGTGTTAATGTTAGATACTTTCCATCAATTCTGTGATATATAAAAGTGACCGCAGTGCGACTATGTAAGGCAAAATGAGAGCATGGTGCTTTATAATCCATAAAGGCGGAAGTACGAGTAATTCGTCTTTATAAAAAGCTTAGCAAAAGATGAGACAAGACGTGGACACGTGTATTACATATAATTGCATTTCGATGTGTTTTCAGTATGTTGTGCAGTTTATCACACAACGACGAATGCGTTTCCGCTCGTAATATCTTTGATTATATTGGTCCAGGATTCCCGAGAATTAAAAGCCCGTTTCCGCTGTTCTCCCAGTTATTCACAGACGTAATTATATAATCCATACAAGTAAAAGGATTCCTTAAAATGTAGCCTTTCCCAGATGATAACGAAACGAAATGCGTACGCATGTTGATAGATTTTCAACTTACGTGAAAGCCGGCTTAATGGAAACGAGGCAGACACGACATCTGCTGAAAAAAATCTACAAGGCTACCAAAAAAGGAACAGATAAACTGATTTCGGCTTTGCTGTTATCGGCCCGGCATCAGGAAGTTTTGCTGAGGAAACGAAATGGTCGCACAGGAAAGTTTTAGAAGGTGACGCGGTGCAAGGGCCAGCTACGTGTATTTGCACGGGAGTTTTGATTTCGGCGGTTACAAAGACACTTTTTTTGCCCCAATAAAAGATCGTTTCATCACAATATGTAGTCAAGTAAGGTGTCAGCATGGGGAGCAAAAGCCGCTCGTGTCGCGGTAAACTGTTGTGAATTCAAATGATAAAAAGAAACGGCAAAAATCTTTCTGTGTTAAAAACGATTATTATGAATGTCTAATGAAAGTGCGTTTTGTAACAAAACTTAGAAAAATATCGGTCTGTAGCGAGTAAAGCGGCTGCTGATGCATGCACGCTTTAAACCCGAGCAAAGCGAAAACAGAGAGTTCCACAACAGTATCCGTTACTACTTAGCGACCATTCAACTTGTGTGCTCTGGTTGTACGAATATTGACACCTCCCGTTAAGCATTCGGCATTTCCAGTATTACTCGTGTATACGACTAAGAGCCAGGTGGAACAAATCAGTCCCTCAAAAGAAAAAACATTTTCCAAACTTCATTAGCATTTTTTGGAAATTTTACAATAAAGTTCAAAAATTTAAAAATTTATTTTGAAGTTTAGGATACCGATATGCTACGCAGCTCCTGGCGTTGACTTACCGAATTTTTTTCAGAACTGCTTTCTTGTCATGCCGTACGGGTAGATCGAATAATAATTGCAATCTCGGCTCCATTCAAACTGGTCACTGGTGAATGAATGTGGCCGCTAAAATAACCGTTTACCGCAGACGTTCTTAAACGGTTTCTTAAGCGGTTTGACCGTACCCTATACCGTATACGGTAGAAAGCGGTACATTTGTAGTCTACTGTGAACGGTAGTAAAGCAGATGAATGTTAAGCGGTTCACCATGTGTGAATCCAGCTTGCTATGAGCGCAGCAGCATAACTGGACACATTATCGGAAGCTGCCCATTCTGTTTCTAAATCTGATTTGATTTTTGTTTCTTCCGCTCATTACGGGACGTCATTCTAATAAATTAGGCCTGCGATCTGACCGCGCAGTAAACTGCTGCTTCTTGATTCTGGTACATAACCGTAATCATAGCTGCTTCGTGAACAGTCGCTTGCTCCCTGAAAGCGCTGAGTAAGGCTATGGAGTTCCAGTTCAGATGATTTACAGATAAGAAAGAGCATCGTTTCAGGACCCTGTACCGTGTATGATCGTACTGGGTACGGTTGGCCACCTCTAATCCAGTTACTTTGACCCGTAATGCACCGAAATAACAAGTATCCGACGAGTCGATCACGGCGACGTTGATTAGAAAATTAAATTTTCGGAGTCCGGAAGTCGCGTAAGTATGAACAACGGCAGGATCCACAAAGGTCTCTATTACGACGGTGGCACATCAGACCACTACAGCAGTCCTCATCGCTGGAATAATCTTCATCCACTGATTCACATGTCGTCAGCATTCGTCCAAAACATTCCACCAACACCACTAATGATACAAACCGCACAAAACTTATGCAATTTCCTCGTACATTGATCACTTCCTCATTACACTGCTTTCTACAAATTTTTCGGCCTTCCTTAGTTTCAGAGCACATTCCGGTTTATGTTTATGCAACTTACCATAATAGCGATCACAAGAATAAGAATAACTAAATTTGCAAAAGCATGCTGGAAGCTAAATAAAGCTTGTCCCATGTGAGAAAAAGGAATAGCCATAAAACTGCGAAGTTTAACAACTGCAAATGTACCGTAATTATCGAATTAGAGGCCCAGGGTTACAAATACTTCAAACGCCTCACGAGGTGGACTCCAGTTACGGGGGGAGCTTCTATTTCGGTGGGAGGTTATAATTCGATAATTACGGTATCTGAAATATTTGTCAAATTTGCGAACCAGTTTTGTACTCTCGCTGCTAGCTAGTTCCCGAGCAAAGTTCATCCAAGGGTGTGTCAATTCTTTTACCTTTATTTCATTTTCGCACTTCGTAAAACGCGCTCCCGGATCTTCATTCAAACTCGGAAATGTACTTTTTCATAGATGTAATAATAATTAATGGGTTCAAATTTCAAAAGCAAAAAGTGACGTGCGCGTAATTCTGCCTTCCTTATACGTAATCAGCTTTGTGACGGATTAAATTCTTGTTGAGATGGACAATGACAAAGTCATGGAAGTACCGGGTAGTGATTCGGCGGTAATGCGTCACTGCAAAGTGCAAACCAACATCTTTCGTTACATCTGACTCGAGTCTGGAATTTTAGCAAGAATCTGTGAAGAGGCGATTACTTTGGTAAATCATTTATCCAATGTTGTTTAAAGAGGTGTGGCTCAATGTGTGCTAAGAAGGGTGTGTATTTCACACGGTATCTGATTACAAACTTGACTGAATCACATAATGATTACCGCAGTTTCTTGAAAGTCTTAAATTATCGAGTCAGCAAGGAGATGAAATCCGGCAGTGTCATTTGACAAAAAAGCAACAAGGAGAAGACTTACGAGTATGTTTGGCAAACAGAGAGGATATAAAAGTGGCTCTTACACGCATTACATAGTACCATTTGCGCTTAACAGCCACCTATAACATTTATTTGTAGTTTGCACTGTTTAACATTAAGCGTTTCTTTCTTCCCTTGCTTGCAATTTACCGCCGGATTACGCTCTAACTTCAAATATGTTCCGCATTCTTGTTGTGCTTTGGCTTGTGATCGCTGGTTACATGGCAGAATAATATTTAACTCTTTAAAGTGGAATTACTTGGACTTCGTTTAAAGCAATCGCCTACAGAATTCTGAATTCGAAATCACGGCAAATCAGGAGAAATGCAGATTTACATACACATCTCTCACATGATAGATGTACAAAAATTTGCAACCTACTTTTCCGTTACATCTCCTCCGCAGCTACATGATTATGCATCCGTCATCGAAAGCTCAGTTAATCAAATCGGAGCTCGCTGATGATAGTTTTTACATGCACTGTACGTTTCCGGCAAACGATATAAAATCTTCCCGTACCGGCATTCTGTACACGAGTGGCGTTCTGCGCGCACATTCGCTCGAGATCCTGTTTGCCGGTAGTTCGTCTTTACCTAAAAGCGTACGTACCTGGTGCATTCAAAATAGAAGGTTACCTACTCTAACGAAGGTGCATATAGGAAAAAGTAACTACTTGTATCTGTACGATACTCGTTCGTGTTACGCGTCATCAGTATTGTAACATGTACCCGCACCGCGGCCACCTCTCGATACTAATTTATTGTCCTAACAACGTGTTAAAATAAAGCGCTGTACTATGTATGTGCTATCAAAAATATAAAAATAGAACTGTTCAGTACACAGTAACTCCATGTCCACAGTGATAATTTATTGTTAGTTGTAAAGTTGTAGTATACCGACATTACCAATTAAAGTGCACCTTCCGTACGTACAATAAGTACACAGTTCACTATACATACCATACTTTACTTTCTGGCTAAGGTAAATTGATCCGTAGCTGTATTTAAAGAGAATTAACTGCATGTTTTATGATGTACTTTGGCTGTTTGAGTTTGGCATAAATTAATTGATAGTCGTTGCAATGTCGCTGCTGACCACTTGTATACAGCCTACAGCAACAACACAATTAGTAACAGTGCCGGTGGGCATTCATGCATTCATCTTAAGGGTCACTGCTGGTTGCACATCAGTGTTATACAATTCAGTAGAACCTGATTACTTGAATTTCAAGACTTTTAAAACAGTATCTTTAAACCTATAACCAATCAGAACAATTATGCGCCGGGCCACTTGACGGGCAATAGCGCTCGGAATTCGCTGGACATGGGCGGTTGGTTGTCGGCCACGTTACAGGGCGGTCCCGTCTTGGAGAGATCCCATTTGGTGGGCCACATGTCGGCAAACTTGAACTTGTTGCACACCACCGGGGGAATGTAGTAATTGGCAACGGCCTCGATGTACTGTTTCTGCGCGGTGGTCAACAGCGGCGGCTTTATGCGTGTCAACACCCAAGCGAACGGGGAGTCGCACGTCACGCCATTGGCGTTGGGCGTATCGCAGCGACACATCACTTGTACCAGTTTATAATCCGTGAAGAGATTCGTATAGGTATAATCGTCTAAAGAACGACAGAATTAAATCAGCTTATTTAAATCAGTGTACAGGCCGCAACTTTGTACTTATAATTCGCATATGCAAGATGCAGTTTATCACGAGCCGTGCTTAGATAATTATATCATCACAAACCTTATTTCACAGCTGTACGTTAAAATAATTGCTATTTTATCAACCAAGAAAACGCAACGGTGTACTTTACTAAAATTTTAAGCTATCCAGAAATTCAATCAGCACTGCTTCAGCCTACTTACAGATATCATTGTAAGGCGGCTTGTTGTCAGCCTGGACCTTGACAATACGACGTCCATCGGAATTTTAGTTGCCATACAGCCAAATCGCCCCACAGGTCAGAGGATCGGTTGCTGCTGCTCCGGGTTGCAGACCGTTGTACATCCAGCTGACCGCGTAGCTAGTGGAGCCAGCGTCTTTACCCGGTTCGGGATTGATACCGAGAATGGTCACGTTCATTAGTAAATTGTAGCTGGTAGAGTCCTTTGTTGCGTCATACGGTTGATCCATATCGAAATGCCGATATTCATGCCATATTCCGTCTGCCTACAAAAATTGCTTGTTTCAATGAAAACTAAAATACGCCAAATAATATTTCGGCAAAAGTACTGAGTTGCCTAAGAAAGTCTTCTCCTTTTATTTACATGGTGACACTCATAAGTAATTAACAACCTTACCTTGGTGACATCGACAGGCTGCCCAGTGACCTTTATCTTGACTGTGCACTGACCGTAGACGACGCCTACTGCGGCCGCAAAGCAGTAAAGAGCTGCAATCCCGTGCATGGCTGCGGCAGACTGAGCAGTACATGAAAATAGAGTTTAACGTAATATTTAACGTACTTTGGCAACCGATTTATATACCGGCTTGAGCGGCGTCTTAGCGTCCAGGTATGTAGGTACACACTTGCACATGTTTTGCTCGAACGGCAGGCGCATTGACGTGCATATGGTGTGGAATATGCAGAGTCAAGCACCGGAAACTTGTAGAAGTACTTAGAACAGCAGAAAATTGTCCATTTGCGGTTTGTGCATCTGCGGAAAAAAACGCATTGAAACTAACGTGCCATGAATAAGCATTTTTGGTTGAATCGCTACCAAAATACTGATACTGATATATATATACTAGTAATTCCATAAATATCTTAGGTGCTTTACCAAGTCTAAATCTTTGATATCAATTAATTTATCTGTTAAAGTTATTTGGCTTTCCGACGTTTATGCAATAACGTGTGCGTTATAACAGGTTAAGTGAAAAAGTAAAGCGCGCTAGATATATGGCCGCACATTTACGATAATACCCGTAAAAATTGTAAATCGCTATTATTAATATCAATAGCGAGCAACCGCATGTTGTTTATAATGGCCGTAACATTGTTCAAAATGCAGTAAACATCGATTCAGACAGAAACATCATATAAACGCTAAGGAATTGTTGGCTAGAATCTTTGCGTTTTATTGCTCAGAGCTGACTTATGGTCAGGGAACAACATCAGTTTGGCCAAGCAACTGGCATAGTTGCTCGGATTTCCTTGGGCAACGGTGGCTGGTTGGCAGAGGAATTACATGGCGGCCCAGTCTTTGTCAAATCCCACTTTGTCGGGGCGATATCGGCAAACTTGAATTTCCCACAGTTGGCTCGCGGCATGTAGTAATTGACGGCATTCTCGATGTACTGTTTTTGGGTGGTGGTCAGCAGCGGTCCCGGGATCCTGGTGTGTATCCAGAAGTACGGTTCGTTGCAGTTTTTGCCGTCCGGGTTGAAGACACCGCAGCGGAACAGGATTTGCACCAATTTGTAGTCGGTGAACAGATTCGTGTAGGTAAAATTATCTAGAGTAGAAACCGTTCCAGTTCAATCAAACGGCTTTTTCTCTTGCGTAATAAATGTTTTAACTTTTGCACAGTGTAAAATATACCCCAGTTTAACGATCTGGTTTAACTTCTAACTTACTGAGCGTAGTGTCACCATCGAACTGTACCAACACCGTTCGTCGTCCATCGGAGGAATAGTTTCCCTGCATTCACCAACCACCGCAAGTCAGCGGATCGGTAGGTGCGTTTCCGGGCTGCAGAGCATTATACATCCAGGTTACAGTGTAGGTGACATCGCCACCAACACGTCCTTGAGCAGGCTGCGCACCCACGATCGTTCCATTCATCCACACATTGTAGTAGGCCCCGGCATCCGCCACTGGGTCGTAGGGCCCGAAAGGAGAGTAGTCCATGCGCCGGTACTCATACCATATTCCTATCGCCTGCAAAATTCTAACTTTAAAGTTTAAGCGGTAGTGACAAAGCCGAGACGATGAGCCGTCTGAATGGAGATTAGGTACAACCATCAGTTAAAGTAACGTAAATTTGGATATCACTATGTGACCGCATGCGGTGATCAATCGAAATCGTCTTTTGGCGCAGACCGCAGCTGTCTGCGCTACCAAATTGCTTTGAACCGCAGACGAATACGGAGATCGCTTTAAGGACGTCAAGAGCGCGTCAAACCAAAAGTAGAAAGAATACTTTGACGTTATTTTCTCATTCGGGCATTTTCACAATATGCACTCGCGTACCGGACACCACAGACACGGTGTTCTCCGCGTTGTTTCACAGTACGACAGAACCTTTTCAAAATCGATTACGTGATAAATATTGTTTTTATACAGCTTGTACACAATATTAATAAAACATTTTCAAGTTTTCTATTGGAAAACAACGCAGAGAATGCCCTTTCTCTGATGTTCGATCGGTACGCGAATCCGTATCGCGATGCGATTAAGGTCGGGAGTCTCGGAACGCGGTAAGCGTCGAACTAAGGATGATTATCGTTCCGCGCTTAGCGTTAATGTACAGTTAGGATACATTCGAAAATTCGCCTCGATAGAGCCTGGCCAGGCCAGTGAAATTCGAGTTTCGTGAATTAGTTGTATCACACCATTAATACAACAGTCAACTTGTATGCAACGGTTATACGAGAAGTATTGAAATGTTAGACAGTAGAATCCTCTTATTGTCTATGCGCCAGTTCAGTTCCGGCAAACCTGGATGCTCACACTGTTTTGAACGAACGGTTTTGACGTTTCGTTCCTGTTACTTTTGACGAATGTAACGACTTTCTATCGGCTTTGGTTGATTAGAGGAAATTGTTAAAGTGCAAACAGTTAGCGTAGTATGTATACCATGGTATATGTTCCAAAAACAATTCAGCGAGAAGCAAAGCATTCGTTTAACCTCAAAGGAAATGGGATGCTGGGATTCAGGTTTCTTAGGACAATTCGGTTTTGATGAATTGTATTACGGTACGGTTAAAGAACTTCGTCGGCTAATTTAGATCGATGCCGAACATGTAATATCACAAAATACTGCATCTTACTATTGTTACTTCTATCGCTTGCTTCTCATAAATACGGCGGACAAAGTACTGGCTTACACTGTGCAGCTACAACCACACGAATAGTGATCTTACTTTTGTCACATCGACTGGCTGTGCGGGCATCAGAATAGGAATGGTCGGACACTGGCCGTACACTATGGAGAGGATGGCAAAGGCCACTATAATGCCCAGACTGCTCAACATGGTCATCATCAACAAAACTCCGAAGAATAGGAAACTGTCTAAAATTCTGTACTGTGTAGCTACCGACTACTGGAGTTTGTAGTTTTCACAGCGCCGTTTGTCTCGCTTCTGTAATGCACCAAATGCGCGATGGTATGCATAAAAATATAGGAGCAAACTGTCGTGTACGCTAATACGATTTATTAATTTAGACTTTCAGCGCGCTATTCAACTGAGCAGTTAATATTACAGAGGACAACATCATGAGTGTTGCTATGGCATACACTACACCTTCCTTTCTAAAAAAAAAAAGGAAAACAGCTCGTTAATCAAAAATATCGGTGTACTTAACTATCTCGTTAACATTATCCGGTTCTTCATAAACATAATTGGATTTTCCACCACACATTCTTTGTAAGTGGCCCTTTATGCCACACTTATTACACGTCATATTTTTGTACCAACAATCTTTTACGAGGTGGTGTCCTCCGCATCCTGTGCACGTTACCCCTTTCGGTCCTTTGCCCCTTACGGCCATCACCCTTTCATCCTTCTCCTCCATTCTGCTTTCAAACTTCTGCGCATCGGCCAGCGCTCCCTCTATGCTGGTTGGCTCCCTGCTGTACAGGTGCTGTCGCGTCTTCTCCCGTTGGATTCCGCCCAGGAAAGCAGCTAGCAGCATCTCGTCCAATATCGTTCCAGTAAACTCACAGTTGATTGACTTCGCCCGGAGGCGGTTGCTGTATTCGACAAGGCTTTCTCCTTGTTGCTGGGTGAGACGGAAGAATTGTGACCTTTCGTAATGTTTTGATGTCTGCTTGACGTACAAGCGATCCAGCTTGTATATCAACTGCTCCACTGTAAACTCTTTAATCTTCTGCGGATAGCATACTTGGTACAGGGACTCGAAGGCTTTGCGCTCCAAACTTTCCACCAGTAAGTTGACTTTCTTATCATCCTGTACATCCAACAGGACGACGAAGTTGTCAAAACGCTGCTTCCATGCACCCCAGTCTGTGTTGTCTGGATCAAATCGCTCCATCGCAGAATGCGAAGGAACTGTCGCCAGAGCTGTCTGCGATCTCGTCGTAGGCATGGTGCAGTGCGTTATGGTATAACAATTCCCCTTTCCAATCTGACCGTAACTCAGAATTCTCTATCCATTCACGCCACTGTCGTGTACGCTAATACGATTTATTAATTTAGACTTTCAGCGCGCTATTCAACTGAGCAATTAATATTACAGAGGACAACATCATGAGTGTTGCTATGGCATACACTACACAAACATACATGACACGCGGCCTTTCCGTCTAGCCATGCAATATTCAACTTGCCAAACTGCATCAAATGGCGGAATTTTTGTTTTCTTTGGTTAGGCACATTTTCAGTCGTCTGACATTTCACAATTCACCCAAGGTAGAACCATCTATGTACAACGACGTCATAATCAATATTGTCACTGGTAAAGGAGCTGCTGTTATCTGAGAATCTACCGGGAACCGTGCAAGGATATACGCGGTATCAGGAAATGTACCTTTTACTTGTACTGTACAAAGACAACGAGAAGAAATACCTAAAATGGGGGAGCAAAAAATAAACATACTTAAAGTATTGCTTGTCCTACCCATTTTTTGGTAATGAATAATAAAGAACTGCATTCGTGAATCCGCATCATATAATACACTACGCCACACTGCCAGATTTCCTTACTGGGGAGGTCTCTACATATTTCCGTAGACCAAAGCTGTGTTTGTCTCACTCCCGGTTTTAATATTTTTGGATGACCGAAGTATACCTTTTGCTTTTGTTTTTGCAGGGGCTACAGTAATTCAGTTTTTCAGTACACACAGGTGTTTCTTCGAAGCGTTAAATGAGATCACCGTTGCAGTGTCAAAGGAATTGTCCGCGTTGAGTGTCTTCGATTGACAGCACTAACAATGAATTAATTATACGACAATCTACAGAAAGCGAGTGTACTTTGATTTGCATCAAGCGCCTGTTTTTTTCGCCAACCATATGATATTTCTCACACTATTTTTATAGGTACTTGTATTTGTATTTGCATTCAAATGGCCAGCGTTAGCAGAAACGCCAAAGCAGAAACGAAAACCTAAATTTAAGGTGCTTGATCCTATGCCTATTACTGGAATTGTGACTGATGTATAAAATTAATGCATGCCTGGATTTCAACATATTCAACACATTTGGCGATTATTTTTAAACCTTTCGTTGTGTATCCACGTGTATGGCTATGGACAGAAATCACGGAACGCGGTTAACCGTCACGTCATTAATTTCGACCTTTACGGTAATTATACAAAACGTATTAACGTATTAACGGCGGAACGTATTAAGCGCAAACAGTTTCTAAGGCATATCGTTATGTAAAATTCCAAGCAAAACGAATTTTTACAATAAGGAAAATTTATGTGCATTGATGAATTTCTGTTGGGCTCAGCAGATATTTTGACGCCCCTGTACAGTGGAAGTTGCCTAATCCAAGTATGTGCAATCACTGACGGCGACAGAATCCAGAGAAGCCTCCGGCACCACTTTGGTCACACTTCAGACCTGGACAGCAGTCCTCGTACTGATTGCTGGAACATCCTTCATTCGCCTGGCGACAGCATTCGCCAATTGCAACCTATTACACCACACAACATCACCATAACGATTTGTGAAAAACTGTGAGCGCTACAAAGTGTGTGGTTTCCCCAATGTACAGATACTAAACAAACTCCAGCCTGCGCAAGACATTGCTGGTGATATGTTCTTGTTCTCTGTACAATTCTACATAGCATAAATTTTAATACTTACCAGAACAGCGATCACGAGGAAAAGCACGACGAGACTGCGGAACATGTTGCAAGTACGGAGCTTAACTAGGTTGGTTGTAAACTGTAACCGAAGAACGAAAAGAACGCTCAGCGTGTGTAATGCCAACGAAATACGGTTTGTTACACGCAAATGACAGTTTGTAGTACTTGGTACATTAAAGAATCCAAGCCGACTATATATCCGCGTCGGCAGCGACAAAGCCTGCATGTCACCTTTGCACTTGTTTATCAAGCACCGCTGGTAGTTTCCATCCTTCCTAACTCAATAAACATAACTTTGAAAGGCTACAGTAATCATTATCTGATTTAAAAAAGTTAGTAACAACTGCCGTGGAAATTTCTGTGTTCTTCGAACGCTACCGTGTGATGCTCAGTGATAAAATCGAGCGGGCAGTTATTCGCCGGTTGTGCATTTTTTACGTCATATCAGATTCGAGTTGGGGGGCTAAAGCATGTTGCATATTTCATCTAAAGAAGAGGAGCTCCAGTTAAACGGACGAAAAGAACCAGTTCAGCTCGTCAGTTCCGGCCTCCAGTTGCTCCAGTAGGGCGTTCCTATCAGTTTCAGTTGCTTAAGAAAGTAGCTACCTGAATTACAAATGTGCAGTCGCAATACGTAGTGTGGACTTCACTTACACCAACCTCTATGTGTCACTACAATCTAACTGAAAAACTGACATTGAAAATTCAATAAGACTTCAACGCACATGCCGAGAATCAAGATGGGTTACTGATCCGAGTTCTAGTTAAGGAAAGTGCGCTAGTACAGTACATGGTGCCTAATTCGTGTACATGAAAAAACATTTTCGTTTCCCAAACACAATTTCGAATTGCTTTACGAAATTCTGCAGCCAAATAGTTTGAATACATTCCCGTGAAAACCTTTGTGCATGTAACATCCGGCTGGGAAATTATAAGTTCTCTAGAATTCCAAAAGACTTAACCGCTTAGAGGTTTACTAAAAGTCTCATTATCAAGCGATCTTCAAATTTAGTACGAAAACGAACACTGCCATGAAGATCGTTTTTCAAAAAACCCAGCTTACACCACGCGGGTCGAATTTCAAAAGAACTTCGAAAACTTTTAAAAACTTCTTTAGATTTAGAGAAAACGTAGTAGAAATCTGACTCGGTGTTACGCTACTGAAATGTTATGTATAGTTGCTTAATGCGTGGTACAATCGTAGAACTGTATAATGCCAACAATCGTAATGTGCTTTTAAGAGAAACCTGGCTTGGTGCAAATAGCCGTGGTACAATCTAGTTATGCAGTCTTGCAATATTATCGCTTTGAGTTTGGTGACATGCATGTCTATTAGGTTAATACGTGGTACCCGCATCGTCTAATCGTACAATGGTAATGTGCTTTTTCGTGCAAAAGTTGAAAAGGGTTCCATTTGCACATATTCAAAAAGAGTGCAAATATTGATACATATAATTATACCATTAACAATAGTTACTAACTACTACAGCAGTCAGGAAGCAGTTTTGGTTACGATAGTACGAAGTGGTACGTAAACTTTCGTAATATCAGCCATTTCATTAGTTTTTCCTGTGTATTAGTACATGTAATTGTTTTTTTGAATCAGTGATCTTTGTTCCACTTTATGGTTTCATACAGATACAGGCAGCAGTCGCTATCACTATAGCATAATCACTGTTACACAATTGCAGTTTTACAAAAATCTGTGCAGCTGGTTGAGCAGATCGCAAGAACTTAGTAGGCACCATAGCCAGTGCGATGAGCATTTCCCCATGATCTACTATGCAGCGGCTTCACCGTCAGCGGGAGCAGCTTCAGCAGGTGCGGCTTCCTCCGGAGCCGGAGCGGCGGCAACCTGCACACGGCCGGACGCAGCGGCACCGGTCATCTTTCGGACAACGTCATCCAGCAGTGGCACATCGGCGCCCTGGTAGAGACGGCTGTTGGAGTAGTCATAGAAAGAGGCGGCCTTGCTGCAGTCCACGTCGAACCACCAGTTGCAGACCAGGGTGATCTGGTTGAACACCTGCAAACAGAACGACCAATCAGCATCCATTTATCAACGAATCTGAGCGTGCGTCGACGTACGCTCATATTGGGGCAAAGGTAAGAGGTCTGGTTGCCGTTGATGTCGCAGCGGTGAAAGACTGCAAGAATACAAATTGTGACCTTTGAATAGGAGGGAGTGTAGCTTAATGTGATACCTTGGCAGCGGGAGGCTGGGGAAGGATCGGCGTAGAAACCAGGCTGATGAGTGCTGCCGCAGTCGAATGTCGTCTGCGGAATGGCAACATTGTTGGGATAATCCTGACCGGCGCGCGCGGTGGCAATCAGGTTGTACTGATCGGGCACGCTCAGTTTGGTGCGTCCACGCAGCTGATCCAACGCCCCGAAAGCCAACGGATTCTGAGTTTTGACAGCGCGCTTAGCCTGGATAAAATAAAGTAGGCGGTCCGACTTCAACTCTTATATTATTACAGTATGCATTCAGAACAACCCTAACACTTCAGTTAAGTAATAGTTCAGTTTTACCTTGAGGCTGGCAGCCGAAGACGTGGCAACGATGACAAGAATAACGAAAAGAGATTTCATGATGCCGGCGCTGGTTTTAGGCGAATCTGCTGCTTCTTATCGGAAGTTAGAAGTAGACCGTGAGTGGCGAATGATGCTGTCTAAAGGAAATAACAACGCTTTATATATTCTCCGACTAATATGGTCGGAGAATGTTTTGCCGTTTGGGCGTTGGCACGGGCGTTCACTTCCGCTTGATGGGGAATAAAAATCGTAATACATGCTGTTTAATTAATATCGTTCGTGGTTTGGTGTTGAGAACCAGCCGAATTGCGATCGAACAATTACACAATCCAGTCTAGCCAATGCTTTCTCTATAAAAACAGCTGCAACGGTGGCATACAGTATTCACATACATGGTGCATGCGGTATAAATCGCCGATGCGGAAGCGTGTAGTGTCTAATGGATTCTAGTTAAGTAAATTCATATTTGTTGCATAATGAGCGTTGGCTTAACTGCAAAAATAGTGTGCCGGTTCGCGAAGTTAAAGGTTTAACAGACGTACCAACTGGAAATTCATCTAATGTGATTTAATTTTATTGCCGTTGCGCATACGTACCTCGGTTAGTTCAAAATTTGCTGAACAATATTGCATGTGAAGTCCGCCAACTAATGCAAATACCGATTACTTATATGCATAGTTTTCTAGCGCAAACAAACGCTTATACAAGTACTCGTACTGCACCTGTTCAACCAGTATCCTTTATCTGAAAATAAAATTATGTGCAACAGTTTACAGTACAGAGTGATCGTTTAATTTAATAAAATTAAAACAGTTAAACCAAATAAATTGATCAAAGTGCATTCTCATTTAAAACGGATAACAAACTTTCTGTTTTCATCATGGAGCGGACCGGTAGTGCGGGCAAGCTTTTCTGTGCACATCCTTCCTGTGTCCTTACTTTTCTTCCACCCTCTTTTTGCAGTTTTGCTATGGTATCTCACCGTATTAGTGTGGGATCTTTAGTGTATTCCACATACATTCCTTTGACCGGCAAGAAAGAAAAATAATACTATTGACAGAATACGTAAGGGATACACGACAGATAGAGTAACAATAGGCAAGATACAGAAGTTGCAAAACCATAACCAGCATGCAAAACCATAACCAGCATGCAAGAAGCGAGATACATGGAGGAACTTGCATAAAGTATATGGTGACGGGATTCGTCGGGAATGAGTAATCCAAGTTATACATTTACCCACCCGAATCTTTATAGGTTATCTATTGGTTTCGCATAATCGCGTGTTGTGGAAGAATTACGGTTTCACAGCATAGGCCAAATATTTAATTCATATTCTTAAACATTGTTTGCAGTCAACGTACGCACAGTGCCGGCACGTTTCTATTTTCAACCGATATTGTTTAATTTTGTGCCAGAATCTTACTTCCATATGTTTCGCTTATAGACAAATTTTTATAGAAAAAATGCAGCAGCCGTTTTGGAAATACTGAATGCATACCTTGAATAACTCGTCGCAATTTCCGCTAGTTTTCCAGGTTTTTAGTATTTGGCTATTAGTATCCACTATCCACCAACACATAATATCAGTGCATATTATTGTTACCTACAGTACAGTTCGTACACGTTAAAATTTTTAGGGCATATTTCTTTATAATTCTGTCCGCAGTATCTCACCGATTTTGAATTTACTTCAGCCTTAACTTCCCAACTGGATTGTACGCAAACAAACGGTTTTCACCTTAAGGGAAGTGACCCGCTACATGGTACCGAATTCGCGTACATGCACGAAAACTTTTATTTTCGCGCACTCCCAAACACATTTTTGTTTCGGCTTATGGCATTCTGTAGCCAGAAGATTTGTCCACACTGGCGTGAAAACCGTTTGTGCGCGCAACGTCCGGTTCGGGAGTTATGGCTGTTAGAAAATTCCAAAAAATTTAAATTCATTCAGGTGTACCAAAAGTCTCATTATGGACCGATCTTTCTCAATTTTGCACATAAATGCATATGGCCATGAAGATAGTTTTTACACCGATCCACTGTTCTAGCATGTTTTTCAAATTTTAAAATGAATTTCAAAAAGTTTAAAATTCATTCTAAAATTTGAAAAAAAGCATGGAAGTCTGGATCGGGGTAAAAACGACCTTCATGGCCATCTACATTTACATGCAAAATTTGAAGGAGATTTGGTACACCTGAATGAATTTAAATTTTTTGGAATTTTCTAACAGCCATAACTCCCGAACCGGACGTTGCGCGCACAAACGGTTTTCACGCCAGTGTATAAAAATCTTCTGGCTATAGAATGTCATAAGCCGAAACAAAAATGTGTTTGGGAATGCGCGAAAGTGAAAGTTTTTCGTGCATGTACGCGAATTTGGTACCATGTACCGAGCCACTTCCCTTAATGCAAATAAGCCGTTTGGATATACAATGTGATAAAACAATGCAAAAATTGTTGGGGAGTGCGAAAGCGAAAGTTTACCTAAACGTGATATCGAATGTGGTACCTTGTAACGGCCCATTTCCCTCAACCGTGAACACGCTGTAATGAGAGACATTGTTACCGAAGGTCTCCCGCCATTTCGTTGACGAAAATTCGTCGACCTGCACGTCGTCGAAGAGACGCGATGCCTACCCGTCACGAAGTCGACCAACTTCCTTAGACGTTTTCCTTAGACGTCGCGCTCGTAACGAAGACAACAACGCCGTGCATATGTGCTTGTAGTGCTTCTTTGCAGTTGTTAGCAATACGGCAGAGCTGATGTGCATTTGATGGCTCTGACCAAAGAACGGACACCACGAGAGACATAGGGTATCATACGTCTACCGTGCATATGTGTATTTGAAGGTGGTTACCGAATAACGGACACCGCATTTTCCGTTACCGCTGAACACAGATGGCCTTCGCTACGCTTTGTTTGGTTAACCAGTTCTTTATTCTGACCTCTAGTTTCCCAAATCAACAGAACATATTCGCACAAAATAGTTTATGAAACAATCCGCTATACGAAATTTAGAACAAAATTAATTTTCACAAATGGCGCAATGAGGAAAACCGCACAGTGATGGCCGCGTGGTGGACTTATCATGCATCTTGTCACCGAAAGGCGCCGAATCCAGATATATGCAGTTACTGACGGCGGCAGAATCCATGGAAGCCTCCAGCACCACTGTAGTCACACACCAGACCTGGGCAGCAGTTCTCGTATTGATTGCTGGAACAGCCTTCATTCGCAAGACGACAGCATTCGCCAACAACCACCTGTTACATCACAAAACATTACTATAAAGAATTGTATAAAATGATAAGCGCTACAAAAATTTTTAAAGCGAGGAATATACCGATTTGTGTATGCTTTTGCTTTTTACATGTTTGTTTTCCGTAGCCGTCGAGCAAATTTAAAAACTTACCATGACAGCAATCACGAGAAAAAGCACGACAAGATTGCGGAACATGTTTGAAGTCGGAACTTTGCTGGAGAGTGAAATGCAAGGATTAGAAGAAATTAAATGACGATCAGTGAGGATTAAATTAAAGAAGTAAAGTGTTAAGCGCAAATGATAGTTTAAAAGACGTGTTAAATTACAAAACACGAGCCTGCTTTACATATATCCTCGCTGGTATTGAACACACCTCATATTACCTTTGCCCTTGTGTGTCAGACGTCTCCTGAATTCATTATCTTTATATATATATTCATACAATCTTACCGACCAAAACGTATTTATGCGCCGTTTTTATAGACTCGTTAACGCGTGGTCAGTTTTAGTCCAGCTAGGTCTTAAAAAATTCCATATTTTCCATAGGTTTGCCAATAGATTTTTGTTTTTTTTTATTAACCAGTGGTCAGAAGATGGTTTCACCAGGTCTTAAGTATGGGAAACTTAAAGAGCACTCAAAGAAGTATTCACTCCACGGCAATAAAAAGTACTTACCATAATTGACTGTAACCACGGAGACTATAGCGGATTCATAAATACTTGCTCTTTAGGTAAAATATGTATATTACGTCATGCAAAAGTCCGTACGTATTTCAGAGCGTCAAAACGTCAGAAATTCAAAACGTTAGAACGTCAGAACGTTAGAACGTCAGAACGTCAGAACTTCAGAATTTCAGAACGTCAGAACCTCAGAACGTCATAACGTCATAACGTCATAACGTGAGAACGTTAGAACGTCAGAACTTCAGAACGCCAGAACGTAACAACGTCAGAACGTCAAAACGTCATAACGTTAGAACGTTAGAACATTAGAACGTCAGAACATCAGAACTTCAGAACGTCAGAACGTAATAACGTCATAACGACATAACGTGAGAACGTTAGAACGTCAGAACTTCGGAACTTCAGAACGTCAGAACGTAATAACGTCATAACGTCATAACGTAAGAACGTTAGAACGTCAGAACGTCAGAACGCCAGAACGTTAGAACGTCAGAACGTAAAAACGTCACAACTTCACAACGTCATAACGTTAGAACATCAAAAAATCAGAATCTTCATAACGTGAAAAATTAAAATTGTCAGAACTCCAGAAATTCCGAACGTCAGCCTTTACATATTTATAATGACCTTTCCAAAACAATGCCAATACTATCCAGTACTTAAGTGCCGAGCGCGGATGCGCGAGGCTACCTTGTTATTATTATTATTATTCATCGTGGAGCAGGTAGCCCATTTCCAGCTAGGGTGACATACTAGCATGGGATTTTAAACCTGGCCATTAAGAGAATGTACGAAAAAATATAGAGAGAAACCAGAGCGCTTAATCAAACTTAACAAATTTCAAAGCATGCTTAAAAGCACCAATTGTACGAGTATCGAACATATCAGACAGACATATCTTTCCTGGCTTGACAATCTGGCTTTCAAAGAACTGCGGTAACCATAATCCGATTTAAAAAGTGGGAATACCTACCGTGGCAGTTCATGCTTGCTTCAAATTCTGCCTTGTGAGTTGTGACGGACCAAGTTCGTGCCAACTGCCAACCAGAATGGAGATAAAATCGAAAAGAATCGTGATTGCTGGCAGTGAATTTTTTTACGTCAGGTTCGAGTCCGGGAGTTAGGGGTAGTAGCTACCAGACTTGCAAATGCGTAGTAGCAATACGAATACAAAACCTTCCGGTGGCACACTGAGTCAATCCAAACGACTGCATAGTTGCAACAAAGAACAACACGCGGTGTTCAGTTTAAGAAATTGGCCGTCTGACTACTAATACGTACAGATATCAGCTTCCAGCTGTACTTCGCTTCCGGACTCGAATCAGATTTAACGTAAAAGGTGGGTATGCGATGACGGACTACCGGTCCATCATTACCGAGTACTTTCTTGAATTTATTACCGTCCATGTCAGCAAGAACCCAATCCGTCATAAAGCTACTTACTTTCAAGGAAGGTAGTTATCACTTATCACGCCACTGTTTTTGAACGCTTCTAGTTTAGTTATTAATTTTACGGATTATCGCGTCTATGCCAAAGTTACATTTCCGAGCTTGGGGAACATCGGTCAGTGAACCTTACAAGGAAGTGCAATTTCACTTTTCCATGACCCATCGTTTTGCAGTAGGCTAGCAGAGGGAGTATAAAAATGGCTCCGAAATACAACCCTATTATACCAATTGCCTAATAGCATTTGCAATTATTATACTGCGCAATTTTTTTGGAACGATTAACGCTGATTGTTTCGTTTTCTTTCTTTACACATATTGCTACCTTTCTTCGACTTTCGAAATGTTCCACAATTTTGTCATGCTCTTTCTAGTGATCGCTTCTATGGTAAGTTGTAGACACCAGCGGAAATGTGCTCTGGAACAGCAGAACTCGAAAAGATCACAAAATTTTACAAAGCAGTGTTATACGCAATTTTCAGTTGATTAACGTACGATTTTCCCCGGTTTTAAAACGTTTCTACATGGTATCATGATATCCGATAGATGGTTGTGGGCGAATGCTGTCGCCATGTGAGTGAAGGCTGTTCCAGTGATCAGGACTGCTGCAGAGGTCGGATTTGTGACCGCCTTAATGGAAGTCTCTATGGATTCTGCCGTCGTCCATACTAATTCGCACTAATTGCCTAATGTTCTCATCCTGTTCTGACGCCAGCAGATTTCTTTCGATGCCGACGCGGTCCTGCTGTTTCAGCATGCGGAGAAGCTGTCGGGTCTCGTCGTGCTAATTGTTCTGGTACGAGTACGTTTGTCCGCTACTCGCTAGTACTGTGAAACTGAAATTACCTTTTAGGTGTGATATACTAGCTATTGCTCTGCTTCTGTATCCTCGTTTTTCCATGTGGTTTGGTTTGCGATCTGTTCAAATAAATTCACACACAACTCTGCTGCGCAAAGTAGTTACACAAGTTTTTCATGCATCGGTTGGTATTACCACAATATAATTCACTTCAATAGAAACGCGCCGTTTGCAAAATTTGTTTAACTAATGCCGGTTAAAGTGACATGCCGATAAAACACGGTACTTGTTATAATGTTCCCGTGTTTCCAGTCTTTCATCTTCGGACATACCGCGCAGACGGCACAGTTGTCCATTTTATCATTACAGCTTTTTTTGTCAAAACGTTGCTAGTACGATGCACGGGATCATCTGTGTTATTTTGATTTCAGGTGTTGTGAGCATTGTGTCTGCTCAGTGTACTGTACCCGTTCGAGTTACTGGACAACGTGTGGATGTAACCAAAGTGAGGATTTACAAATATTTTTCGTAATTTTCTTCAAATATCTGTTATGTTTTCTTTTGTACTTTGTAAAGTTTCCCAAATACCTCATCTTGTACATGTCAGAAGTCAAGTTGATGGACACCCATTAATACTGATACTTGAAAGTTAAAGCTCTTCAAATTTTAAACTGTAATTATTCTGCAAGCGTCTGCATCTTCCTAGTTAGTTACAGCACACGAGATGTTTTCTTTCTTAAATTGCGTATTAATGCAAGCAGAACTTTCCTGATTGTTGATTAAGACACCAATCTGTCAGTAATTTGTAGTGATGCTCCGGAACACCTGTATACGAGTATCTGTATTGTACTCGCAACAGTACAGTATAAGCCGCGTGGTTACTTTCTTGCGTAAAAATACAAATAGTCCATATTAAGCGCTATACTGGCGCCTAGAAAGCAGCTAATACACCACAGTTACAATCACAGCAAATGATACATTTAATCTAAGATAAATTATCATAATAAACAAATCCGATTGATAAATTAAGCGATAATATTCAGCGATTTTACGATAAATATTTTTAAACGCTATCAGTATGTGACGTGCATCAGCCATGCCACATTCAAGTAACGCTTAAAAAGTGTGGCATGGCAGGCCGTGGCATGGAGCTTAGCGTAACCCATAAAACTTTTTGCGACGGACCTTTGTGCAAGAAAAACATCACCGGGTTTGTACGTACATGTTACAACGCCATGTACACTTATGATACGCGGATCATAAACTTAGATTTCGCATAGAAGGTGTACTAACGCACTTTAACAATACATGTAACGTAGGCACTTGGAGTTTGGCACGAATATCGCCACTATGATTTCACCCCAACCGGACCATATGACATAACCCAGGACCCCACCAGCTACAATCTGCTGATGAACGCAACCAATATCGGGGGGAATCCGGCGCCCGTTGGCAACGGGGGTGACAGGACGTACGCTGTCACCTGGATGTACAACGGTCAGCAGCCAGGAGCGGCGGCTTCCGACCCATTATCCTGCGTGGCCATCTGGCAGGTGGGCAACTACAGCACCGATGGTCGTCGAGTGGTCAAGGTACAGTTTGACAGCGTGCCACCGGACAATGGCATTCGTAAGTACTAAGCCATCTGTACGAATCGCATAGAATTGCATTGTAAAATGAAGGACTAGAAAAGTGGATACTTTGTTTTAAAGCGTATATTAGTCTTTATTGGCCGCCCTGTGGCGTAAAGATTCTGCGTTATAGTGGACTTTGTTTACACCAATCTTTATACGGATTATAACCTGGTACAAGTGCTGTATCGCTGCAACACGCCCAACGCTAACGGAGTAACCTGCGACGACCCATACGCTTGGGTGTTGACGCGCGTAAAACCGCCACAGCTGACCACCGCGCAGAAGCAGTACATTGAGGCTGTAGCCAACTACTACATTCCCCCGGTGGTGTGCAACAAGTTCAAGTTCGCCGACATGGCCCCCACGAAATGGGATCTGTCCAAGACGGGACCGCCGTGTAATGTGGCCGATAATCAACCACCGATGTCCACCCAGTTCCGGGCTCTTATACCCATTAAATGGGCGGGCGCATGAGCCTGTCAGAAGAATTTGTTTCTAAAGATGTTACGTTTTATGGAATTTCGAGAATAAAACTGCTGACTACGTTCACGCTTTTGCATGGTAGTCTGACATGTACACATATACTTAATCATATACTGTAGCCACTCGCTAAACATGGACCCCAGAGTTCGTGTATGGGAAACCAGCGCACGGACAGCCCATGCATTTACCCGAGCAGTACACTCCCATGCTGCCTGCATGCTGTTCTGCCGTACACAAACTCTGTGGTTTAGGTTGTGCCAGCGGCGACAGTATATCAGTAAATGTAACTTTAAAAGAAAAAGAATGACATCGTTCTCGGCATGCATGACAATTCGCAAGCTGGTACTCCGTAGATTTAAAATGCCTGGATTAAGAAATACGAGGACAGCAGGAAGAATTATGAAACATCAAACTAAGAAACCTAAAATCTTAGGAATGTCGCAGACGACAGTATCTGATACAGTTTATATAGATAATGCATAGGGCGTTGCATAACCGGTGCCAACAACTGCGAATCAACGAATCGTATGTCCTATTAACTGCCGTTGCTTAACGCTAATAAACCTGAGCAGAACCTCCCAGGTTAAGTACTACATATTCGACATTCTGGATGTATGTCTACAGTAATCCAAAAATGCGGACACCCGTCACATCACCCAGTTTCTGGGATTTAATTGCAATGTTCAAGGAACGATTACCATCAACCATCAAATACCGGGACTGTATGCCAATCTCTGTGACTTGTAAATAATTTTCCAATCTTCTTGGATGTTGCTCTGCTGTAACGTGTAACGGTCATAATAATTAAATTATGATGATCTTCTTATGCTCTACACAATGATATCACTAAATCTCATACAATATATGTCGCTGCAAAATACTTTATCAATCCAGACAACTGTAACCCATTACGGTTTCCAAAGTCGAGTGGTACAACTGGTGCCCAAGCTACCAGAGAACACGAAAGGAAACCTTTGGTTGCACTTTCTGATGTACCGCTAAATGAACTTACAGCCCCAGGAACACACAACCAAGTCTTAACTTTGCAGTTTGCGGTAAACTGTGCGTTCTAACAGCCCTGTGCGATCGCAGATGTAAACCTGACTGGAAGATTCTAGTCCCAGTGTCATGACAAGCGGGGTTGTACCAGCTGCCAGAAGAAATACATCTTACAGCTGTTAATTACCAGCAATAACAGGAATTAGAAAAACCGTCGGTACTTGTGAGCCCAATGAATTCCAAAGATTACTTGTGCAAGTTTATACAGTTACAGAGTTATACAGTAACTGGCGTTGACGCCAGCAAGCCAAACTCATCCATTCATTCCGCAGATATTAGCTCTTAAAACACGCGCTGTAATAGAGTCAAAAGCGTAAAAGCGACAAATATCTTGACAGTTTACGGCAATTTTGGTAGCGTAGCCTCGAACTCGGCCGACATTTTTTTAAAAATCTTTCAAGACTTTTTGATAATAATATCTTTGAAAACTCGGTATACTCTATCCGAAAATTATGCGCCGGCCCATTTGACGGGCAATGTCGCTCGAAACTCGCTAGACATCGGCGGCTGATTATCGGCGACATTACACGGCGGACTCGTCTTGCTGAGATCCCATTTCGAAGGCGATATATCAGCCATCTTGAACTTGCCACAAGCGATCGGTGCAATTAGCGGATCGGCGGTTGCCTGAATGTACTGCCTCTGCGCAGCTGTGAGCAGTGGCGGCTTTATCCGGGTGTGCACCCACACAAACGGCTGATCACAGTTAACCCCATCGGGATTCGGTATATCGCAGCGGTACAGGACTTGCATCAGTGTATAATCGGTAAAGAGATTGGTGTAGGTATAGTTCGTGTCTAGAGAAAATAATTTTAATTCGAACGTGGTTTTTCATGACGATTTTGTATAGAGCTTACAGAGAAAATTGAAGGGAGGAGCAGTATCGAACTGCGCTACCACATGTCGTCGGCCGTCGCTACTCAAGTTCCCCTGCTGCCAGATAGCGATGCAGGTCAGCGGATCGGATGGCGAATTGCCCGGCATATATCCGTTGTACATCCAGGTGATGGCGTACGATGTCGGTGCACCACCTCCGCAGCCAGAGGAACTGGTGGACGGAAGGGGGAACAGGATGGTGGCATTTTGTATCAGGTTGTAGCTGCTAGGGTCGGTGGAGGCATTGTATGGCTCAAAAGGGTAATCCATGTGGTAATATTCATACCAGATTCCGACTGCCTGTCGAAAGACTGTGTTGATTAACTTTGCAAGCGTTCATATATTCTACACTTTACCTTATTAATTTTTAGAAATGTCTTGAACGTTCAATTGTTTGTACAATGTACACTCGATAACTAAAATTAATAAGATCATCCGGTGCATTCAAATGATTGCTTTTAGCGGTGAGGCAGACGGTGAGGTTTACATGACCTTTCGTAAACTGCTTAAGGAAAAATTTGATCTGTTAAATGGTAGTTGACTGGTACGCTAACACGATCTGGTGCTCTGTCTGCAAGAGCATTTTACCGTTTTAAATGTTATAAAATCTTACTAACCTGTCATAACATGAACAACCAACCTGACATAATATTATGTAAAATTTAACTTTCCCTGGTCTAAATTAAATTTTACCTGGGTTGGGTCAAGCGGCTGAGCGGGATAATTAATCGGTACATTCGGACACTGGCTGGTAATTCCGAGAATCGCCGCCAAAATCACTATGTGCGATAGTCCGGCCATGGTTGCTAAACGTTATACACTAAAGCGTCAGATAAAATACATCTTCTGTAGCTTATTTTGCTCGTCGCAGTGAATGTAGCATAAAAAAACTTCAAGTGTGTACTGTGAATAACGTAAAGTAGCCGCCATTTAGCTGTTCACCTATATTTCTTTACTTGACGGCAACAAAACTGAAAAGCAACAACCTGTATGCATCGTTCGCGGACAAATTGTCCTCACTTTGCACGACAGCGGAATTCTTTGTTGGTTTTTGTATTTTACCGCTGTAGCGAGGTGTTGCAATACTACTGTTATTATTCAGCCTTGGTGACAACAGCCAGACGTTTTGATTTACATATGCGCAACACTGAACCAAGACAGGTATAAGTACCGGTACTGAAGAAAATGCATAACGCATACCATGCATAAATCATATGTAACAAGCGCCCTCCAGTAATAATCAAATACCAGTAAACAAGTTTTTCATTTCCAGTCAATTATATTGACCTGCACGGGCTCAAACATCACACTGCAACAATGGGATCTCGTTTCTGCAAAGGGAGAATGATATCGACCACCAACAAAAAAATTTCCGAATAGTTCCGAATAATAATATTGTTATGTATCATCAATAATTATTATTATATCAAAGCGTGCAGGTCAGCAGCAACGTGATGACTGGGCATGAGATGTTCAACAGTATAACCATGTGTTGGTATGACACGAAGCATTACGCAGCGCAACTTTCCCTTTTGCAATAACCTTGAATTTTTATTAACATTATTCTAGTATTTTTGAAAATTAATTATATTTTAAAAGAATGCATATTAAAGCAACCGTTGCTTTTAGCGTTTCCCTGGATTATTTTTGGAAAAACCTTTGTAAAACGCACCAAACGGTTTTTGCTGCAAGATAAAGATCAAGATTTTAAAAGATATCGTTCAGTTTTTCAGACAGCCTCAGCTAGTCGTTTTAGATAATTTCTCTATGGTTCGTAAAGCAGGTGTGTAAGTTACTCGTAAGAGTGGTGAGTATCACAGCGGAAGCGCTGAAGAAGCGGTGTGTATATACAGAAACTGCATGTCATTCCAAAGCAGAACATACCTTAATTATTTAGTAGATTATATCTCTTTTCGCAGTAGCGCACAATTGGACGAGCATAAAACCGTCCATTACAAAGAAAATTATTGAGCGCCAAGGCATAAATTTTGCAGTGCATCGCCGCATTACTTGATTTTCTAAATCATTGCGAAATACTAATTTTTATCAGCCAAAGAATGTCTAATCACTCTGTTATATTTCGAATTGGATTTATTGGTGAGACAAAGTTGTTCTAACATGCAGTATTTCAGTGCATTACTTCGTAAAATATGCATGTACAATAAAGCTTGATTTTTAGCAATACATATCTATGAGTTGTAATTATTAAGTGCATTATTAAGTATAAGTTCGAAATTTTTAATTAGTATCTACCAGCGCAGGCTTGTTGTTATGGTAATTAGCCGTCCTGTATTACTGCATCTAGCATTACATAATGATTACAGTCTGACTGAGGTACGGTACATAACGAGCTTGTAGTACATGCTCGGCTATTCTTCTTAGCTGCGTGCTGCGTGGGATTGATGCTGCCAACAAACGCCGACGTGATGCCCCCGGGTATCTACCCACCACCGGGACCTCCGGCTGCACCGGGTGCCACCCCACAACCCATGTGCGGGTTCGGTTCATCGTGGACGGGACCGCCACCGCCTATTGGCCCCCCTCCGACACCCTATCCCAGACCACCCGCGCCCCCGTCTTAATCCTCGACCTAAATAATCTCGTTCCGTTAAAGTTACTGTAACTGTTGGTTTATTACTGAAAAATCACGGCATTTTTTTTTACATACAAAATTTCGTAGAAGTATTTTTCTTGAGTGTGTAATAATAATTTCTTGCGAAGAAATCATAACGTCTTCAGTACAATTTTTTTTGCGGGGCCTGAGCTGGTGCCCAATTACCGAAGCCGACCCAAGAGTTATAAATTTTAAGCTGTACATTATGATAATTTTTTACTCATACAAAGTAGATATGTGCGAAAAACATCCAGGTTTCATCTGTACGATAAATAACAAATTCTCCTGTGGTACATCACAAATGCCGGGAAAAACATTGAAGTAGCATGCAGGCTTTTATTACCTTTATAAGTATCACACGCTAGTACACACTTAGTACCAAAACAAAAAGAATATTCATAGCAAAAACACTTCCTCAATGCTATCCTGGTCGGGAATTGTACCCATCACACATATTGCGATTCCTCTCTGTATTTGAATAGATAGCCGTTGCCTAAAAAACTCTTTCGCTCGTTTCTGGCCTGTTGCAGTAGCCATCCCATTTCCAACCTTATCCACTAACGTCTTAGTACCACATCCCCATGGTCCGTAAATTTCAGTCGCAGCTGGCATGAGGTTGTACCGAGGTTGCAGCCAGGCGTGTTTTGTCAGCTTCGCCCTTTCCGCTTGTTCAGCTGCTGCTCCAGCGATTACGTATACAGAGGTACGGTCAATATACGATGCGGCGAGTGTGTCGACGCATGTTACATCCACGGCCAGCGGTTTTCCACGCTCCCATGGTACCAGAGTAATCACATCCGGCCTTTTCTTATCCTTAACAGACAGACCCTTTGGCTCCATTCTCGCAGGAAAACCTGCCGTTTTCAGTCCACGGGCAATCTCCCCGCTTATGCCGTCGTGTCGCGGCAGTCTGCCTGCTGACCGTTTGCACCGGAGCCCGTGCCGGCCCAGGTCATCCACCAAACCACCACATACGCACACGTGAGGAGTAACGATTGGTGCTCCCAGTCGCAGCGCGACGCTTATGCGAAAGACATTGTTCTCAAGCAAATTACCGAGACAAGCTGCCGGTAATGCATGAATCCACACACCTGATTCCGGGACTGATACTGCTTTCAGGTGGGCGACTTCCTCCTGTGTGGTCCTTATGGCTGCCAGTCTGGAAAAGGCATGAAGCGTGCAGGCACATTCAATTGTAAGAATTACGCCGGATGGCGCAGAACAGATACCTTGAGGAAATCGGAAAAACCGAATTCATACCTTCGTAATTTTGCTCGTCCAGTTATCTGCAATCAATCTACCAAAATATTCAGAAGACATATAATATACTGAATATTTTCTGGCGCTGCTTCAAAATAAACGTGAAACGTGCATGAAACTAAAAGAGTAGCGCTACATGTATTAATTCGTAGTGTAATGGCAGTGATATGATTTTCAACTTTACGTTCAAAACAAAGCCGAAGAAAAGCATTCATGAAGCAAACAACTTATTTTTCAAGACTGAACACAATAGTGGAAATAATAATAAAAAAGAAATAAACAACCGCTTAAAATAAAATTATTCAGAACTTCGTACGGGGTTTCTTTTTCAAAGATTTTGCATGTACATTACAGGTTATGAAATGGACTTTATTTCATGGTATGTACAAATTATCTGTACAATACATACACGAGCTTCGCTCACTGAGAAACAATCAAATGATGAAACTATCCCAGTTGGGGCTGTTCAATTCACAACACATTCATGATTCATTGCATACCAAATTTTATGCATCTATACGTGTAATTGTGTAAAAGCGCTACTATAGCGCACTTATAAGAATTGTTTTTCTTGTTCAACAGTTAATTCTTGCTATAATCCCACTTGGCTGAATTCGCATATTTTAATCACTGCGTAGGTGCTAAACACGAATAGTTTTTATAACTTATGCTTTATACATAATTCGGGTGCTGTGTTGCACTGTCGTTCTGTGGATCGGAACCATTATTTCAAAAAACACGGGTGCATAACATGTCAAGCACAGTAAATCACAACATCAAACCATCCAACACATTTAATCTGTGGATTGTTTGTCAAAAAACCAGAGAGACGCCGGCCAACAGAGAATCACGCTGCGAGATTAAATTATGATTCCACAATAATTTCTGAAATACTGCTCCATTTAGTCACTACAGAAACTTCTATATAATATTCTGCCCTCCTGGCCAAGTAGCTATTGGTGTCCCTGCTTTTCCCTGCGCTATAGCACCGGGTCCGTCTCCAGGATCGATCCGTACTGCAACGGCTGCATAGTGGCCCATGAAGTAATTGACTGATGCTACGACGTAGGAACAAAATACTAAAGCGTATGAATGTTGTCTAAGCGGTTCACCATGTGTGGCTACCTGTTCTGACCAGCTCACCATGCGAATAGCATGACTCGACACATTTATCGGAAGCTGCCCATTCGGTTTCTAAACCTGATTTTAGTTTTGGACTTTCGTCCGTTCGTACGGGACGTAATAATAAAGTTAGGCCTGGGATCTGGCCGCACAGTAAACTGGTGTTTCTCGATTCTGGTAATTGTAATCACAGCTTCTTCGTGACCTTGCATCCTTTTCCAACCTGAACAGTCGTAAGCTCCCTCGAAGCGCTGAGTAAGCAATTCGAGTTGAGATGCTTTAAGAGCATCGTTTTATGGCGCTCCTGGTAAAGGTTAGGATGCCATCTGCCTGCCTCCAGCGAGTTGGCCACGACGGCACCTTTGTCGGGATCCACCATCTTTCCTGATGAAGGACGTCGCCATCCTCATTGCCATCGAGGAACCCGCAGAATCCCGTAATTCCCCAGCGACCGTGCCAGTAATGCCTTGCATTACGGTAAGATTACCGTGCAACGAGCACGTAAATGACTATAAAGTATTAAAATTTACCAGAAAAGTTACTTCCTGATAATATTTCATGACCTTATTAATTTTTACCGAATAGTTACCGAGATTACCAAAATGACCTTGATTAACCTTGGCCTGTGCAACAGAAACCGATGACCGTAGGTAACTTCCTGGTTCCTACAGTGAAAATACCGTTTGCGTTTCATTTCTCAAGTATCGTGAAATTACCGTTTGCGCATAAATTCCCTACAGTTCCTCATCATTCGCGCATCAATTCAAATTCCCATAAGTACCGTTTACGCTAAATTCCCTAACAGCGATAAGACTGAATGCGCTTCTTCGGTGTAACTGTAAAAAACGCATGTTTCACTGGGAGCGCACAGTTGCTGTTTCCGTGTGTCTGTGTTACAGTCCGCGGATGTCCGCCATCCTCGCTCATCAAGTCCCGTGCACCTGAAATCCCTATCCCTGGATCCTGGATCACCCCGGAAAGTCCTCGCTGATCGCATTACCTTTTCCTGGATGGAACGGAATCCTGGATCCAGAAATCGCCAACTGAAACATTCTTGTTTTTTTTTTCTAATATGTTTTAATGTGTTTCCCTCTTGTGAGGCTAGTAATCCTCACGCTTGTTGAAGGGGGTAAAGCGTATGAATGTTGTCTAAGCGGTTCACCATGTGTGGCTACCTGTTCTGACCAGCTCACCATGCGAATAGCATGACTCGACACATTTATCGGAAGCTGCCCATTCGGTTTCTAAACCTGATTTTAGTTTTGGACTTTCGTCCGTTCGTACGGGACGTAATGATAAAGTTAGGCCTGGGATCTGGCCGCACAGTAAACTGGTGTTTCTCGATTCTGGTAATTGTAATCACAGCTTCTTCGTGACCTTGCATCCTTTTCCAACCTGAACAGTCGTAAGCTCCCTCGAAGCGCTGAGTAAGCAATTCGAGTTGAGATGCTTTAAGAGCATCGTTTTAATACACAGTATGGGTTTTTTTTTGCAATCGCGTATTTGACCGACCGCTGTCTGCCTGAATTTTGTTTTCTTGGAATCGCATATTTGACCGACCGCTACTCGCGTTTTTTTATGGTTTTGCAGATCTTCGTGCGAAGCAAGTAAATGCCATCTTCTGTCGATAATATCAGCTGTACAGTAGTGATGCTTCTGGTTTGCGATTCAGTGATCCGACGAATACAAGTAACCAATTTCTTTATCGGCTTCCCAAGCCTGAACACACGAAAAAACATGCGCGAAGAAGCATTCTCGAAAACCTGATTGGAATTTTTTCGCAAAAGTAGCGTAACGGACCGACCAGTGTCTGTAAAATCTTAATAATTATTATAATTTTGGTAAAGAGTGTAACAAACGCTTTATACGCCAAATGAAGTTTCTGCTCCTTTACGTTCGTGCAAAAAACAGCGCAGGTAACAACATAATTTACACTCAAAACAGCAATATATTCTCACATTGTTTATTACGCATAGATTTTGTTTGACAAGAAATGGCAGTACACCGTTTCCGAGTTAAACGAAAATCGACTCAAACCCATTTCGAGTTGGTAGTGGTAGATAGATCGGCCGGCATGAATTCCGCATTGCCGAGTTCTTTGAGAAATACTCGTCCATCCGGTGCAATCTCCAAGAGGGTGATACTACCATGCGGTAAGGTCATCTGCAGTGTTTCTGCCGGTATTTGTAATGCTCTACAAAGAAGCTGGATCAGTCTTTAAAATCATAAGTCTAAATTGGGTACGCACCTGTCCAAAAAATAATAAATTGTGCTCTTGTGCAGCATAAACAATTCATGGGTTGACTGTGTTAAATTGGCACTGGCGCGGTAGAAGAAGGTATCGAAAGCCTGCTGGCGCCTTGTTGTGTCATTCTAAAACAGGAAATACGAATCAGAAAAAGGAGCACTTCATAATTTGTAAGTACTACACTACACAAAAATTAATATATACGTTTTTTGAAGGTTCACATCTCCGCCATATAACAGCTGCTAGAATAAACGTTTTGTAATGATGTTACCATCAGAAAAAGTGTTTTATCGTGATACGCGAGGTTTGACAACAGTGCAAAGTGAAACAGTGAAACAGTGTTATTAAAGTGAAACAGTTCTTTCTACAAAATTATGTTTATCTTGTGGAAAACTTCTTACCGCTCCAACGCTCCACAGTAAAGATGACGATTGCAATTGCAGTTGAGGAAGATGTTTTGCGACCAACTGAGCAGCGTGTTGGGCGCGAATTTTGCTGGAATGTACGAAGGCGCGGGACCAGTTAAAGGACAGACTGGCGAGATGGCGACCTAAGGCTTCCATTTGTGCGGATCCTTCATCAAAAAAGGTCATGCTAATTACCGTACGGATCTAGTTGTAATGCTGTTCAGGTAACATTTACAGACCTAAAGCGGACATTCTGATTTGGTCTTCGGGCTCACTGAACTCGTAGTGTCCATGGCGCAGGAGGAAGAGGTATCGGGATACTTTAGGGAGCGGATTGTTCTCCCGTTGATCCCAATCTAGAAAAATGCCAATGGAACCACTGCAAAAATTACGGCTACTCAGATACACGATTGTACTTCGGTTCCATGTTTCTCCGTTGTACGCTGCTTCCGGATTTCTTGAAGGTTCGCTGCAGTTGACAGAACTGACAGCGGTGCCGTTAAGAAGTCCTTCGGCTCGTTCCAGTTTTCGTTGTGTCTCTAATAACTGGGTCTGGAGCTGGCGTTCTTTTAGTTTTGCTTCAATAGATTTAGACGTAAAATGAGGGGTACTTACAGTATATCTGTACATGTACAATCGGTACTGGACACACGTTATAAATCAAGTTCTGCGGTATAGTTTCATTATGGTTTTGTACACGTTGTCCAGTATAATTCGGCACTGGTATTTCAGCAATTGTTTTACAAGCACAACGGTTTTCAAGAAAATAATGTGTCTGCAAAGTACCATAACAAAAGTAATACAAAAAGTGTTTTAGAATGCTCTGTTACGGTCAAATTCTCTGTGAATGGATATGCAGAGCACTGTACACAAAATGTGTACCAGGCAACAGACCATAATACTGTGGGTTCACCTTGGTGATTGAAGTAACTGGTACGCTCGAATTCGGTCTTGAGGATTTCGTTTTCGTTTTGCTGCACACGCAAACGCTCCCGTGTTCCGTTTAGTGCCTGGCGAGTTTGGCCCAGCTGTTTATCAGTAAGCAGTAGCACACCATTAGACAAACACTGAAGTTATTATAAAAAAACTCTTTCCTAACCGCAACTTTGTTCAGTACCTGGTTATTACATTCCTGGTTATCGCTGTTGACGAAGCGCATGCCGGTATACAAAAAAGCAAAACATTTGCTGGCAAAGATGAGAGACAGGATTGAAGTTAGAAGATAATTCTCCATTGTGAAATAATTTCCACATTTGGATATCAAGTGGTAGAAAAATAAGCGTAATATTTGTTTTTGAGTTTAGCGGCATTGTCATTCAGAAGGCTGTGGTTAATGCTTGCTAAGAATAGTAGTTGTAACAACGTTGGTACTCGTACTATAGGAATGTGGATTACGGTTACACAATACGGAGAATATTTACCTACGAATATCGGTGTGTTAAGATGGGTTCTGATATCGATGTGTAAGGCTTACGGAGTTTATGAAGTGTCCACTCGATAATCTGCATACTTAGGTTTTTTTAACAGATACTTACTTTCTGCAAGAATTTATTTTGCTGTTGCTTTGGTATGTGTAACAAATTATTGCCATTGCCCAGAGCCCGGGAAAATGCCACACACAAATTTATTGTCAGCGGTGTTTTACTACGCCTGTAATTACCAATGTTAGTACCTGTTCAACTTCCAATTTTAATTATATAGATATACCATGATATGATCAATTAAGTGTAACGGGTAATCACAAAGGTAAGGTACGTAGCCAGTAATGTATTTCTGCTGTGTAACAATCTGCATACAAAGATGTGAGTAATATAGATATAAACTTATGCACTTTAAAAAGAAATAAAATAAAATAAAAATAAAAGTACAGTTAGTTATTTGTACAAACGGCTAGAGTAGGTATAGAAAGTATCCTTTACGTATTTAGTTTAGTTTCTGCGTTACCGATTTTGATTTTTACTTTGTGTATTTATACTGCAGTGTAATAAATTCTCTTTTATCGATAAAAAAGAGCATATTTGTATATCGCACAGTTCCAGGAAATAAAACGAGTTATACTGTCTGGTGAAATAGCGTGTATGCAACTGAAACTGCAAAATTAACATTCTATTATTTTTTGATAAGCTAAATTTGTCACAACTTTGTCGCAACGGTGGTTGTTGGTCACGGTTGTCACAACTAAAATATCGCACTTTGCCACCAAAATTAAGCAAAAAATATCCTATAAACGCCACCTATAAACGGATCCCTGTCAAAGTCTGTCATACAACGGTTCAAATAAATATTCTACAGCCCTACACTTTGTCGTTATGAATAAATTCCACCTATGGACACTGTGGACAGCCCTGTCCAAGTAGGCACTTACACGTCATACCCGAGCACTCACACCACTTCCTAATGATCATGCACTTCTCGCTGCTGCTGCTTAATTTATAATCCACAGTTTATTTCACCTATGTTGACACAAAGGCTGGTCGCGCTTTCCATCCAGCTGTACACACCGCACCACGTGCGCGTACTGTCCGGTCCAATAAACTCCAAGACTAATGCCGTATGTACAAGAAAAATTAGTTATTAGTCATTACATCGGACCAGCTTAGCCGAACAATGCCCAGCATTGTCCGGATGCGAATATTTTCATATATAAATTATACGCAGCGATTATATGTACAAGGCATCACAGAAAGTAGCGGGTTGTATAAAAAACTGCATCAGTGGAGGAATACAGTCTAATATTTGCCACCGGCCGCTAAGCCGTAGATGGGTGTCCGGTATCCGCTGTTGTAGGTGTTGTAGCCGGTGCCGACGTTCGTGCTGTATGCGCCGTTATAATTGCTGCTACCGCCGCCGTAGTTGTTGCTGCCGCTGCTGTAACTGGATCCTTTGTTGTAGTTATCGTAGCCGGTGTTTCCGTAATTGTTGTTGTTATTGTACGATCCCGAGTCGTAGTTGCTGCTGCTGTAGCTGTTATAGTTGTTGTTGTATTCCTCTTTGTACAATGGGTTGCAGTAGGAATCGACCTAATAAAATGCCGACAAATGAGCAAGTTACTGCTGTCATTAGTAACAAGCTTTGTTTCCGTTTGAAACTGGAACAAAATGATCGCTGGCATCGTTCGCTGAATTGCATAACATTATGTCTACATTATTTTATAATTTCTATATAACAACTGCATATATCAACTTTATGATATTATTTGTACTTATAATTTATATGCATATTACGATTCTGCCCAAAATTAGACTGTGAAGTTGAAGTCATATTCGTTGATCCAAACAAATCTTTCCACGTTTTTACGTAATGGATTTTCCATGCACTAGAAGGCTAATTGGCAAATAAGTAGTTGAAATAATCCACAGTAATTACCACTAACGTAGTTCTATTTACGCCCGATTCAGATAAATAATTATCTTAAAACTAGTTTGGTAAAAAGGGCAGATCGGCGTGGACTAAGAAAGTCTGTGATATGTAATTTATATGGAAATGCCATTCAATATCTATATTATTAGTACTTGTAAATTAGTCACTTAGTCACTCGCATTTATTTATGCACACAGTTTTATTCAGAAAAAAGATTATCTGGAGTTATTTTGGTAAAAGATTGCACGAAGCTTGTGATTATTTACCTTGAAATGCCAGTCGCAGACACCCAGGTAATTGTTGAAGCGTGTATAAGGCGGACAGTACATGGTATCCAGACGTCCATCGGCTTGGCACACTTGGAAGGTCTTGCAGTCATAGCTGGCATCCCCGTACATCCCCGGCTGCCGTCCGTAACACCCGTAGTTATTGTAGCTGTTGCCGCTGCCGTAGCCGGAATCGTAACTGTTTCCTCCATAATTGCTGTAGCTTCCTCCGTGGTTATTGTTATCGTATCCGCTGTTGTAACCGCCACTATAATATACAATGTTATATTACGTATAACATCGATATCGGTGATCTTCGTAATTATTTAAAATGTTACGGTGGTATATATAATGATATAACCGTGAATTTACACGTGACAGAATCTACAGTATTTATAGTTAATAATCTACTGAAATAAACGGGTGATATAGTCGCAGAGTGAGTGTACATTACCACAATAAATAAGTGGTTAAATGTTGACATCAACCGGTGTAAAATTAGCTATAGTCGAAAATAAGAAAACCTTTACGTCAGAGTGTTGGTCGTCGGTTTATGTTACAGTGCTGATTTAATTAGAAGGCGCAGAGGAGATGCGTAGGCACGGAAATGGGATGAACAGTCCCGCACTGCAGTTTACGAGTTTACGTCAGTTTTTACATAACGAGCCACAACAGAACGCTATAAATACTTCCAGTTTCTACCAGAATAGATTAACCTCTGTTAATCATAAGAAACATTTTCACTGGGAACCAAATTACTGGGGACAGATATAGGAAAGTAGGAAACACGAATTATAGGAAAGTTTTTCAACTGGGAAACAAAATTTAATATCAGGGAAATGGGATGCGCTTTGCGTCAACATTATGCGAAGAACATTAACGCGTTCTGTAATCATTTCTACCATTAAAATGCAGGCTATTTATATATGCCATAATTAATTGTACGAAGCTTTTTTTACAGGAAAAAAATAAAAATTTATCAGAATATATCAGAATGTGCGTCAGCAATATGCGAGCCACGCCAGAGCTCTAATTACTCGAACTAAAATAGTCCGGGCGGTTATATATGCATTAATTGTCTTAGTAATAATTACAGGCAACTTTTTTCAGGTTAAACAGGGAAACAAACTAGCAAAGAACCTCGATAAAACCGCCACCGCCCTGTAATTTGTTCGCAATTTGTTATAACAACGCCAGCAGCGCTATGATAACACCGATACATCATCGGAAATCCTTCTTCCGGCTGACCTGTTCTACTTACTTATAATTACTGCCCTGTCCGCCGCCATAACGCGTCGAATATCCCGTGGCCGCGCCCATCAACGGCTCCGGGTTTCCGGCAGCGGCCGATTCCGGCTTCCCATTGTACAGCTGTCCCTCGGCCGTCACCGCCACCCCACTGTCCGGGACATGCGGACCATGCTGTCCTTTAACCACTTGCACAATCAGTAATCCCCACAACAGCCACATGATGAAATACTATAGTGTATTAAATTGTCAGCGTTTAAACAACAGCAACCACTGATGCACGATTAATCAGCGGACTGAGCTGGGTTAGTGGCGATCAACTGACGACGGATCCTGTTGGTCGACGGAGGTCTTATAAAGCCGGGGTGTCTTCGCAGCAGGTCCTACTTGATGTGCCGGTAACGGGTGCAGGGTAGAGACGAGCCGGTGTAACGAGGAGATAAGAGATGGCATGACCGCTCGCTAGCCTCTTAAACGTTGGCAGCTTGATTAAGTGCGCTCTTCTCTCTCTCGATCTCGCTCCCGCGCTTTATTTGTGTGTCTGTGTGCAGACGGATATGGAGCAGAAGCGTTGCCGTTAAGAAAAAAAATTATAAGGGACGTACTTACTGAGTTTACGTTTAGTGGTTAGTAATGGTATGCGTGTCTGAGATGGTTGGTGTACGGATCAACTTGAGGATAGTTAAGCAGTATCTGTCCGTTTAATGCGATCTAATTGTGCAACGGCTGACTGCGGTAGGCCAGTGCTAAGATGATACGTTAAGAATCCTCGTGAGAATTATCCATGATAATTTTTTTTCCTACTGTATGTTCATTGCTACCGGAAGTGGCCAACCGGCATGATATGATAAACGGGTATAAAAGTTTATTGTACACGGTGTATTCGTGGTCATAATCGGGTCGATGAGATTCTGACAATGCATTTTTTTGCCTTATGGTATGTTATCACCGGCTCCAGTTTGTATTTATTTCGTACAGTTCCTTCAAAATTAAATTTTGAACTATAGTCTATACGTATTAATAAGTATCATAATTCACTACTTTATGTACGCATCGTTCGTGTTTAGAAGTGTTCTTTTACAACGAAACGCGCTTTTATCCGGGTCAGATATTGCTTAATCAATTTTAAAAATTCGCTTACAGCCGTACAATATTTTCTCTGAATATTCAGAGAAAACAGGCAACCAAAATTTATCAAAAGAGAAAATGGAGCCGTCAGTGACGCCACACGTCACATGGAGAGGTGCTTAAAGGATGGCGGTTCCCTTAGTCGTTTGGCGTGACCTTTCCTTCTCTGAAAAAGCATACGCACGCAGCTCTATAAATAAACAGCAAAGCCGGGGCGAAATACAAGAGGGTCATCAAACTCTACCTATCATGTCCGCCAGTTGTCCCCAGAATTCATCCGAGAAGGGGAATTTGGCCAGTTCCGGATTGTTGCACATGTGCAGCAGTAGTAATCCCAGCCGGTAATTTTTGTCCTTTTCGGCTGTTGCTACACGTGCGGCTTTGCGGTTCAACTGCAATCAAGGCGAATCATAAACGCAGCGCAGTATATCGATCAATGCCGTAACATTGATAAGCATATACAAAACAATACGCTCTCCATCTGCTTTTAATTTGTCATTGGTAAACATGAAAAAATATTATAGTATTAAATCCTAGCTGCTTTACCAATAAATGATTATTCGCATTAAAAATTCAGGTTGGTCATGATAATAAGTTATTAAATACAAACAGAACGAATGCGTCAAAAGCGAACTGCAAAAGCTTTACTGGTCTGGACGTTGCAAACAACGGATTAGGGAATATAGTGAACCACAAAAACCTGTGAACGTTAGCTAATGTTTTATGTAACACTTTTACAAGGCAAATCTGTTTGTTTTGGTCCTGAGTCATACTGTTTTTAGAAAGTGATTTAGAAGACAGAGGGGACTAAATTCGTGGGGCATAGTGGACAACGATAATAGTAAAGTACGCTTTATGATACCGAAGCGGCTAGGTATGGCAGAGCAGCCGGCTGTCCGGATCCCGAACCGGCCACTACACCATCACGCACCGGAGGCGGCATGGGAGCCGTGATGAGCCAGGCTGACACGTCCGACTCCATGCAGAATACCACAAAGGTCAGCGCGCCAAACATCCACACCAGCCGCATGATCGATAGCGAATGTCCCCCAAATAAACAACTCACAAATCCGGTTTGACGGTTACAACAAATAGTGAATGTTATATACTATAAAAAGCAGCAAGCTGAAAAGGGAAAAGAAGCACAATGCAAGGAGCAAACGCTCAATCCGGAATTTATATAGTGTCACGACGGACCGCGGTGAGACAATCGCATACACCTTGCTCTGTGATTATACACCTGGCGGGTTGATGTTGATTACAACACAGCCGCAACCCATCCCTGTTTAATTTGCTTCCTTTAGCGGAACACCGCAACACACCGAATCGAGGCAGTGACGATGTATCTGTACAGTCGCAGCAGTGCATCCGGCGATCGATGAGGAAAATGTCAATGTCGTTAACTGCTGCAGCATCCTCCATGGAAGAAGGGCACTTTCCGCTGTCGAAAGAATAGCCAGGAAAGTGAGCACTGTGATTCCGGTTTCGTCCGGAAGGAGCCAGCCGGCATGTGCTGACCTTTCCTTTAAACAATCGCCCAGCATCCCAGATCCGGACTTCTTATGAACGGCCGCCAAAGGTCAGCGCTGAAATTACAGGGCTGATGGGTGTTGATGTTGATGTGAACTTTAGGGAAATTTAAAACATGATGACAGAAATCTTATGCCAGAGATGACTCAGATGAGTATGACAAGAGACAATTGATGGCAATTTAAGCCAAGATGGAAAACGCTCCTTAAAATTTAAGGAGCGTTTTCCATCTTATGTAATTATGCTGGATGTGACCTGATGCATGGTACCAAACCCATGCACTTGCACGAAAACTTTCATTTTTCGCGCGCTCCCAAATCCTTTTTTGTGTAGTTTCGTGGCATCATGTAGTCAAATGATTTTTGTTCATTGGCGTTGGAAGCGTTTGTGAGCGCGGATAGGGGAGGGGGGTTACAAGAAACTCCCGCACAGTTGCATTGCAGTCAGGTGTGGACCGATGTAGCATGTGTACGCACATAGCTGAGGATGTCACTCTCATACAAAACCATAGTTAATATAGTTCTTATACTTTTATACGAAACCATTCTAAAACGTTTTTAAAAGTTTAAAATGAACTTCCAAAATCTTCAAATTTATTTTGAAATTTATACCAGCTACAGCTTTGAAATTCTGCATACATTTGCCGAACTAGGAGAGACTTCACACGTTGAATCAAGATGAGCTACCATGAGTCTACAAATTTTATTTGCAATAAGTACAGAGGCGAGCATCGCTCACAAAACACGTTCAAAGGAAAAATATTGTCCCAGTTGGCACGAGAAGAGACCGTACAGTACATAAGGGGACCATGAGTTATCTCTTTCCAGTACTTTTAGCCTTCTTTTGGTGTTCACCAAGGTGACCACTGGTCACTGCGGGCCAAAATCAAAATTTAATTTCAATGGTTCAGTCGTTATGGTGGTTTGCCGACGATAATAGATGCAGAGTCAAGACGGCAATAATTACAACATCTGTTGCAGTACAGACTACAGAGCAGTACTCAGCTTCGCGGTATATTCGAAAGCTGCAACTTGCTAAAATACGTGTCTGTATCACTGCACATTACAGTAAAATAAACGCAAAAAGATATAAATATAACAGTAAGGGCACCACAACTAAACTTCCCACCATGATAATCCGACAAAATTCTTTAATTACAAACACTCACACAGAGTCCTTTTTTCACCGAGTTATCACACTACAATACGCAACAAACATTGATCAGTAAAAAAGGAATAAAGCATTTCAATCCGAAAGCGTCCTGAAACGGACGGCAGAGTGTACGTTATGTTGAAGAAATCACAGACACAGGGAAAGGGTGGCAGCCAGCGGTCAGGCGACCACCTCGGGGGCTTTGATGACGGTGTTGGTGTCGGCCTCCACGACGATGGTCGTGTCGTCCTCCACCGGGATCAGCGCCTCCTCCAGGACAATATGCCGATACTGCCGACCGTACCACCACAGCACGAACGCCCACTTCCACGTCATGAAGCCCCACACGCTGGCCACGAACTCCGTCGTCTCCATGTTACTCAGATCTGCAGGGACAAGACACATTGGTTAGTAACGACCGGCCGCCATGTGGACAACACTCGAGCTGCAAGGCGCACGAAGTACAGCCAAATGATCGATAATGCACCGGAGAAATCCCAGATTAAAAAAAAATAAAGACAAAAGAAATCAGGAGCCAATGATAATTTAGGCGGTGCAACAACGACGACTACAACAATTTGCCACTGCAGCATAACACCAATATTCAATTTCCATTGACATTTGCTGTAATGCTATTTGGAAATTACTAATTGCGACAATCCACAGTTTAATACGAGAGGAAAACTGGCAATTTAATCCTAAAAACTAAACATTAAATTCTAGAGTACTGTATTGGCATAATGGTCAACAGTAATTTTATCAGTCTTTGAGTCAGCTTGAATTTACATTCAAAAATTGTTTAGCGGTGTTGATGAATGCCGAAATTTTTAAAAGCAAAAGCAACATTTTTTATTTATACAAAGTATGTTTTTCTGAAAAAATGTGGCTGTTGTAGTATTTTTGCAAATTAGAAAGAACGCTAATTATATCGTATAAAATAAATATACTGCGCCAATTAAATTATTTACATCGCTGTTTATCTTTAAACTTAATGATACGCTGCATTGAAAGTTAAATTCAAGAAAGCTCTGTACACCGTAAAGCAGTGTGAAAAACAGCACTTGACTTACTATCGCCATGGACAGCACCCAGAACAATGTAGACGATGAACGCGATCACTCCGATCACTTGTCCCACGATTCCCGTGTATATCACCGACGTCAGCTTACTGGAGTACATGGCCAGTTTGCCTCGCTTGTAGAAGATGTGCAGTAAGAGAGCAGCCACTGCCCAGAGAGCTGCAAGCAAGAAAAACACAAATGGTAGAAACCAGAAAAGGCAAAACTGAAAAGTAAGTACGTGCAGTGTAAAACTTTGAAAAATTTCTTTAAAAAGATTACCAGGCGCATGCCATCAAATCTCGGTTTTCTGACACAGCGTCCCGGAATTACCATACAGGGTGCATTGCAGTCAAGCTCAAAACTGACTAGACATTACAAAGTTTTTCTGAGTTTACTGCGAAATGTTAGAGTACGTACCCGAGAAGAAACCCCAGAACACAATATTCCAGTTTTTCTTTCCAATAAAATACAAGGCTACCATCAGGCCGGCGCTGATTCCGAGAGCAGCAGCAGCCATGCGCAGGATCATGGCTTTTCTGCCAGGCACCACCACGACTTTCACCATTTTCAGTCGGAATGCTGAGAATGCCTTCCACTGCACGCTGCTCGTCCGCCGTTCCGAGGCTGCTACAATCGCATTATCAACTGGTTCATCATCTAGTCGACGTAAAGGAATAACACAATACAGTATTGTTTAATACAACAACGTACAGATCAAGTTTCCAGCCAGCGATGGCTAGAAAACGTCAGATTTGGATTTCTGAGTGAAGCGAGAAAATCAGCTGGAAAGGATTTGCATGGGTGACGTCACGACCGGAAACAGGGACTGTATGATTCGCGCCGGAAGTCGGATTTCTCTATTCGCATCGGATCTAAGGGATCTTTTACTTCTTTTTTAAGCGCACAGAATGTGGGAAGGGAAAAAGTGATGTCACGTGAATCATTTAGGGAAAAATTGCGGTGAACTGCTGATACCTTTGACCAGTGTGAAGTGTGTGGCAGACGAGAAACATGTGTCGTCGCATCGGGCGATTACATTGGTGTATCTGCTCAGTTGTAATTTGTACCGGCAAAGCGGGCCAATTCCATTGTTGGATCGACAATGTTGATAACGATAAAATTGTCTGTGCTCCAAATAAGGTTAACCATCATTGATTAGAAATATTCATCATTCACACGCCTTCACAAAAATTCATAATTCACCGAGTTTCTCCATTACATTGTATCGAAATCGCTTTGTTACACAGTCGGTCGGTAATTTTCAGCCAGCTAAAAATATAAATCGATATTACTTATTATTAATATTAGTTTTTCCCAAATTAATTATAATTTTCCAAAATTATTTACTATATTATAGTATATTTACGTTCTCTTCCAAATACGGTACACGTTATAAAATGCCTTCGAATATTCACCTTAAAATGTTATAAAGAAGAATTCGGCAATAAAATAGTTTATACGCTGTACGGCTGCAGTGATACATGTGTACCGTGAATTATCAGCGTAAGATTTCGCTTTACTTCATCATTTGCATAACTTAATCCGCTAACGTTCACATAAAACGCATACCTATTTATACACCGATGTTCACTTATAATTTTCCATAAAACAAACAGCAAAAATGTGCAATAAATATCGAAAAATCTTACCATTTCTTCCCTGAACCGGTTCAACAACAATCAAGCCAATAAACTATTCAAAAAATGCCAGAATTATAAAAGCAAAAAAGTGTCGGCAATAATGTATGCACAACCGTCGGCCATGTATATCACAAGACTGCGCTGTCACAACCTCAATTCCTTAACGACAGATCCAGGAGAACGATATTCACGTCATGCCGTTGACAGCATATACGATGCAGCTCAGGCCGCTGCTTCCGTGTCCGTGCGTATCGGGATGTGGATGCCGAAGTGGAGGCGCAGTTGTTCATACAGGAGAAACATCAGGATCGTCTGCGGTCCGATGCGAATGAATGCCGGCAAGTATCCCTACAAATTACACAAAAAACTACCCTATGGAGAATACGTTAGTGTTTAAATAATATAAATATTAAAGGAAATAAACGGAAAAATCATCAATCAAACAAACCCCATTGAATTATTTTTATTTATTACTGGGCTGTTCATCTTTATTTTATTGTCAGTATTCATTTGCTTTTACTAAGCTTTTACTAAGCGTAAAATTTTTATCACTGTTACGAGTTATCAAAATGCTAAAATTCTGTTACAACCAGCGCCTTACACTTCCTTATAAAGAAAATCATTAAACAACTGGCACTTCATATGAACAGCACTTTATACCTGAAAGAATGCTCGTACACCGCCTGTGCGGGCTGTTTCACTGAAACAATGCCGGAGATTCTGGAAAAAATGGCAACAGGTATGAACAATCAACCGAATCTACTAGTGCACTTCATAAACTACATCACAATACAAACTCTGCATTAAATCCGTAACAACACACAGTGAAAACACGCGGCAAACATTATTCGTTTTACGCGTACCCGATAACGGTCGCAGTTATTCTGCATCCGTGTTTTCACCACATCGAACGGCGCGGACACCGTCGTACTGGCCATTGCCTAAAAACACCGACAACTGATTCAACCATAACTGAAACCGCGTGAATGTAAGAACACAAGGAGCACCGGAAGTGCATGTAGTGTCGTCTCCCGGATCGTTCGTACTTACCGCAACGGAACTGCTGAGCAGATGCGTTGGCACGGAATCGGCGAATCCCAGATGCAGCAGCATCTGTTTGACCTGGTCGTAGAAGGACAACTGGCCGATGGTGATGAAGACGGCCCGCACCATCACCATGGAGGAGCCGCGCCACAGCCGCAGGAAGCCCTCTTCCCGGCACACCCGGATCAATCTGGATAAACAACCCATACGGCGTAAACAAGCGCTACACCAGCGTATTATAAGAACGTCAGTGGCAAGGGAATCTGCGCTGAGTCTTAAACTTTAGTAGTGTTCGGATAAATACATAATAAACCGGATGTTAATAATAAGAAAGCAAATCGGAAAGTAGTCTTCAGTTTCAAGGAAAAATACTACAAAAAGCTAGGAATGGAAAAGGCATATTCAATTACCATTTATTCAATTAATACTGTAGTACAGCACACGGCTAATTAAAAGCGCAAACTAAAATATTCCGCAGATTTAAAAACATTAGAAGCAACGTACTATCGTGCGGATAAAGCCGTAGAATCATTAAAAATCACGACACAACGGTAACAAAAATACAAAAATAAGCAAGGGTACATGAATTCCTTAACTAAAATAAGTAGTCAAAAAAAGATATCAAGATTTACGGTTCTTAATGACTCTGCTGACAGTAATTGAGTACATACAGCATCTGCATTGATACAGATATTATACCACGATAAAACCTCTCTACTACGTTTCAATCACATCATATCTATACTAGCGAGTGTCGCTCACGATAGTAGACATTACGCATGCACGTTAAATTTTCGTATCGTCCTACTCACCCGTCGAGACCGTTTTTGTAGTTGCGCCGCTCTTCCAGCGGCAGTTTGACATCATTCTGCATGCGCACATTCACCAGGTCCGCCGGCGCCCCCACAAAGCCCCCAAAGGCCCCGCTGACGCCGGCCGTCAGGACTTTGTAGGGGAAGGAGTGCGGGCGGTGGGGATCGGCCGGTTTCATCATCTCGTACATCCCGAAACGTGCCGTGGTGTGCGTCAACTACCCAGGCAACAAACAACAGCACTGCGCATTTTTTGGCCGTTGGGATGGAGGGGCCATGCAATAATAGTTCGTTACCTGGCGCAGCACGGAGGCGCTGATCCCGTTGTACAGCGCCAGCACGCCCTGGGTCTTGACAATGTGCACCGCGCTGGGGATCATCTTCAGACGGCCCTGCTCCTGGGTTTGCAGGTACACCTGCAGAAAACCAAAGGAAACTGAGCCAGCGTACTCAAATGCAATCGGGTTAGTATTTCAACTAAACAATTAAAACCCATTGAAAACTTACAATTAAATAACACCATGAAAAAATCACAATTAAATACGGTAACCCATTGAAGATTACAATTAAATAACCCATTGAAGATTCCATAAAATCCTGCCAAGAAAACAGCAACAAAGCAAAACACAGCAACAAGAAATGCAACAAAAATAACGCAGATAATAACACTAATCGATCATATTTTAATAATAAATAAAAATTCCAAATGAAATTAGCAAATGATTATTTTGCGAGAAACAATTGTGGCAAAAATAGTAGGACGTGCAAGAAAACAGCAAAACATGGGCGACAATAATAACAGCCCTGAAAAATTGTTAAGGAATTCAGCAAAGGATGCATGATATTTTGAGAAAAAAGATTGTCAAAGAACTAGCACGAAATACAGCAAAAATACGAGCATAAACCGATAATTCGTTTTTTCCAACATAAAAGAACACGACGACTCGCTTAATTTTTTATGCCTAAAAAACGCAGAGGAATCTAAAAATCTTTGAAAAAAACATAAAAAACGATAATCAGCATCATATTCTTGCAATCTTACATTCTTACTGGATAAATTACAACAAGGGAAATTCGCACGGCATATGTAATCTGCACTAAAAACAGTGATGAGCGTTTTTTTAATAAGAGAAAGAAAAAGATTAACGATTTATCTTTTAGCTTGAAAAAGAGGGATGACAATCAACCGCACGGTACCTTGAGCAGATCGAGGGGATGCGTGATGGATACGGCCATGGTGCTAGCCAGACCACCAAAGTACCAGCGGGCTTTGCGCGTGATCTGCGTCGGCGGCCCTGCCGTCCGCGCGACAAACTTCCCGCGGCGATCCGCATCCGCAAAGGCCCGCATACTGCTGCTGTGGATGGCCGACATACTGTTCTCCTCACATCCAGCAGGGTTACGAATCCCTGGGCCGGAGATGTCTGGCAGAGGAAAGAGATGGAAAGAACGCCAGACACACCAAGGACGCCACCACCACATCCACAGTCGACGGTTCACAAAAAATAAAATTATAAACGTTATGAAAACATCGTCACAGGATTCGTGATTCGTCAACTCTCGTAGAATTCTCTCAAGTGTCAAGTCTTAATAAGTAAGCTGTAAGTACTCCACAAAAACTGAAAGTCTACTCTGTTGTAGGTACAATGGGAAGTTTTCAGATTGACAGAAGATCCAGAAGGCAGAAGTTGTCCTTATCGTTAGAGCGATTAGACTGATGAGCGCTGCAAGTCAAAGTGTAAAAGCTAAACAGCGCTGTATAAAGGACGGTAAACAAAAAAAAATCAAAACAAAGTCTTCTGGCAGCAACTGAATGAGCAATGCCCGCTTTGAATACAACACGTACAATACAACTACGGCTTTCGTAAATTACAATACACAAATTCAAAACACAAATTCATCGTCATGTCGAACGGTTCGACATGTGTGAGTTATCTGCATGTGCCATTGCGAGGTAAGGCTGCGCTCATGGATTGGATGCACGGAACCGTCAACACATGCCCACTTTAAGGCAACGTTGCATAAGTCTGCCGTATCGTAAACCTAGTCTCGACTAGATTTACGATTCGGCATCGTTGACTTATCCATGCAGTCTGCAGCTGTTTTAGGTCGCGTACACAGTTTCATCTATGGAATATCTGAATTATTATTAAAAACAACCTCTCTGCCATTATTATGAATCTTCGTTAATTAACTCAAAAGCAGAGCGACTTCTTTATTTGGGCAACAATTAAGTCTGAAATCAATCTAATTTGACAAATTGATTAATTTCAGTGCTAATTTGCATGAATATGTCATGTGGATATTTTGGCTACTGTAATATCGCATAGTAAAGTGCAAAACGTTGTTCACCTGCCATACAAATTAATTAAGTACTGTAGTGAAATTTGCTAATTTTCGTTTCGCGTTCCTTATACAGTGCTCCCCATACCGTATGATACGTATAATTTACCGTAAGTTGGGGCGCTCAAATATCGCAGCTGCAACGGTTGCTTCGTTATCGCGTTATTGGATGTTTTTTCTATGCATCATTCGTGCTTACTCATGGGTTGTTGCGGTATCGTACGGTTAACGTTCGATAAGTCGCCATAGTTGAACTCGTATAATGAGTACATTCGTATAGAACGGTAGAAGTACAGTACTAGGTTTTAAACTCTACAAAGTACGCAGTTGTAGTCTGAATCCTTCATTCAATTGTTAATTTTTAAATAATATAATATATTATTATTTTTGTTAAGTACTACTGTGCTACTGTACAGTTGTACTAATAAGAGAAATGACTACCTAATATTTTTACTTCATTCGGTAAATTACCGTAAATAGGTTGATTCTTGACAGTTGACATTAATTATTGCTGCGAATCATTAATACATTTTTGAAATTGTATGTTATTTACCTTATTTTGAATGCTGTTACAAATCCTGAATCACAGGATTTCCCCATATCAGGAAATCGCCAGTTCTGGCGGTCGCTGTTGGGACTACCGCAGCGTACGACACAACCGCCGTCAGAATGTTGGCAACTTCTCAGAGATTTTCACTAGTTTCCATAATTATTACTATTAGCGATAACTACGTCGATAATACAGCATATATGTACGTAAAGATTTTCGCAAGTAATAAAATTAATCAAGTAGTGCTCGTGCAATATGGATGAAGCAACGACGTTATCTGTAAGCGCGATTTTGTTGTTATAATTATCAACACCGTACCTAAAAATGTGTCTTTTAAGAAAGTGGAAAATATTAATGACAATTTGCGATCTTTGAACATGAACGGCAGCTTGCCTTGTACCATCATATAATTATTATTGATATTCAAGGCTTTCAAGCCGAGTTAAGTACTGCATTACAGTCACAGCTCATGCTAATACTAGCTGTCGAAATTGCGCAATCTTCGAATTCACCAGCATAAAACTAAAAATTATGGGCCAGGAAGAATCAAAGAACCAGACAAAAACCGTCAACATTATGGTATCTACAGATATCGTTAGTTGACTTAATTCCATAAATCCACCGCCTGGCGACCGGTGACGGTTGTAAACGATTAAGGGATTTGGCCCGGTACATGTGCATATTTCTCGTCATTTTATGAAAACACTTCACTAGAAAGAGCAAATTTTCCTCTATCAGAAATCGCTAATTTTGAACTGTTCAAGATAAAATTAAATTTTCTAAAATAAGAAAATGTAGTCGAGGCTTTAAAGGTATATGCAAGAATTAAACACGGCGCTTGGTGATTATGCTGTTCTAGCGAAACTGGCAGACCAAATCCGAGGCGCACAATGTAGTCAATTAGCAAGCGCGTGCGATAATTACATTTCGCCGGCAACAGCGGTAAGGACAAAGGCAAAGCTCTGGATGCTTTCCTTTGGATGTAACCTTTCATCGTCAACGAGCTCAACACCGAGAAATCCACACAAATTTCATTTCAACCTTAGTCACCTTGTAGTACACTACCCAGCATGTGTTACGTCTATCTTTATATTATCTGACACTTAGCACCATGATAAATAATTATAATGGCTAAAAAATTTTCACAATGGAAGATTGGTCGTCCTGAACCGGATGACGGCGATTTTTTAATTGTTACAAAAGGTTATATCAAGTATCTCTTAGCCCGTGCATATTGTGTATGTAAGCTGGATAAGGGATCAACCGTTTTATGTCAAGGAAAACGTCGAATTATTCCCAAACAAGTGCTGGGAGTAACTTGGAATCAATCAATGCTTTGCAATAATTCCGCTCATAATACCATTGTGTCCAGCACCGGCAATAAGCAATAGAAAGTTTTCCAGTGCTAATGTTGCCGTTGTTTTGACGTCTCTTTTGCTTGGATGCAAAAAAACCGGTGTTATTTTAATTTCGTCCACATTGGGAAGCCATGCCTTATCCAGTGGCTGCTATGAGCGCATTTCTGCTTATATTTTTGAAACCGTAAAAGTAGTGGCGGAGCAGTCGATGGCTAAGCACCGAGAAGGAAATGGCTGCCGTGTTGTTTCGTGAAACGGTTCATGGCAAAAGCGGTGGGGATTTAGCTCACTAAAATTAATGGAGTTGTACTAAATGGATTAACTTGGAAATTTCAAATAGTTTGAAATTCATTTTAAAATTTTAAAACAACATCTGTACGGTGGTTCCGTGTAAGAACGATCCTTATACCGATGTTCATTTTCAGGCCAAGTTTGAAAGCAGTCGGATCATAACCAGACTTCTGGTACACCGAAACGTTTTCATGATTTTTCCGCTTTCTATTTTAAAATAACTTTTCAATCAAATGTTGTGCGCGCAAACCGTTTTCGCTGTCGTCTTAAGGGATTTGGCCCGGTACATAGCACTAAATTCGTGCACATTGACGGGAATATTCGCTTTCGCGCACTTCCAAACACTTTTTTGAATTGCTTTTTGACATTATGTAGCCAAATGATTTGTATACAGAGGCGTGAAATCCGTTTTCGCGCGCAACATTCGGTTCAGGAGTTATGGCTATTAGAAAATTCCAAAAAGTTTAAATGCATCCAGGTGTACCAAAAGTCTCATTATGGACCGATCCCTTTCAAATTTTGCACGCAAACGCACATAACCATGAAGAGCGTTCTTACACGAATCCAGACTTCCACGATTTTTTTCGAATTTTAAAATGAATTTTAAAATTTTTGAAATTCATTTTAAAATTTGAAAAACATGCTAGAACAGTGGATCGGTGTAAGAACGATCTTCATGGTTATGTGCATTTACGTACAAAATTTGAAAGGGATCGGTTCATAATGAGACTTTTGGTACACCTGAATGCATTTAAACTTTCTGGAATTTTCTAATAGCGATAACTCCCGAACCGGAAAAACGGATTTCACGCCTCTGTATACAAATCATTTGGCCATAAAATACCATAAAGCAATGGAAAAAAGTGTTTGGGAGTGTGCGACAGTGAAATTTCCCGTGGATGTACACGAATTTAATGCTATGTACCGGGCCAAATCCCTTAACTAATCTCTCATCCCGAGACTACGACAAAAAAAATTTGAAAATACAATTTGTTTGCGCACAGATACATGAATATGAGGCCATGTACCGGGCAACGTAAATGTAAATCAGCCGCGAGCTGGCCGTATGCATCTACCTTCATTTTGTCTGGATCCTGTATTTCATTTTTACTATAAGTATCTGTACAGCGCACTGCGCCGCATGCGTTCGGAATGCTGTGGGTGGGAGTATGCGCCTTTTGTGTCCTAACAATGGTAAGCTGTATATATGGCGCTGTACTTTACATTAATTGTTTTTGCACAGTTACCTGTCTATGATCGTATAACGGGTACATGCGCATTCTTGTACAGTACGTACATAATACGTCATACGATTCCTCCCTATACATAATAAATATAACATAATACTCCTATACATTTCCAGCAAAATTCTTTTTCTGAGCAAAACTGTAAGTGAAAGGGCGATGAAAAGGGTGCTAGACACCGAGAAAACGGTGCTGTTTTTCTTGCCTATAATAATCTGAATTTCGCAAATTTGCAAATAGTGGTGTCCGGAGACAGCAGTTTTGTGTGCGTTTTCGATCCCGTGGTGGTGCAATGAGATCTCGTTGGCGTAAGCCATAAAAGAAAAGTAGTTAGAAATTGGTGTCGGCAGCTCTTGGTGGTGGTGAACGTATGGAGACTTTGGAAGTTAAAGGTGGTGTCGGAAGCCTTCCCCATAATTACGGTAACCGCAGAAGGAAAAACGAATTTTAGCAAACTGAGTAATGACAGCATCCGTGCATTGTATAGGTTGACGGGCCTCTAAGGATTTACACACATACCGTACATGTATCTGCGTGTACGCTTGTCGTGAGTCTCGTGACCTTTGTTGTACCAGAAGAATGTGCTATCGTGGAGGCGGAAGACGGCAACAGACTCCACCCAAACACCGATGACCTCTTCTCGCAATACAGTAGTCGGCATGGGTGGAGCAGCTTTTACCGTCAGTGCGACAGCATCCGCACAAAGTACACTTTATCGGAATCGTCCAAGTCCCTTAACGAGAATTTATACCGTGTTCGTGGTCTGAGCGGCAGAATTCGCCACAACGAGAAGTCGCACACTGCAGAGTAAAGGTTTAGGTAAACCATATTTTGGCCGAAATATCCTGTGGCCGATGTGAATGGGGCCGAAATGAATGGTGGCCGAACTGAATTCCGGCCGAAATGAAAGGCTGCCGAAATCCTTCGGCCGAAGTGATCGGTAGCCCAGAATGACACGACCATCGCTTTAACGAATGCATGCGTAAACCGTGCCAAACTCGCGTACTATTTTAATCTTATTAAGTAAATTTCCGATAAGAAATTTTGCTTTCTTATTACTGAGCTGTTAATTTAGAAGCAGCCGTGGGTAACGTTCTTTAGTGGAAGCCT